GATTAGGTTTCTCCAAATTGTAAATGTACAAAGGAAAGTTTGTTTCATTCAAAAAAGTATCTTGTTATTGAGATAAAAGGTTTACTTTAATGTTTACCTATTTCCGGGGTTTTTGTTTTGCCTTTTTGATATACTTTTCATTAAATGAACCAAACTTTCCTTTGAATAACTATAATATTGAGAGGTCTAAAATGTTGTATGTGCTATTTTGTTTCAACAAGGTTCGGAGAGATCTTTTATTCCATTCTCAAGAATTGGTAGAAAGGATAAAAAAAACAATTGCACTAAGAAACAAAAATTGTTCACAAAACAATGATATAAAATATATATAAATAATTTTCGCATTAAATTGTTGTCAACTAGAAAACAGCAACTCCACGGAGTAGCAAATCCCACCAAACAAAACATATTATGCTTATTATAGCTAGTGTAAATGTTGAAATGTTTGTGCACTTTGTGATAGAAGCATGAAATTTGGCACAAAGTTAGTTTATACCATTGTGAACTAGGCATCATCATATAAAATTTGAACCAAATCCGATCACTGGTATATGAGTTATCAAAGATTACGTTTTTTACGAAAATTGGCCGCCATATTGAAATTCAGCCGCCATCTTGAAAATTATTTCTTGAACAGAGCTACTGTGTCCCTAGGCATAATTATATAAAATTTCAACCAAATCTGTTCACTGGTATTTGAGTTATCAAAGATTACATATTTTTACGAAAAATGGCCGCCATTTTGAAATTAAGCGGCCATCTTGAAAATCTCTTTTTGTGCGAAACTCCTTTGTCCCTAGGCATCAGCATATAAAATTTGAACCAAATCCGTCAACTTGTATTTGAGTTATCACTGATTAGATTTTTACGAAAAATGGCGGCCATTTTGAATTGAGCAGCCATATTGAAAATTCCTTCTCGAGCAGAGGTCCTACACTCATAAGGCATAAGCCTATAAAATTTGAACCAAATCTGTCAACCTATATTGGAGTTATCGCCCGGACACACGGACAAACGAACGGACGGCTTCTCTATATCCCCCTCGAACTTCTTTCGGTGGGATAATCAGTGACCATTTCATAAAGGGCAGTGTCTTTTTATATAATTGGTTTGAGAGAAAAACAATGTTGAATTCAGGTTGCCATATCGATACCATATCCTTTACAAAGACTATTCAAACATTACTGGCATTATATTATCAGGTTCAGTCTTTTACATGGAAGCATACCTGACACGAACTTTACATTTTTGTAGCACAGAAGACTAGCAAATATGGGATATAAAGTACTAAAGCACTGGTATTATCTGCTTGATTACGCTGGTTACCGAAACGGAACCATTTCATAAACAAAATGTCGGAACGTCGAAGGTACGATTTTTCTTTTTTCCTTATTTCACGCATTGTAGGCAGAATCCCCACAATGTTTTTTCTCACAAATGTGTATCAGTATCCTATGTTTTAGAAATTGTACATGTTTGCGAAAGATTAGCTCAGAAGACAACAGAATTCCTCACTAAAGTTACAGAAACGGTTTGGGTTAAAAGTGCAGATCTTAACTGTTTTTCGAAATACCATTTCTGTAACTTAAGTGAGGAATTAAATCGACGATTCTGTTGTCTTCTAAACTATTTGTTCGCAAATATGTACATTTTCTTACACATATGATACTGATACACGTTTGTGTTAAAAATGTCCTGGGAATTCTGCCTACAACGTGTGAAATAAGGAAAAAAGAAAATTGTACCTTCGATGTTCCAACATTTTGTTACCGAAATGATACCAGCGTAATATCCCAGATGCGAGTAGAAATAATCTTGATTTACGTCATTAAAAATTCACAATTCAGTGGAATCTACATGAAAATTACATCTAGAAATGTGGTTTTAAAAAGTGTTTATCAACTTTGAAAAATTAATTTTCTTTGAAAATGTGACTTCTAGGTCGGGGAGATTCCCCATAGAGCCCATGTTGTAAAACCACAAAAAGTGAAATATATTTTCTTGTGTTGGGCAGATAATATTTTCTTTTACTGGACATATTTGAATTTGCATAACTATTAGATACATAAAGGTAATATGAAAAGTGAACCATTAAAACTGATGCATATTCAAGTTTAAGGGAATTTTGCAATACCCTGCCATGTTAATTCCCCCGAATCAGCCACCTGGTGGTGAAACTGGTAACTACCTACTCGCATCTGAGTAATTGAGTGGATCACCAGTGCAAAGGGTAGGCACCAAAGATTGTGATTCACTAATTTTGAATAATTTTCTCCATCTTTCTGAATTCTCTTGAGTATCGAATGGAGCAAACGGTGGTATACGTACACTAGATGCTCCATTGGACACCTTCTCTCCACAAAACAATACAGAGAGATTCCATCATAACTGAAACATTTATACCAAAATTTAAAGTTCATGTTTAATTGGGATCTCCCTGTGCATACTTCAGTTTAGACTGATACAACATTCAAGCCAAGTAATTTTCCAGAATAATATAGTATCTCCAATATTACTTCTGCACTTAAGCACCCACAATTCAACTTGTGATAACATCTTCATCACATAAAATCTCAAGAGGGGGGAAAACCTTAGAGTTCAGAGAAGACATGTGTCTATAGTGTAAATGTGTATTGAGAAGACACGTCACTGATTAGTCAAATTGACAGACAAATGATGTCATTCGATGGCGGTTTCAAAATTTTGTAAAAACGCTACGAATAACATTATGTAAATATCTGGCATGTTAACCGATATCATAGCTTGTTATTTCATATCCACAAGATGTAAGGAGATGCTAACGTAAATTAAAACACTACAACGACGTGTGGTATTCGGAAACAGCCAGTGAAAATTCGAACAAACAAAGGTGGTAAGCAAGAGACATAATAATGCCTTCCATCTCTTAAAGCTCTGGGGTTTTCCCTCCTCTTTAAAATATCAATACTTTCCGAAATATGGACATTACCATAATTACATTTCAACTCTATATAATTTGGCTAATTGGCCTTTGGCTAAGTTTTAGACTGGTAGATTTAAAGAAATCTATCAATTAATATAAAAAATATCTGTTCTCAGATAATTCATTGAAAATGCATTGTTTTATTGACAAAACATGCTAGATCTGATTCTCCCTTTTATGAAGCCACTGAATTTACTGGCAACGTATCACTCACTAAATAGGTATACCATGAACCATCAGGTTAATACACATATGGTGTTTATAACTACAGGGTGTCCCGAAAGTATGGGGCCCCCCCATGCCAGACATATTCCAGTGTCCTCATAGCATGTGTCATATAACATTTTAAAGCTTATCCAAAGTTACATTGATTTGTCAAGTATCATGGTTTAACTCCCAAATGGGAAAAAGTTACAGTCATTTTAAAAGTTAGTGTTTTGTCAAAATAAAATTCAATTTTACACCACACTACTAGTCAATGAGTCCCCCTTTGGTCATGTTAACAGTAGCAATTATTTTCAGATATGACCTTAAAAGCCCTTCAAATAGGGGTGTGGAATTTTATAACCCTCTTAAAAACTGTTAAGGCACTTTAGAAGAGTTTCCTTAGAGTTTCTACCCTCACTGTTCTCTTTTTCCAACTCAATATCCATCCGACCCGAAAAGAATTGCTGCTGTTAAGATGGCCCGGAAGGACACATTGACTCGTGATTTGGTGTAAAATTGAACTTAATTTTGACCAAACACTAAATTTTGAAATGCCTGTAATTTTTTCACATTTGAGAGTTGAACCATGATACTTGGTGAATCAATGTAACTTTGGATAAGCTTTAACATGATATATGACACACACTAATATGATGACACTGGTATATGTCTGCCTAGGGGGGGGGGGGGGGGCATACTTTCGGGACATCCTGTATATCTAATTTTGCATTGTAGATGTTTCATATCTAATCTGGTGATGTTATCTCATTTTGCATTCCTAAATGGAAGTGGTGCCCTCTATTACTTGATTTGAATTTTAAAGTGGGAACCCAAAATGAGACAACACTGAAACAGTCAGATTGGAGACAAATTCTCTGACAAAACTAAATGGAGACAAGAACAATTTACATTACTGATAACTTTCAAGTTTTTCTACATATAATTCACATCCACCTCATATGAAGGCTAAAGTAGTCTATTATGGTATTTCCAGCTGCTCTGTTATACCCTTTAGCTATTTTTACCAATGACTACTTGCACTCATTTTAAATAGTTACAATGTCAAAGGCTTGTATGCAATCATCCACATTGACTACTATTGCATTCTCTTCCCAATATACATTAAGCTGTAACTCAGCTCAATATGGTTGCACAAATAGCTTGTGCACTTGTCCATAGTTGCATTTCTTGCATTCATATTATCCATTGAGACTATTACATTCATTGGCTCAGTAACTGCCGCATTCCTAGGGTCAGTAACAACTGTGACATTCTTTGACACAGCGACCATTTCACCTCTTTGCACAGTGACCATTTAATTTCTTTGTACCATGTCTGTTGCATTCTATGACACAGCCTTTCTGGGCACAGTGATTGTGTCATTCCTGGGCTCAGTGACTGCCGCATTCCTAGGCTCAGTAATAACTGTCACATTCCTTGACACAGCAACCATTTCACCTCTCTGCACAGTGACCATTTAATTCTTTTGTACCATGTTTGTTGCAGATGAAATAGTTACTTGACACAATGGCACAGCAACTGTTGCATTACTTTGAAGTGACTGTCACCTTCCTTGGCACAGTGACTGTTGCATTACTTTGGAGTGACTATTACCTTCCTTGGCACAGTGACTGTTGCATTACTTAGGAGTGACTGTCACCTTCCTTGACACAGTGACTGTTGCATTACTTTGGAGTGACTGTCACCTTCCTTGACAAAGTGACTGTTGCATTACTTTGGAGTGACTGTCACCTTCCTTGACAAAGTGACTGTTGCATTACTTTGGAGTGACTGTTACCTTCCTTGGCACAGTGACTGTTGCATTACTTTGGATTGACTGTCACCTTCCTTGGCACAGTGACTGTTGCATTCAAATGCACCTTCACCTTTTCATTCGTTGACACCATGGGAATCCTTCACACACAGTGACTGTTGCATCCCGACGCAAAGAACGTATTTACATTATGCTATGACATACCTGTAAATTTTCTAGATGCATTCAGCTTCAAATAATTTCATATTTATTGAGAATGGCAATGTTTAGCACATGGAGATGGTCACATTAATTCCTAAGTTGCCATTGTCGGCAAAGAGCTGTGCAATGTTTGTGTCGAAGACAAGGCAGTCACTGTTTTGGATGGCTGACTGGACACCATCGTGGATACTACGAGGTGTTGCCTCCCAGGTTAGCCTTCGTCTGTGACCATTTAACTCTAACCTGCAAATATAGAGGGAAAATAAAATGATGCAGCCAGCCACAGTGATGTAGTTATAGTGATACAGGTAAAGTAATGCACAAAGGAGGCATACATATATCATAGATACAAGAAAATATGTATGCATTCAAAAATAACAAGGATTTGAAATCTTTTGACCCTTTCTTCAAAGATGCTGAACTGATAGGTATATTTGAAAGGTAATGATTACCAGAGTATGTACAATTCATGAATTCAACTTTTATCCATTTGATTAGATTAATCCACAAAATATAGAAAATCATAAACAGAAAGCTTATATACCTGTAAGCAAAATTCTCAGCTTGTTTCCTAGTGCCTATAAGTTGGACTATTGCATAAAACTGTTGCAGTCCGTCATATTTTTCTTGTTTTTCTAGGACTAACATGAAGTTGTGGCCAAAGCATGACTGCATCATCACCCAGTCCACTGCCCCTGGCAGATTGATGTCTGTTGCTAGGAACACTATATCCTCCCCTGGAAGAAAACATTGCAATTTGAAGCAATATAATGGCCTGTATATACCAGGTCGATTGAGAATAAGTCTCTTAATTGAGAGTTTATAACATTCTGTTTGAATTAGGTTTAAATAATGGTCTGTGCAAATATGCCCACTTGAATATCTATCTATCTTTTGTTGGAAAAATGTGGTTACTTGTGTTTAGGTCGGGCAACATTTTCACCCATTCATTCCCGATCCCCTTTCTTGCCCCTTGTAGATTTTTATTCTTACTTTTTACCTTACAAACATAACAATAACAATGTAGGGTGGCTTGAAATTCAAACACCAAGACATATTTTAATATTTTTCTTTGGATAAAAGTCATTTTCGATCCCTCTTACAAATTATCTAAAATGCATTTGATAACATGGAAATGATAATTTTATCCATAACCACTATTCTTATATGATACGTGACGTCACAATAGCTAGAACAATTGATTTACTAAATTACTATACTCAAGTATGTACGACCCCTAAATTTTATAAATGCAAAAATTGTTTTTCTGGTTTGTCTATCCTCTTAGAATCGTAACAAAGACCTTGATTCTATGATATATGGCAAATATATGACCTCAGATTTTATTCTGGTACTGCCAAAGACCTGCCAATTGCTACGCGATTTCAGTCTTTTAACAATGAAGAGAATAAAATGGGTCTTTATTCCTTAAGTAATGTATCAACACTACCACAGAGCCATTACTCAGATGTCTCATATTTTGTTGATGGGAGATGTCAGTTTAAAAAATATCAAATCATCTTTTTCAGAGATAACTAATTACTGTGTCAACAAGTCATCCTTAGACCACCACTCTAAACAAACCTGGCAGGTTTTGAAAAATTGTGAATAAAATCACTGAAAACAGGTTCCACTTTCCAACTTACCTTGTAATGTAGTAATGCTTTTATGTTGGTGTACTAAGTGAGGCATGACTTGCTCTAGGTTCCCTTGCCATTTACAAGATGCACCAGGACATGGGCAACAATATGGTCTAAAACAAAGCAAGCAAATATGAAAATCTGAAATAAGGCAACAAATAAGATCTGAAACAAGGCAACAAATATTGTCTCAGACATCAAGTTCAAGCTCCTTAGAAGAAAAATACAATGATTGAGCATTTCCATTCACTCGACTCCCATCGGTCTCACTCCGAGCATGAGAAGGTGATGATTGAGGGGATTCAAGCATTCATGAAAGACCGATGAAGGGATATTAGATATGAATGGGAAACAAGAATTCAATGTTGAGCAAAATAAAGTATGATAGATAATATTTCTTGAAACTGTACAAGTTACAATTTCCAGATAAGAAAAAAGATTCTTCAACGATAGAATGCAATTGATGATTATTGTATAGGTCTGAAAACTCACCTAAATTCACATGTCTCTTCATGATCTCCCTTTTCTGTATGCAGTAGAGTCTGAGCACAGCCAGTGGATGAATATTTACATGGAAACATCACTGTGCTGGCAACTTTCTCCATGGCGAGGTTTCGAATATTTCCTGGAATATATTGAGTGAAATATATAGGCCGGCTTAGGTAAAATTCAATGTATTATTCTATATTCTTGGTAAAGATTTGAATTTTTGGAGCCAGAGATAGAACTGAATTCAAAACCTATAAAAAATATCTGTGCCCATACTGTCAATGTTTAGTAAAACTGGGAGATGGGTGTGTGTCTATAATACACCAGATTTCATAGCCATGTGGTTTATTTATGTTGAACTACTTATTTTAAATGGAACAATAAAATTAAGTCACTTACCGAGAGGTCCACGGCATGTGGGACACATAGTTAACTTGGGTCTACAAAATGAGCAGACAATGTGCCCACTTTGACACTGCATTATAGGTGGCAGTGCATAATCAAAACACACTGGGCACTCAAACAATGTGGCAAGGTCATTATTGGTTGGATTGGCACCTGCAAATAAACACATGTTACTATAGTAATTCAATTCAAATGTCACTAACTTGTTAAATACTGCAATTGTTGCCATGGAAACAGATATTGCAAAATATCTAAATATTCCAAGAACATTTCACATGTGGACTACTATTTTATTTTCATGCTAGCACACATGCTCATGATCTATTGAATATGAAAGCAATCAGACATCATGTAAATTGTCAGTCAAAAGTTTTTTCCATGGCAGGGATCTCCCCAGGATTTGTTCTGCCAAATCCTAATTTTACCTGAGTTTTTTTTAGTAGAGTGCAAACAGATTTTCATCAGTATACATAGTAATTCACTATTAATTTATATCATTTTTAATCAGAAAATCAGACATCATGTAAATTGTCAGTCAAAAGTTTTTTCCATGGCAGGGATCTCCCCAGGATTTGTTCTGCCAAATCCTAATTTTACCTGAGTTTTTTTTTAGTAGAGTGCAAACAGATTTTCATCAGTATACATAGTAATTCACTATTAATTTATATCATTTTTAATCAGAAAATCTGTTTTTAATGATGAAATCTGAAGGTTGGGACAATTCCATTCCATTTCACTTAGTAGATCAGTGCATGGCCATGCATGGTTATCAAAAGTAGATTCAGATCACTAACTAATGTGCACACAAAGATATTTTGATCACTGTTTCACTGTTTAGTCAAATTTTGACAAGACCTGTTTTTCACTTTAATTTCAGCTATCTTACTGTTTTAAGGAACAAAGGAAACTTTACAACTCAGCCTCAATTAATATATGAACATGTATACTTTTTACCTGTACTGCCAGTTGGGGTGTGTCCCCTAGCTTTGTTGTTATTGGTTTGTCGACTCATCCTACAACCTCCTACTTCAAGTATTAGTATTGCCTTCTACTTCACACTACTGATCCTCTACTATATGTACTAGTCTTTCTTCCTACTTCACATACTCCTCTTGGCTCCTTCTTTATATATTGTTTCTGCTTTACCACCTTATGGTTTACCTGCAAATGCATCAAAATTAGATGCCCGTTACATGTATGTTTCAGGAGTAGATGAATTGTTTTAGAATGATATAGGAATTTAAAATGATATCCTTATCAATAAAATTGACAGTTTTATGAAACGTCTAAACATGAGCAAGAAAGGTTATGTGCTGTTAGGTTGAATGTTTTACTGACTTCTGGTAAGGTAAGTAACAGTATCATGCTTTAGATAAGTCTTATTTTCCATGATCAAAGTAGTCAGATGAATCAGGTGGAAGACTAGTCTAGTGTGAGTAATAAATTTGGTGAACCTAGGCCAAGATCCCAATTACAAATGCCCAGTTGCCCGCATATGGGTTTGCTGGTTGAGCTACCCCTGATATTATAAACAAATATTTAAAAGTGTTCAGTATGGCAAGCAAATAGGGTGTATATCATATGCTGGTCTTATTGAAGATTAGGCCAGGAATTTGAGGAAAGAAAATAAAAAAATATTTTTTTGTTGTAAAAAAAGAAAAAAACAACAACTGTTTTGCTTTGTAGAACTTTACACATGTATTTCTTAGTAATGGGTCCAGTCTTACCTCCTATCTTTCAATACAAATGTGTTTACTTGGTTTGATGGTAGACTTCTGATACAGTTGACCTGTATATCGTTGGCATTAATGACATAAAATCCCCATTCTCGAGACAACTATATTTATTTATTTTATATGCGAAGAACGTCACCACATTCACACACAAACCTATGACGTCATTAGAGTTAGGTGTGTGTCTCTACTAAAACACACCTAGGTGAATTGTACTAAAACACACCCACACACATTTCAATTTTTTCTTGGTTTAAACATGGGCTTTCAACTAGAAGGGTAGGCAACTTCCCATATTTCATACATAAGCATTGCCTTTGGGTTTTCAAAATTGGAAAATGTACACATTCCAAGAAAATCTTATTTTGTACTTTTTATGGATGATTTAAAGAAATAACTCAAAAATAAAAACATGATTATCTACATATATGTTGATAATTTAATAAAAAATGGAATTAATCATAATTATGACAATACAGAATGTGAACATTCTCCCACAAATTATGTTTTATTGGAATATGTCCTTCAGGAATAATTACCCACAATGCAATACTCGAAGAGAACACCTTGTTACCTCTTATTCTTATTGGTCTTTTTGTTTACTTTTACATGAGATTGAATAAAGGACCTTATACACCCTCCATTGGGATCTCCCCATGGGAAAAAAATAATTCATCTGATTTTTCAAAATGAGTATTCTGCTTCAATTATTACATTTATATGCACACTAGTATCTTGTTGACCTATATTCAGCACTGTATTGATGTATAGGCCACTTATTAGGGTCATAATTCAATCATGAAGTGTAGAGGCATAGATTCCAAACCAGGAAGTATTTTTGTGTCTGTCAAAATCCATTTACATCCTACGCATCCCTGCATCTTATCCAAATATGTTACTACATAATGAAATATAATGGTATAATCTTTGGTTTTACAAACTTGTATGATATTTGATAAGTGTAAAAGTTGTTTTTGGAGCATTTTTCTATATCCATTTTGTAGGGAAAAAATGATTAAGAAATGTACTATCTTTTAATTTTAAGTATGACCTGAATCGATTGCAAACTTCATATTTGCACTTTTGATGAGATAAACCATTTGTGTCATATTGTGAAATTATTAAGTTTGCAATCGATTCAGGTCATAGTGTATTTTTGGTATTTCTGTGATAATCAATGGAAACCAATGGCCTCTATTGAGATCTGATGATATCCTCATGTTAAGTCAATGGTGCACAGCCCCATGTAAGTCAATACAACCTTACTGAACGAAATGATCCCTATCTCAGCTTATGTGTGTCCGAGCACTTTAATATTTTCCATTTCCAAAGTATTATATGACATTTTATTCTTCATGTTACACCTACAAATGATTCATTTTGACCATAGGGATATTTGCTAATAATTGCACATTGTCCTTTTATGCTTTAATTCTATTGAAAATTGATTTTTATTCAAAATAATACTAAAACATATACATTTATCTAATACTTTTTGAAATATTACCAAAAAGGGAAGCATGGCATTGCTCATTTTGAAGGTCTCATGTTATTACACAGAGTTACATACCCTTCTAATTGAAAGCCAATGGTTTAAAGGATCCCATTCATCTACTCTTCCAACAGTTTGTAATAGGTTATAATTTAGCTTTAAACCTCTAAATTTTTGTTTCACCCTAGAATGTTTACATAGGAATACATATCTTTTAAAAATACTAAAAACGTTATTCAAAACAACCGCTCATATTCTTTTGGAAGCCATTGTTTTATATTATCTTGTACAAGGGTTTGGACAATTGCACAATCATAAAAAGGTGGCATATTGTGTCTACATGTACCATTTATGGCCACCGGGTCCCAACATGCCATGTTCTGCCATGTTGCCAAGTGGTAATATCTACAAGATGCAGTCACTTGGCATATACTTGTTAGTAACATGGCAATATTTTAGCAAGTACCTTTCTGACAACATGCTACTGGTCTAGCATGTGAAAGACAGAGCAACTGGCTCAGCATGGCATGTGGAATGTTCAAGTGATTATTCAAGATTTATTCTAGATTAGAACATGTACTATTTTGGTTGGACATGGCATCTTGTTTTAGCATGTGTACATGTATCAGAATGCGAGTACTGCCATGTTCGCATGTTGGATGTGCATGTTGATTTATATATGTTGCATTGGCATACTTGCCATCTTATATTTGCATGTGTGCCAAGTACCTTGATTCAAGTGATCCCAAGTTCACATCTTACCAAGTACAGCATGTCATGTGATAAATATGGCTACTGGCCGTAGCATGGCCGTTGGATGTGCATGTTATAATAATGTCCATTAATGCTCTACATGGTTCTACATGCCATCTTGTATTAGCATCTGTACCATGTACCAGAAATGTTGGTGGTGCCATGTGTGCATGTTGCCAAGTTCAACAGACATAGTCATTTATTGATCCTGGCAATGATCTTTAATTCATACATTGTATATGTGTTGGATGAACATTGTGTCAATGATACATCACACTGATATTTTACATTTTCTTATGCTGTATTTTAAACTTGACTCTATAAGTTATATTTTTGCATTTGTCATGTTGTTTACATTATGTATTTTTTAGTTAGTTTAGTCTAAGTTATTTTTGTATATTGTACACTGTACTGACTAATATGTCATTGTGATGACATCTGAGTCAATAAGAGATGTTCGTGAACGCTGCTCCTGCCAAGTAGACACTTTATCATTAGGGTCTGGTACGTTATCGTCGCTCCTGCCAAGTTGACCCTGTATCATTAGGGTCTGGTACGCGATCGCCGCTCCTGCCAAGTGGACCTTGTATCATTAGGGTCTGGTACGCGAATTCAGCACCTGCCAAGTGGACCATGTATCATTAGGGCCTGGTACACGATCGCCGCACCTGCCAAGTGGACCCTGTATCATTAGGGTCTGGTACACGATTGCCGCTCCTGCCAAGTGGACCCTGTATCATTAGGATCTGGTACACGAATTCCGCACCTGCCAAGTGGACCCTGTATCATTAGGGTCTGGTACGTTATCGCCGCTCCTGCCAAGTTGACCCTGTATTATTAGGGTCTGGTACGCGATCGCCGCTCCTGCCAAGTGGACCTTGTATCATTAGGGTCTGGTACGCGAATTCAGCACCTGCCAAGTGGACCCTGTATCATTAGGGTCTGGTACACGATCGCCGCACCTGCCAAGTGGACCCTGTATCATTAGTGTCTGGTACACGATTGCCGGTCCTGCCAAGTGGACCCTGTATCATTAGGGTCTGGTACGCGAATTCCGCACCTGCCAAGTGGACCCTGTATCATTAGGGTCTAGTACACGATCGCTGCTCCTGCCAAGGTGACCCTGTATCATTAGGGTCTGGTACGCGAATTCCGCACCTGCCAAGTGGACCCTGTATCATTAGGGTCTGGTACACAATCGCCGCTCCTGCCAAGTGGACCCTGTATCATATAGGGTCTGGTACACGATCGCCGCTCCTGCCAAGTGGACCCTGTATCATTAGGGTCTGGTACGCGTCCTGTGTCCTCAGTGGGTTGGTCAGGGTTAGGTAATCATTTAAAACCCCATCTGGTTTAATAGGGATGGGGTTGGTAATTAGGGTTAGAGTTAAGGTTACGGTTAACTCATTTCACTTTGCAGGAGCGGCGTTCATGTGCCAGACCCTACTGATAGCGATCGCTGCTCCTGCCAAGTAAACCCTGTATCATTAGGATCTGGTATGCAATCGCCCCTCCTGCCAAGTGGGTCTTGTATCATTAGGGCCTGGTACCCGAACGCTGCTCCTGCCAAGTGGACCCTGTATTATTAGGGTCTGGTACGCGATTGCCGCTCCTGCCAATTTGACCCTGTATCATTAGGGTCTAGTATGCGTCCTGTGTCCTCAGTGGGTAGGTCAGGGTTAGGTAATCATTTAAAACCCCATCTGGTTTGATAGGGATGGGGTTGGTAATTAGGGTTAGGGTTAAGGTTAGAATTAAATTTTTTTTATTATCTATTGACACAGAAGTTTATTGTATATAAGAATATGTTTTAGTTAAATGAAGTGGGAAAACAAAAGAATATGACAAAAATTAATGAGTAATAAGGCTGATTATTTGACAAGTTGGCCCTGAACAAGTATTATGAGGGTTCCTTTGCTCGCTCAGTTTTTACAGAAAATACCTATAGAAAGAAGTCCAATAATCAAGGTTACAGACTAGTCAAATTTCTTTAAAAATACTGTAGTTTTCGCTCAAACACGGTAGATTAAGGGAGATTTCAGTCAAAAATACGGGAGGTTATTACGGCCATTTTCACGGGAAAAAATGGATTCAAAAAAATTAAGGTACATTTTAGTAGAAGTACAGTACGGGAATTAACAGTAGTTTTACGGGTTAAAACGGTATGGGAGTTATATATATGTTATATTTACGGAAAAACAAAATATTTTTTATCGCCTATTTTTGAACTAATTTTCTTAATTTTTCCCCAAAATCATGTGAGGATGAATGCTATGTATTGGTGTGAATTATCACTTATTAGGGTTATTATTGCTTATTAGAATGTACATGTATATGTTGTTAACTGTAATATCTATTAATATACAGATTTTCAATTTTACATGAATACAGTTATATTCAAGAATTCAAGATGTTTATGAGCAGGGAGCCTACATAGTGAACTAATTGACACTCAGATTAGAACATTAGTACAAGGATACTATTATGTTCACATGTGTTTAGAATTGTGTTAAAATTGTATATGATACAGTGATATGCTGTTCATAGCTTTGTAATATTAACAAGTTAATGAACTTTACTGGACAATTATTTCAGAATAAAATCATCTCTACATAATAAATTATTCTCTGCAATCTATTTTTGTTTTATGAGAACATAGTTAGCAATCTATTATTATCATATTGAAAAATTTTACATGTTTTAAGTCGCAGTGAATTCTAAGAAATAATGCAAAGGCAAAGTCAAATCCCTCATGGAATTCTTTAAAAACAGCCGCCCCGCTTCCCTCCCTGGCAAAAGCTGACTACTGGCCTGAGAGTGGCAGAATACTAATGTAGTCAGTGTAGTTAGTGTAGTTAGTGGTCAGCTAACCTAGAATATTGTAGAGGATGATTTCTTCATATGCTTACTACAAAGCTCAAACTTATATATTGTTTATTGTTTCTTTTATTCCCGAAAATTTATCGGAGCAACAAACATAATAATTACAATACAGTTACTTTATACAATAGAGATGTATAGTTTAAACTTTGCAAGATGCTACTCGGACATGCAACATGGCAGCATGTCACTTGCTAACTTGGTCCACATGTTGCACATGCGAGATGTAGAGTTTAAACTTGGCAAGATGCTATTCAAACATGCAACATGGTAGCATGTCACTTGCTAACTTGGTCCACTTGCTGCACATGCGAGATGTATAGTTGAAACTTGGCAAGATGCTACTCGGACATGCAACATGGCAGCATGTCACTTGCTAACTTGGTCCACATGTTGCACATGCGAGATGTATAGTTTAAACTTGGCAAGATGCTATTCAAACATGCAACATGGCAGCATGTCACTTGCTAACTTGGTCCACATGCTGCACATGCGAGATGTATAGTTGAAACTTGGCAAGATGCTACTCGGACATGCAACATGGCAGCATGTCACTTGCTAACTTGGTCCACATGTTGCACATGCGAGATGTATAGTTTAAACTTGGCAAGATGCTATTCGAACATGCAACATGGTAGCATGTCACTTGCTAACTTGGTCCACATGTTGCACATGTGAGTTGTATAGTTTAAACTTGGCAAGATGCTATCTGTACATGCAACATGGTACCATGTCACTTGGCAACTTGGTCCACATGCTGCACATGCAAGTTGTATAGTTTAAACTTGGCAAGATGCTATTCGAACATGCAACATGGTAGCATGTCACTTGCTAACTTGGTCCACATGTTGCACATGCGAGTTGTATAGTTTAAACTTGGCAAGATGCTATCTGTACATGCAACATGGTACCATGTCACTTGGCAACTTGGTCCACATGCTGCACATGCAAGTTGTATAGTTGAAACTTGGCAAGATGCTACTCGGACATGCAACATGGCAGCATGTCACTTGCTAACTTGGTCCACATGTTGCACATGCGAGATGTATAGTTTAAACTTGGCAAGATGCTATTCGAACATGCAACATGGCAGCATGTCACTTGCTAACTTGGTCCACATGCTGCACATGCGAGTTGTATAGTTTAAACTTGACAAGATGCTATCTGTACATGCAACATGGTACCATGTCACTTGGCAACTTGGTCCACATGCTGCACATGCGAGTTGTATAGTTTAAACTTGGCAAGATGCTGTTTGAACATGCAACATGGTACCATGTCACTTGCTAACTTGGTCCACATGCTGCACATGCAAGGTTTATCATTGAGACTTTGATAGATTTAAATATGGGACATGGCAGCATGTGACTTGTAACTTGGTCCACATGCTGGGCAACGTATATCTTTCGTACTTGGCAAGATGCTAATTGTACTTGGTGCACATGGCATGTAGTACCCCGGTGGCCTTAGCTGACATGTACGCGACAAAAAGTGCACAGATCGGAGTCTGCTAGACCACACATCTGTTAAAGTAAGTATTTGTTGGTCGTAACAAATCTATGTATTACTTTATAGTTAAATGATCAAGTTTAGGTTCGAAATTGCTTATTTTGTTCATTTTATTTATTATTTCCCAGTCCGAGTCCTGTTGCAATTGTTGTATTCAAATCAATGTTCCACTTTGCAGAATAGGTGCCGTTTATGATTTGTATACTTTGGATAAATTCCTAGTAAATTTGTGACATATTTTTGAACGAGATAGAAACTTATTCAAGTATTTTTTAATCGTACGTGTTTCATTTATGTTAAAATTGTCTTAATCCAGTCAATTGGTATCGAGTTTTTTAAAGATAAAAAGTCCAGGAAGTTTAACCGCCTTAAATTTTTGGTTAAATTCGTGGAGGTTAATAACTTGTTTATTTGGCTGAAACATATCTCGAAGTATATTTTATCCAGGAATTGCACAAATCACACCGGAATAGCCTGACAACGGTTAACCGTTGTCACAAATGGCGGACATAACAGTCGCTTCAACTAAGTTAATCCCTTGGTCCTAATTTAATGGGATTTTATCGTCGCTAATTCTGTGCATGTATAAAGCTCTTGTGATGATATTCCACATGAATATTTTTATAATTTTATTTATCTGGAACTGCAATATGAACATACAAATCGATTTCATTTATCTATTTTTCCACATAAGCAAAGATGGGATGACCATTTCTTGTATAAAAATCGTCATCCCATGCAATTTTTTTTCCAGGGCCACAAAAAGGGGGAGGCATGCCAGTGAGCTAATGCCTGTAATTCTCATTCATATCCTTCAATGGTTTTGATTCATAAATTATCACGTGTAACTAAAACTGTCAAGACATTCGATTATTTATTGAAGCACAGGGTGGTCCAAAAAAGTAAACTGCAAAAGTCTATATTTTCCTTAATACATGCATGAATTGCCTGATATCATCACATCCTGTAGAGAAAGGTCTACAATTTTTGTTGATGCCATAATTTATTCGCAGTTTTAAATTTTGAAGAAATAGCAAGACAACAAACAACAAACATGCCTAAAATTAGATATTGTGCAAAACCTTACCAATGTGATGCACGGAAATCGTTAAAACACATTGGATGATCTTGAAAAAGGTTTTAGAGAGATATAAGTTTAAACCATATCATATGACAAATGGGACACTATTTGAGCAGAAAACACAATTTACATTTTCATTGACCATTTGAAGCAGTTTTTTACCATTCAACAGTTAAGGGGCGTGTTACCTCCACAAACGGTTAGAGGGAACAAAGTTATCCCCTGTGACCCAAACCCTGAGAAGCCCCTCATATAAATATCTGACAAAAATTAAAAGGAAATCTAATATTCAATAATGTTTTGAGCCATATTTTATTAGAATTGGTCCAAAATTAATGAAGATATTGACATCTTAAGAACATATAGGGGTATATTGCGATTTCACTGGAACATGTTTTCGTCTCTAGTTTGGAAACTAAGAACATTTCTTTGGATCACAATAACTTTGCAACTGACGGAGGCAGGATTTTTACACCATATAATGTGCAGATTAAAATCCTTATTTGGACCACCCTGTGTTATTGTTTATTTAAGATGTGAGGAACTGATACACCCCCTTCGAAAATTTGACAAGTTCGTGACAGTTTGTACACAGCTTGCTTATATTTTTATAATTTTATTCATCTGAACCTGCAATAATATAAATCGATTTCATTTATCTATTTTTCCACATTAGTACAAATGGTTCGAAATTGACAAAAGGCGGGATGACCATTTCTTGTATAAAAATCGACATTCGTCATCCCATGTAAATCAATGGATGGGGTTACAGAAAAATACAACACATATTTTAACATTTTTGACCTAGTAAACTGACAAATGACGTTTTTACCGTTTCTATTTTATTTTCTATTAGTATTAGCATTACCACGCTGGGTGATTACTGCTATAAATAAATGATAACTCATCGTTTTTACACACATTCATTTCCATTATGTATCGCCTCTTGAAAAAATGCATTTATTTTTCTAAAATATTCCTCAGTTTTCAACATGAACCATCGCCTCACAGCACAAAGGTGACAATAATGTCCAAATTCGAATGAGGCTAGATGTATTTCGTCGTGGCGCAGACATCGTCTCTATATTGACCCCGAGATGCACACACAAATTCAACAAATGTCTCACATAACGCCGTGCACGCAACGCCTTCAGCTAAAAGTGTGTTGGATCCTGTTTCTGAAAACATAAATTTAATTGTAACTTTAATTTTAACACTGATATGTCGACACTGGCGAGGTACAAGGGAGGTTGCGACATCATGGGTACCCGGGCATGAGTGAACCGGTGGGATTTTCAATATACAGGCCGCCTACTTCTCAAGACCATCTTGCTTGGCTGTTTCACGACAGGATTCGTGTAATTGATTCTTTCTTTAGTTACGGCAAACTGAAGACTGCCGTATTCATTGATATTGCTTGTGTCACAACTACTGAACGAACAAGTCATAATAGTCGTTATTTAAAGATTCAAGAGTTGGCTGACAAGCTGACAGGGCCGACTTATCTTGGTCAATACTTATCTCATAACATGCTTAGCTTACTGTATTGGGCGTGATGGTTGCAGAATGTCCCTTTACATCATCAGGGCAGCCACGGTTCACACGTCCCCCAGATTGCCCAATAGGTGGTACCTTCTCAGGATCAACCCAGAAGACAATACCATCAAATGAGTCTCTTCTACCTCTTTTGTAGTCTGCATTCAACTCCGCATCAGGTGCCTGGCTAAAGCTAACAGTCCTGTCCAGGTTGGCATATTGCCCTAATGTCCAGCTGTCGATACTGGCGGAACGTTGCCTCGCATTACCATTTTGAATCCCGGTAGGTCCGTTTTTCTCTTCGTCAGAATGATAATTTTGCTCCAACACGTCTTGTACGGTCATTGGATCCTGAGCAATTGCCGTCCCGAGTAGCATCTGCGTTGATGCAAGTAGAGTACCAGTGGTAAGACTCCTCCGACGTCTCACATGCTCTTTTTGGAAAAAACAAACGAATGATTATTTCTCGATTCAAATAACATGATGAACCATGATAATATTTAAGAGCAAATATCCTAACCTGTGGCGTTAACGTGGCAGTTCCCAATTGTCGTTTCATCCACGCCATTCTTCCTGCAGACTCCCCTGAGCGCGTTGATCTCCGTCTGGAATTCAAGTGAAGCTACATGGTTAGTTTTTACGAGGCCTTACATCCCAATAAAAGTTTAAACCACTCTGGCGTTCCAACTACCAATGTTATCTAAACTTGATATGTGAAACTTTTCTTTCATTTCAAAACTGTTGTTCGAAAAAATGTTTCCATACCTTATATCGTATAGTCTGTCGAGCCATGGATGCAGTGTTTTTCTCTGCGGACTTTCTCGCTGTGGTCAAAATTCTGATCTCTATTTTATACTTTTCTTTAAACACAATAATAAAACCTGAAATTGACGTTAATCAAGTATGAGTAAAATAACATACCACCCAACCCAAAGGGAATAGCGCACACAAAAGGATGGCAGATCGAAGCAATATGCATAAATTTCTGGCCGGGGGGGGGGGGATAGAGGAGAGCTGCCGCTCCCCCAGCCACCCTGATAATGATATAGGAATTTGTATAGAGAATGAAATTATGTAATTGCAAATAAAGCAAACTATATGGTCTAACTGAAAGACACTCTGGCTCCTCACCAAATATTTGTCAAATAGGGAGTCCCTTTCCAGTCCCCGTTTTAATGTATGTTTATGTTTGAATATTTTAGCAAACTCATCAAATTCAAAGATTTCCGATGTAGATTAAAACTAAAGAAAAGGCTTCCACAAGCTATTGCACAGGGAGCCGTGGTTGCCAAACTTATGTAGTGGAGTGTACTATATTTAGAATAGTAGGGGTTACCAGTCTACTCACAATTAACAATCCTGATGACTCTCCAGGGAAGCAGAATGACAAGCAATAATGCCGAATGTGCCATACTGTAGTGCCAGATACCACGAATCAAAATAATGTCTAGTATCCAGGAAACAAATACAACAAATGCATCAAAAACCTGAAAAGATACGATTTAGAAATTTTAGATAAGATAACTATTCAGAAAATAGCGAGCGCAGAATTTATAACGAAGTTATATTTTAGTAGCCTAATAGACTATGTAAATCTTGAACCAATGCAAAGTCCTTTTACATTCGCTATTACAAATTCGGGATTTTAGTTTCATCGACCCATAAGTACATCATTCTAAATCTTCACATCAATATTAGAATACGTACGTAGAATACGTAGATTTTCTACTTCAAATCTAAAACTTACCTCTAATTTACTGTGGAAGAAATGCTTTCCGAAAGAAAACAATCGTAATATTTTCTGAAATTAAAAACACCATTAACTTTATATATTTATGCATTCTATTAATAGGCTATGTTAGACTGTTAATGGGTATTTATAAAAAAATTACGCTATATTTTTTTTAGTTTATAAGGTTCGGTCGAATTAGGCTTAACATAGTCCTACTTATCCAAACCACTTACATGTATGCAAGACATGGGCAACTCTGGTGTTGGTTAATTACATAAAATTCCTTTTTATCTCCAGTCCCTGAGCCATACCGATACCCCATAATTACGTCAAATCCCATGTACCATAATTACCACAAGTACCATGTTCCATTCTTACCTCAAATCCCATAGTTATCTAGTACTAACCATACCCCATAATTACCTCAAATCCCATATCCCACAGTTATATCAAATCCCATATCTCATAGTTATCTCAATATCCCATAGTGGCTTCAAATTCCACGATTCACCCCAAACCCTATATCCCATAGTTTGCGAAAATTCCATATTCCATAATCACCTCAAATCCCATCTCCGACAATTACCTCAAATTCCATATCCCATAAATACCTCAAAAACCCATCTCCCATAATCACCTAAAATAGCATCCCCCATATTTCCCTCAAGTCCTCTCTCCCTCAAATACCATCAATACTTCAAATTCTATCTCCCATAATCACCTAAAATCCCATCTCCTCAAATCCCATATCCCATAATTACCTCTAACACCATAGCAGAAAGGGCAGCCAGACTTCCGTAGTGAAGGTAATGGGTAAGCCTATATAGGAACCCATGTGGCACTGGGTGGCGATGTGTAACATTCTTATTACAGTCGGCCATGTTGGAATTGAAGTCTGTTGGATCATTTTGTCCAAAATCCTCAGTGAATAAGTCTTGTTTAGAACTGTCTGGATCGAGATATTTGGCAGCATTTCGTTTAGTTAGAATCAGCCTATCACTGGTTTTGTGTTCATGGTTATGTTGTTTGGACATTTGTTCTGGGTTAAATGCTTCTAAATAATGTCGTTTACAAAAATCAAAAAGTGCTCCATATGACTCAACATTTTCTAAATTGTCAAGAGCTGCGATTAGTACTTGAGACAGATAAATTGGGTTTCGTTCTTCAGCTTCATCTAAAGATCGTCTGCTTCTTCTTGGCCGAACATCAGTTCCGTTGCTGCGAACAAAACGCAAAAGATCTTGCAGGTTTCTCCCGTCGTAGCAATAGTAGTCGCCAGGGTACGTGCGATTCAATGCTTGGGTCAGCCCGTTCGTGTCCCGCACGGTTCTGTCCAGTCGATCTTAACGAAAGGTGTAAACAGTTTTATAACATGCAAATAAATCATAATCATAGTAAATTATTTTATAAGGCAGACCATGGGAATAGAGATCCATTGTATACGATTAGATGGTCGTATTACTTTTCATACTTGGAGATCGCTTTGTTGTTTGCAAGACGGAAAATGCAATGTACGACAGTACATATTCGGGCCTCATAGACTTCCATCAAAGCGAACATCGGTAACATCAGTTCTGACGTCGCGAACTACGCTCCCTGCACTCGAAGCACGATTCTCACATCACGAACGTGATATCTTTCGTTGCGCACCACCATTTACTCGCTCCCGATCCAATTTCGCCACTCGCGAACAGAGACCCGTGCTCGCGAACCACATGCCTGATCGTGGTTCGAGAGCACGGATCTCTGTGCGCGAGTGGAGAAATATGTCCATGAGCGAGGAAATGGTGGTGCGCGACTAAAGATTTTGCGTTCACGTTGTGAGAATCGTGGTTCGAGTGCAAGGTAGTTCGCAAGGTCAGAACTGATGTTTGCGTTGATGATAGTCTAGGAGGTCTGATATTGGCACATGTTTCGTTGTAAAAACCAGTGACATTAATCATAATTACTTCTTTTTTTTAAAAGTTTAGTTTATTTCAATCAAACTTACTTCTAATAATAAGCAAATCACATATGAGCTGTCCAACCACGAAGCACATGTCAGATATAGCCAAGAAGCAAACAATGATCAGAGCAGGATGGCTGTGCAGAATGTGAGCCAACTTGTGCCGAAACCTAAATACGGAAATTCATGATTGATGATTTCATAGAGAGCACGCCTGGACAGAAAACGTGATGTCTCTAAATCTGATTGTCATTATGCTCTCCAAGTACAATTATAAAATCAAGAGCCAACGGTAAGAAACTTTTTGATCGGCCCTTGTACAACAATCTTTTTTCCATTGAACACGCTATCTACCCCATAAAGAATCACAAAGATTCCTTAATCATTGAGAAAGTTATTTCAAAATTACTGGGTGGTGTTTTTGTGTCACCCTGTATCATTTTGAGGATTTACTTGATCTCCGTTACTTTCTTTAAGACTCGACATTGTACGATAGGTAAATTCTATTTTGCACAGAGGCATATAAATATCGTATGTATTTGGATGGCAGAAATATATTTTCTTTAATTGTAGATATCATCCGTGTGTTAAAAAGATTGCACATCAAAGGGATTTATTATTTTGAGAGTTTTATCTAAATACTCCCATTATGCGTAATCAAAAATCATTTAGTGCCAAACTTAAAATAACATAACCCCTAGAGTTGATTTAACCTCGCCAATTTACCTCATCATCAACTCATTTTGGCCAAATCTACAGGTGAATGTTTATTTAAGATATTCATTAGACATTAGAAAATAATTATTAGTGCGAATCAATCACTAAATTAAGTAGAAAATAAGTGAAGCCTTATTTAGCTGATGCAACCATTTAAGTCACAAATTAAACATCAAAATTAATTATGGCATGACATGTAAATTCAAAAACATGTTCTATTTTTGCTGATTTTTTTTGCTTCTGAGCAATGCAGAAGGTATGAACTGATATGAAATTAAATGGTAATAATACAAAACGGAACTGAGAGCTATTTATTGAATTAAAGATTACAATCATTATGATCTAAAATTCTGAAGGTAGTTCCAAAGTCTTACAAAAAGTAAAAAATATCCGAAGGGGAATTGCCAAGTTCAACATTTCAATTGATTCAATTTGATTTTAATGTATTCAACCATAAGTGTAGTGTAGTGCGAAGAACATTTTGCCGTAATATATTGGTTATGGCCGAGACTTACCCAAATGGTAAAAATTTTATAAAAACGCTCATCATGCGGATTTACCTCACATCATTGTAAATTGTCAAAATACGAAATGAAATTAAAAAGCTCTGTAAAGGCCTATTAATATTCATAATGCTTCAAATACGGGCCAATGACGCCAGAATAAGACTAGTTATAAAACGTAAAATAATGCCAAAAACATACCTTTCAAATTTAGAATGTTTCAAATGACTGACTCCTTCATTTCCCATTTTGGTTAATTCACTTGATCAGGCGAGATAAGATGTGGACCTTTATGCACATGTACCTTTCTTTGAAGAATGCGTTAACTCAATCAATTAAGACTCCCATCAATGATATGAGAACGATTTCCATTGGTTTGGCGACACACAATTTCACCCTTGACCTCATTAAAAAGTTGATCACATTTATTTTAAAAGTGCAGTTTATGATATAAACATTACGATGCTATCATTCAACTGATTACTGCTATTACCATTGTGCCAACGTTAATGGAGTGAGGACTGCAAATAGTAGAACTTTAAAATGTTGCATCATGTTTACTTAAAGTGTGACCAAAGTAGCAAATCCCATCGAACAGCAATGGCTGGCATTTTTACAAACTAAGTATATAGCAAAAATGGTGGCTATTTTTCAAAACCATCTACCAAAAGTGTCATTAGACAGTGTGCCATTTTTATAATATTCACATACCAAATATAAGCAAAATCGCTCCACTATTTTTCGTGTTATAGCAAAATACATTAAAATTTTCAAAATGGCCTCCTCCTACCAAAAGTGTCATTAGACAGTGTGCCATGCTTATAGTATTCACATACCAAATATGAACAAAATCGCTCCACTACTTTTTGAGTTACAGCAAAAATCGTAAAATAGCAAGTAAAGGCCGCCATTTTTCAAGATGGCTGCCATGAACTTCTTTAATACCTACATTTCTAGCTTTATTAATGTCCTATATAATTTTTTTACATTTAAAACATATTGCTATCACAATCTTACATATTGTACCTAAATTACTGTAAAATCGGCACTAAAATGGCCGCCATTTTTAAACGAGCGTCCATTTTGAAAATCGGCTTTCGAGCAGAACTTCTACTCCCATAAGATATATGTGTACAAAATATGAACAAAATCGGGCCAACGGTATTTGAGTTATTGCCCGGACGGACGGACGGACGGAGGCGTTCCCTATATCCCTCAGAACTTTGTTCGATGGGATAATAAAATACGAGATGAATGTTCCATTCTATGGGTTTCTACTTAAATTATATCCCTTAAAACATTCCATGCCAGTTACATAATAATAACATAACATCGGTTCAATCATATAATGAACATAATTCAGTTTCATATCTGTATACCTCATTTAATCAAACTAATTATATATCAATTCATTCTTAATAATTCTGTTCTTACATTTTAGAAGATTCAATATCAAGAGTCTAGTTATTAAATAAATAAAAATTTGTAATGCTATGCATGTTACATGAGACTTATTGATACAGAGTGCACCGAAAGGCAAATCACCAGTCAGATCCTGAAAACATGTATGTCCTTTTCTCACTCACTCCATTATGCTGCATGAGCTGCTCATGAATTTCATTGTTCAGTGTCTTCAATCTTCAGCAATCCTTACATTGGAAATAGCGTAATGTTTGACACAGTAACACTCAATCTGTCCAAATTACCAAATCATTTCTCTTGCGAATGGAAAACAATAAAATTGCGCCAATGTTATAAAAATCCCCAAAGTAACCAAGTTCAAACATCCTGACATCACAGAAAACAAACCCAAAATCGATAATTTCACTCTATCATGGAAGTCCTCCTTTACACTTATATGGATCCAATATTTCATATAAAGATGACAATCTGCCTTAACTGGTCCTGTGTAGTAAATTATTGTAAGTCCATAAGTCACCTTCAAGATGGAAATACTGCAAGTATAAAAAAATGCTTCAGTACTATGGGTAAATAAAGTAGTACTATGGGTACATGTAGTAGTACTGTGACAACATATAGTAGTACCATGACAACATATAGTAGTACCATGACAACATATAGTAGTACCGTGACAACATATAGTAGTACCACGACAACATATAGTAGTACCGTGACAACATATAGTAGTACCATGACAACATATAGTAGTACCATGACAACATATAGTAGTACCGTGGTGTGGGTTCATATAGTAGTACCATGACAACATATAGTAGTACCGTGACAACATATAGTAGTACCATGACAACATATAGTAGTACCATGACAACATATAGTAGTACCGTGGTGTGGGTTCATATAGTAGTCCAAGTATCATGGTCAAAATCACAAATGCTTTTAATTTCTGAAATATGTAAGCTCAATGAGATTTAATATTGTTTAAAATAAAATAATCTAGAACACTTTTTGCATATTTACCTTGGTTGGATATTGCATTGAAGACTCTCTCCTGTATTTCTCACCTTCTCTTTGACGATCCTCTAGCTGTAATATTAATATGGTTGTGAATATATGGCGCAAATATTAGTTTAATAAGTATGCTCAGGATGTCATATGTACATAGTTGTACATGTAAGTCATTTACTGGGCGGGATTGAATATGGATATTTTATTCTGAGGTACTTATTTCTTAACTTTACAAACTCTTAATGGAGCTCAATTATTATAGAATTCTTACAAATCGTTTGTGTTCTGTTGCTGTGTTGACATCTCCCATCTTCAATGAGTTTGTGACGTGTTGCCATAGTTTCCTGGACTCGTATTCACCTTGTAGATTTATTGGTCGTACACATTTTTTAGAAACTTTTAACTTCGTTGTATCAATAATCTTTTGTTCATCCTGGAAACCAAAAAACACATGTATACTGTAGTACATTAGTGGTACAATTCATCTGATACACAAGAGAATGACTGAGGTATTTTAATAAAAATATTCATAATTAGGATCTTGAAAAATTCAACTGAGGGAGTGACAATAACATTTGCAGGACATAATATTATGCATTCACATACAAAATATAGCTAACCTCCTTAATAAATAAAACATCAATTTATGTGACCAGTAAGTACTGTATACTTGATGGAAATGACAAAATGGACACAAAATTCCTTCCATTGTTTATGAGGACATATTATATGGCACGAGACATTCATTATTGATATATGATAAAATACAACTCACAGTGTTGAGATAATTGAATTCCAGATTGCCGTTCCATTCTCCTTTGGCTCGACAAACTATAGCTCCAGACTTTAAATTCTTCAACTCTGCACTGACCTCATGTAGCCTTCCTCCATAAAAGGGCTAAAATACAGAAATATACAGAAATAATGGGGTGTTCAAAATCTTTCTGGCTGATTAAAAGCAGAATTAATTTGATTCCTATTTTTCAATTTTGGATTATGTCTAAAAATCCAAAAAGGATATTACATCAAACCTAACATTAAGAAATACAGTATAACCTTATGTATAGTGAACAACTATGGAGCCACAAAAATGACAAGTATCTGTTTTTTACAGAAAGGGTGTCCACTTAGACACTGTTCAATAGAGAGGTGTCCACTAAGACATGCTTTACTGTAATACCAGTCATACCTTTGTATGGAAAGTTACAGCAGCTGTATAGCCTGTTTTTTGACAGGTAATGTTAATGCGATCCCCCAGCTCTACCCATGGCACTGTCAGTATAGACCGCGCATAGGCACTCGGCAGTGAAAACTTATATTCCTCATCATATTCTTGGAGATAAATTGAAACTGAAAAAAGATATTACCATTAGCTTTATTTTACATATAAATGGCTACAATGTCTCATTTGGTATATGGGTTGAATGTTCAGATTTTTTCCTATAAATCTTTGAAATACATAAAGTGTTCCTACTTAAAACAGAAGTTTGAAAGAATAAATGATGACGTGCCCAACTGTAGATGGCTAGGGAACAACTCACCTTTTCCTACCATGCTGACACCTATAGACATCCCCATGAACTTTGACTTTGTCCATATGGAACCATTCATGCATATCTTTTTGTCAGGACATTCAAAGTAAAAGGCAGATACTGGAAATAAAGGCAATATCTTGTTGAGCTAAAACATTCAGATGAGATATCCCAGAATATCAAACCTATGAAGTATGACATCAATATATATAGCAAATGGTATGAATGATAAAACCAGAGAGCAGCAACGCCAAGAATTGCAAATACAATCTAAGAGCAAGTGGCTGAATTAGAACATTCAACAGAGACTTAAAAAGAATTAAAAATGTTACATTACCAGGTGGGTGATGTGAGACTTGTTCAGCTATATATATCAGCCTGGATGACATCTGAGGCTCCTCCAAAGTGTCACCATTTGACATTTCAAGCTTTGGGACCTGCCACGAGCAATGAAATGTCTCCCCTATTATTGGATTGTATGGCTTTTTGGCAACGGATCCCTAGAATCATAGATATATTCAAAAGGGCTGAGTATTAACTATTCAATGACTATTCATCTAGCATTCAAAGTGTGATGAAGAGAGATGATATTTTCTCATATGAATAGCTCAGATTCAGATATCATCAACAAAGAACAAAACAGCCATCTTTAATTCTTAATTCAAATCCACATGATGAAATAACTTGTGACATCACTTGTTTATAAACAAGAGGATAACACATACACTGAAATAGTGAACAACCTCAAAATGGAAACACTTGCTAATCCACTCTGGTCCCAGATAAGAGGCACTTGGATCAGACAGGTTTTACTGTATACCCCCAAAATGCAATCTGATTTTCGACGCCGTTTCGGTGCCAAATGGACTGACTAGTCCCGTAGCAAATTTTGGTGTCAAAAGGTTTCGGTGCCGGAACGGTGTCGAAACGGTGCCGAAACAGTGCCGAATTTTTTCGATGCCGAAACGGCGTCGAATTATATTGGCTGTGTACTTATACTTGGTGTTTACCTGTATGATGCCAGCATGGAATGATGTAAGGTACCACTCTAAAACATTCAACATCCTGCTCTCAGGGTCGGATATATCTGTAGTTCTAAAAGTAAACAATAAACAAAGTTAACTACACATTTTCAAGTATACAACAGCAAGGATGAAAAAGTGCAAATACAGTTCATCACAGATAGGTGAGTTAGCTGAATAAAAAGAAATTAAAACATTACCCACTATTCAATAAACCCACGGTCAAATGTATGCAGATGACAGATGTCGGGAGTGTAACATCAAAAACCTGTTGGACCACTGTCATGAGGCTCCCTACTCATTCATTTTATTTCCAGTTTGATCAAATATAATATAATGTTTAATTGTACTTCATACTAATCTCATATTCCTAGCTATACTTACTTCATGAAAAGGTCTGGGTGAGCCATACAGTCTGCAAACATCTCAAGCAAAGACCTCTTTTCTAATATAAATGTGGGCAAAACAACCTAAAATATAGAATGAGATGATATAGAGGAGGAAAACAAACCACAAATATCCCAAAATTCTGATCTAAAGAATTAATGTCTAATATGCCTCTTCTAGAAACAATTTCTGTCGCAATGTGAAATTATATTGAAAAAACATGTGTATTTAACAGAAAATGAATCACAATAAATAATGATAATAATGATAATGAGCAATTTTCAAAATATTCATCCAACATACCCTAGTCAAGTCCATGCCGAGTTTAAGCTGTGAAAGAAGATGTAGAATAACACTCTTGTGAGCTTCTACTCCACCAAGTTCAGATTCTTTCTCATTGTCGTCATCCTCAATATCATCATCATGGTTGACTGGAACTACAAAAATTCATTTAATATCATCATCATGGTTAAAATTTCATTTTGAGTTTTTCATTGAAATCATCATTTTTGCATTATGGTTTCCCAGGTGATTATAAGATGCATTTATATTCTCTTGGTAATTTCAGTCTGTCATGTCACCACTTAAAAAGATCAGATATATCTCTATTGAATTAGTACATTGGATGATGAATAAGCTCCCCATATGTTTACTCTTCCACTGCTGTCCTCATCAAACTTCCACAGTGGGATAATAAGACAACAGCAAGGCCAAAGCATAGCAAATCCCATCAAACAGAAATGGCTGGCATTTTTACAAATTAAATATATAGCAAATATCGTAAAATAGAACACATAAGAAAGATGATGACGACTCACTAGCCAAGTCGTCATCAGAAAAAAAGAAAAATGATGGCCATTTTTTAAAATGGCTGCCTACTACCCAAAATGTCATAGGAAAGTGTGCCATGCTTATGAGTATTCATATCAAATATGAACAAAATCGCTCTATTACTTTTTGAGTTATAGTAAGAAATGTAAAATAACACACATAAAAAATTGTGGCCATTTTTCAAAATGGCCACCTACTCTCCAAAGTGTTATAAGACAATGTGCCATGCTTAAAGTATACACATATCAAATACGAACAAAATTGCACCACTACTTTTCGAGTTATAGTAAAAAATGTAAAAATGATGGCCATTTTTCAAAATGGCCGCCTACTACCCAAAATGTCATTAGACATTGTACCATGCTTATAGTATTCACATACCAAATATGAAAAAAAATCGCTCCACTACTTTTCAAGTTACAGCAAAAATCGTAAAATGATGTGCAAAGGCAGCCATTTTTCAAGATGGCTGCCATGTATTTCTTATATAATTAGTAATTACATATCTTGCTTAATTAATGTCCTATATAACTTTTTTACATTTAAAACATATTGCTATTACAGTTTTATATACAGTACCTAAATTACTGTAAAAATGCCATTTTTTAACGAGTGGCCATTTTGAAAATTGCCTTTCGAGAACTTGTACTCCCATAGAGCACATGTGTACAAAATATGAACAAAATTTAAAAAGTGAACGGTATTTGAGTTATCGCCCGGAAAGACAGACGGACATATGTATGGACAGACGGAGGCGTTCCCTAGTATATCCCTCCGAACATCGTTCGATGTGATAATAATAATACTAAAGAGCAAACCTTCAGGAGAAACTGTGGATAAAGCAGATGTGAAGCTGTCAGCGGGAGACGCCTTGATAGCACTTTTACTTCCTCGTACCCCCGGCCTGCAAGAGAAAGTTCACAATGGTGGAATATGTGTTCATGTACTATAGTAGAGTTAGTAGTAAAGGAGTACCAACACTTTTTTCACAAAGGACTTCAAAAAAATAAGCTGTTGAGTTTTGATACAATCATGTTGGAAAGTGCGTAAGATCACTTTCAGACAGCCAGCCATATTTGGATTGTGCATATTATTTGACAATAAATACTTATTTGCATACTCATCTTTTAAGACAGAGCTGATTCACTTACCCTGGAGAACTTCTTGGTTCCAACCACTCCACTGTTGCACCTGCAGGGATGCCAGAGTTCTGAGCCAACTGCAACAAAAACATAGATGTCAGTAATAAAAAATTGACTTAAATGGTGACCATTTTAAATTGGTTGACATTTTCTTATTTTAAATATAATTCTATATTCCATACTAGAGAATCATTAATATGAACTATATAGCCAAAAATCTAGATTTGAGATGCCATTTTGAAATGAGCACCATGTCAAAAAATGTTCTCAATTAATTATTTCCTTAATAAAGACCCATGACCATGACCACAGTGTTACTGACTGGGAAATGCCAATCTGAGTTCAGGCTCAATAGTATACGCTACAGTGCTAGGCCTTTGCTGAAGCACCACTCACCTGCTGTTGCTGTAGAATATGTAGACACTGCTCCAAGCAGTTGACTGTGGCTTGGGAAGTGGCCTTCAGCAGTAGCAGGTCCTTGTCTAGCCTGTTCATGAACTCTCCACCAGCTGGGAGATCCTGAAGAGAGCAATTAATACATTCAAAGTCTGACAATATTGCCCTTTATTTTAACTAACTATCTAAAGTCACATGAGTTCATTTGACAAAGGTTTTGTTTAAACAGATTGATCTTCCATATTTGTCCATTACTGGTTTGTCCTTTACATATTTTGAGAAAACAATATACAATATACTTACATCTATCTTTTCAAAGAGATGATTCTCATGCGACTGGACCTGATGAATGACCTCCTTCACCTCACGGTGGGAGTCACCTCTGCTTGCTAGTGATGACGTAGACTTGTGATGGGATCTGATAGTGGCAAAATAAAACAAAATCATTAATCCAAGAATGCATGATCAGTAAAACCTACATATCCAAACACAGCTCTAATCCAAACATCACTCAATGTGAACACTTTTTGAGTACTAATCTCCCAATGACTCACATATTTAGCACATCCTGAAATGGGAACACCTGCTAATCTGAACATTTCTGCCAGGTCACATTGGCACTCAGATAAGACAGGATTAAAATTACTAATATATTGTGTTCATGGTATAAAAGAGTTGCATGTTATGCGAACCATTTGGGGGTAAAAACTGGTGAAAATCCAAATCTATTTGAAAGTGTACTGTAAAACATTCAATCAGTTTCTTCAATTCTTAGTGCTATAATCTTGCAGAATGATATCCCCTGCATATACATATATTTCTTGTTCTACTGTACATTTGACTTAGAATGATTTTACAAACCTTTGGACTGTTGTGAGTTGATTCTCAGTAGGTTTGTTAATGTTCCCTGATTGGTCAGTTTTCAAAGATGATGGGGGTGGCGGTCTGTCAGGTCTATCTGGCCTGTGGACTAGAGGAGGAGCATTCTGAAAGAAATAAAGTAGTACATTTGTATGTACTATTCACAAATATTCAGAGGAAAGTAATTCTTACATTTTATCCAATTTTTTATAATGGTACAAGATTGCGGCCTCCTATGAATTTGACTCAATTGTTTAATTTCATTTGAGTGAACAATGTAGTTGATGCATTGCATTTATAACAAGATGCATACAGGTAACTGTGGCTCTTGATCCAACAAAAACCAAGTGACTAAGGTCAGTAATAGAAGTCATTAGGGGTACTAGTAAAGTTTGCATAGTGTTCAAGGGGTTCAAATTAGTAGATAATGTTGTCTAAGTTGTATGTTACCCAGTTACCTGTGCGATTGTGTTTGTATGGTACTCAGCTGTATAACGCAATCTATTCAGCCAATGCTGTCTGTCTTTTGCATCATAGGCTGAAATAGTAAGTTGAAATCCACATCACTATTACGAATACAAATCAGAGTACATATGAATATTAAAAATCCTACAGAAAAACTGCTTCGTGGGAATACATTAGTTGACGAGAAAAATAATGGTATGTTTGGCAGTCATAGGTGAACCTATCACTGTCCTAATAAAGTAAATAAGCTTAAGCTTCCCATTAACACTTATTCCAATGCCCCTTAATCCTACCATTAAGAAATTATGGAGGATACATCTTCACCTTGCCTGATCAAAACGTTTATGAGTCACTATTATAGTATATAAGTTGATTTATGTAATACCTCTGAGCCTAAATATCTCTCCATTAGCAGCATTTACTGTGAAAGTCTGGGAGTCTTCATCTGAGGGGGCAATCACAGAGCCCTAAAATATAACAAGTATAACAAGTTTAATTAAAGTACATGTATTAGGTTGGGACCACTCAACCAGAAGTGAGTTGACAAAACAAAATGTTTGAATAACTCTTGTTTACATTGAACATATTAGAGGAAAGAAAGTGAACATAATTTCTCATTGTTCTTTGTTGGGCTTCTCAAATGCAAGCATGTGTTGTTAAATTTAAGAAATGGTTGGTGTTTGTTAAAATCTGTCATGATTTTTTGTTTGGTATTGAAAAGTTTGTCCTTAATGAAACATTTATATTACGATTAAGTTACAATACTTACAGCAAGGTACACAGAACCTCTGGGCCTCTGTCTCTTGTGTTCTTCTTTCTGGAAAGGGTTATTTTTATCACATATCATTTCTTATACATATTCTGTAGTTGGGGTTTTCAAAAACTACTGGACAGCACTCCAGGTTCACAAAGTGACTAATGAGATTGTTACAATAACAGTGACAATTTCAGGAAGCCAATCCATGACTTACCGCAATTAGTTTATGACAAAATCTCCATTCAAAAGACCTGTCTGAAATATTGTTTCAATCAGAATTCACATATCTAAGACATTTATTTTTTAACTCCATATTCACAGAAAATTTAGATTAAAATTTCATGATTGATGTTTAAATAGTTCAGGTTTATAATAGAATAGAGAAAATGAAATAAAAATCAGACATTCATAGTCCTGATCAATCAACAATTACCTCAAAGTACTCCAGAAGTCCTGACATTGGATCCAAGACAAAAAATCTGTATTGCCATCCTTTCATGACATTCGTATACTTGGACAGTTGGCCCTCCAGGGGCTGTCTGTAACAAAGAAAATATTTCCATAAATTCGGGTGCACATTTGGTTATGTCCAAAAGTAATGAACTAATTCCATTATACTTTGGTAAAATGTGGAGAAGTTGTTATTGACACAGAGTTAACTAAATATCTAATCTAGTAATTTTGATTTAAGAATTAATAGAAAATAAAACATATGTGTATAACAAATTGTTTATTGATGATCCAGATCAAGTAGGACTGTTTTAAATAAAAAACTAAAGTAAAAACAGTTTCATGTGAATATGGTATGGTAGAATATTGGCCATTGTTTATTCTAAAGTTGAATTTAATTCATTGTCATTGTAAATACAATTACAATGAAGGGAGATAGTCCATTTATTTGTTAACAAATGGTTAATATATCATACATTGTTCAATTAAGACCAGTAAATCTCCATCTGGACTTCCTTTATCATATATAAACACCATTTACATCATAGAATTCTAGGTCTCAGAACTTTTTGCACACCCCATGTATTTTGTATTATACAAGTACAAATATAAATTACTTCACATACCTCATTTTTTCTGATTCTTGTGACTCAAAATCCTGTAAGTACAAGAAAGTAAAGTTAGTATTATTTTATATTTTACATGTAACATTAAAGACCCAAGGTAACAAAAGTCAAAGATGAGTTGAAAATACATTTTAGTCATTCATGTTTTCATAAAAAGATGTAACAATTTAAGAAATCATTGTTTCATTGTTCTTCATTGTTATCCGGCAATCACTTAAAAAACATGTACATGTACCACTTGAAAATTCAATATATCTCATTTCTTTTTTCAGCTTATAAAATTGGAATTGTTAGGGAAAGGTTGACACCCTTTTACATACTCTTTAGTTATAAATACACATTCACTCCATTATACTCATATCTTTCCTCATAACCATTCCATTTTTTGTTTTCTAAAATATCGCGTGAGATATTCTAAACTCTATGAGCCAAGTGTCTTTTGTAAAAACGATTCTTTTCTACCAAAAATAATATTCAAGTTACAGATTTTTATTGTAATTTATCTTAATTGCTATGGATCAGAGTCAGAAGATTTTTCACTTTAACAATTCAGGTAAATATGCAATACAGGTACAGTAAAACCTGTCTAATCCGAACACCATTGGGACCGGATAAAAGCGTTCAGATTAGGAGGTGTTCACATTTCAAGGTTTTTGCATTCGAAATATTCCGGATTCTGAAGAAATGTGAACACATTCTCGGTAAATATTTATAGTTCTTTTGACCACATAGCTTTATGGCATTCCAGAAATTTGAAAATTCGATTCAAATGAATCTAGTCATGCTAGAAAGCCACATTATGAATGAGACCATTCAAGATTTTTTCCCAAAGTTTTGATATCATGACAAAATTTGAGCAATTTTGTTTGAAACATCAGAAATTTTATGAAAAGTGTTCAGATTAGACAGGTGAATTTTTCAAATATGACTGTTCACTGTTCAAATTGGGAGGTGTTCACATTTCAAGTTTTTTTTAACATGGGAGTCAATGGGAGGAAAAAATGGGACCGAAAAGAAGTGTTCAGATCGGGAGGTGTTCGGATTAGCCAGGTGTTCAGATATACAGGTTCTACTGTAGTTCAAAATAAAACAATTCAAAAGAACTTTTTGATTCAAACATTGCATTTATGCTCTTGTTTCTTTTTAAAGTATGACAAAAGTGATCAGTAATGAGCAAGTATCAGACTGAGACATATATTTTACTAGGTACAAGTATTTTCATACATTCTTGAATTAACTATAGTTTGATAATTAGTTTTAGAGCCTTGGAGTACCAATACAAGAATTAATATCAGTAAAATTATTAACATGTACATTGTAAACATCGTTTGTTACCTCGTTCAGAAAAAAATTGTTATGTGACCTGTATGTGACATAGGCAATTCATCACAAACCCTTACCTCATCCAGATAGCTGTCATCTGCTTTGGAAACATGTACTGATCTTTTCACCAGTTTTCCCGAAAGTTTCTTGATTTTACTCATTCTGTGTTTATTTACAAAACTTATTCTAATAATGTATGATACAATTTAGAGGCGGATCTCTTGACCTAGTTTGAAGGCTACAATAATCACATGTGTTGACCCTTAAAGGGGAGAATGGATCATGATTTATCCAAAAAAATACTGATTCAAAAATCCATATGGAAATGGTATACCTCTAGGTTTTTAATTTAAAAAAATTATAAATTCAATGAGTAAAACCTATGTAAAGTGACTAAAATATAATATGAAATGCATTTTCTTTTAGAAAAACTGCTTATGCCCTTATAAAACAAAACAGAATGAATAAATGTAACACATTACCCTTTACACCCATAAGGTACTCATGATCTGATTCAATCAATTTGTATTTGGTAGAGCCCAATTCGGGATAGGACCTTATTAAGGTACATTGAACTTAATCTACATTATGACTGAATTTTCTATGACCTTATCTGATAATGTAAACCAGACATATTTCGATTACATAGCAAATACATGTAAGAATATCTATGAGACACTACTGTGCAAAGTGCCAACTGACAAAACCTCCCAGAAATATAGAAAATTATATGATATAGAGTCTTAATCGTCTACTGGTGAACATTTGAACCAAATCAAAACAACGCACATTTTGGTAAGTTTCAACTTTGATTTCTGTGATATTTTGTAAGAATATCTATGAGACACTACTGTGCAAAGTGCCAACTGACAAAACCTCCCAGAAATATAGAAAATTATATGATATAGAGTCTTAATCGTCCACTGGTGAACATTTCAACAAAGGCTTACAAAACAAATCACACTTTGGTAAGTTTCAACTTTGATTTCTGTGATATTTTTTTGCAATTTGTTGAGAGAAATTTAAACATGATTTTGGATGTGGGACACTTTATAATATATGTTCATGTTAGTTATGTAGGTCAATGAAAACTACATGAGAATTTTTCTTAAAACAAGGATTATTTAAACCGGTAATTAAGAATATTTAATTTATATGTCTTTACCTTATTTATTATATTAATTCTATCATTATAATCATTTTTAATTAAAGGTCTTTGAATTAGCATCAGAATAAGTCATGGAAAGTCATGGCTAAATTAAGTTTGAAAATGCTTAAAATTCGACATAACTAGAATCACATAATGTCAACTCTTTAAATGAGCAAACTATTTTTGAGAGTACTTTAGGCAAAGAAAAAAGAGTATTGTAATCAAATATTATTGGTCGCTAAGTGGACGATTCACAAACAAAAGCTAGAATTGTATCAACATTAAAAGAAACATTGAACTGTAAAAATTTTAAAAAGAGATAAAAATAAATTCTAAATATAAAATAACTTTCTAAATAACTGTATGTAATATTATATGTAACTCTTCTTTCCTATTATTGTATGATTTTTTATTTAATAATTATATAATTTCTCATCTAAGTTAACCTCTAACAATGGAGATGTGCTCCATTTGTTAAATAGATGGCAGCATGTTCCAATGTCATGTCATATAATTCAACCCCACTTGTCTGTCACTTTGATAACTGAATTTAACACAAAATGCTTAATAAAAATAATTATATAGTATGCAATGAAAAATTCTCTATATGCATTTATCTTGAAAACTTTTTAAATATGGGTTTGGGGAAAAGGTATTGGGCGTGGAGAGAATAATCCATTGAGGGTTAAACTATAATATCTTTGACATTTTCAGGTCAATCTGATCAGTCTGTAAAATTGTTTTCTCATATCTGAAGGTGAACATGTAATATACAGTCATAAGGTTTGATTTCTCAGTTTTTTGACCAATTTCATTCAGGAGAAAAAACATATAAGACAGCAATAATAGGTTTTCAATGAAAGTGGTTAGCCAACATATTAGATCACTACATTGTATGAATGAAATGCGCGTACCACAACGGTTTAAAAATTTGCATTATTTGTAAGACACAGTGTTATATTTGATTTCTCAGTTATTGTAAAAACTATATTAAGATGATAATAATAGTCATTTTCAATGATGGGCTTGGGTGTCTTCCCATTTCGCCCCTTCCAACTTTGCCCCTTCCCATTTCGCCCATAATTTATTCCCATTTCATCCCCAACCCATTTCACCCTTTCCCATTTCGCCCCTTTCCCAAATTGCCCCTTTCCCATTTTGCCCCTCTTCCATTTCGCCCCTGTCCCATTCTGCCCCCTTCCCATTTCGCCCCTCATTCCCCCTTCGCGACATGGGAAGGGGCGAAATAGGAAGGGGAGATAAGGGAAAGGGGCGATATGGGAAGGAGGCAACACGGGAAAGGGGTGAAATGGCAAAGGGGCGAGATGGGAAAAGGGCGAATTGGGAAAGGGGCAAAATGGGAATAAATGAGGGGCAAAATGGAAGGGGCGAAGTGGGAAGGGACGAAATGGGAATAAAACATGGGCTTGTCATTCGGTTAGTCATTTTGAAACACTTGAATTATATGCTAATTTGTGATTTTCTATGGCTAGAATAATTTTTAAAATACATGTAGAATAGGGAATTTACTAATATCCTTTCAACCCTACACCTAATGAGTATATTAAGCTGACTTCATGGATTTGTATAAATAATGTGTAGATCTAAATGTGGCACAAAGTTTCTCAAATAGGCATACTTCAAGGGCAAGAGGGGGAATACCCAATGGCTCAGGGAATACTATATTTTCAATGGAAATCATCATCATCTCTGATTCGTCAAATGACAAAAAAACTTAATCGCAGATTCAAAATTATCCAAAACTGCTTCAAATAATATGATGTTCATTTTATAGCTTATTTTTTCACGCCGTGATAAAGGAATATGTACATGAAGTAAGGAATATACTTGAATTAAAAAACATCACAAACATGTCGTAGATCTATTCGGATCGCGGAAACTAGACAGTGGATATTTGGACAAATGAAGGTGGTAAACAAAAGACGTAATAGACTAATATGCAATAGAAAAAACATGGTCATAACGGAAATATCTCTCTAAATGCGTAGCTTCAAGTTTTTCCTTGGTCTTTTGATAAACCAAATTCTCCCAACCCATGTTTTTGCGAATGGTCAAATAAAGCTGAAATGATGCGTTCAAAATCAGAACCTGTATTTCAACAGGGGAAAAAAAACGGATGCAAAAGGTCTCGGGTTTTTCATCCTTTTTTCCAAACCCCAGGGTCCATGCTTACTTATCTTACTCTTAGATTCTATTTCTCAACTTCTGAAAAATATTTCTGTTGGCATTTTTGAAATTATAATCTAAAAATACGTAGAATTAGACTGTTACCTGAGCACGTTGCATTACGATCATAACCTGCTGTTGTTCCTGCTCTGACAGACCCGATAAATCAGGTAAAGGAATGGGAGGCCTGTCCAGAGACATGATATAAATACGATGTAGGTTTTAACTTTTCAGAATTGTGGCAGGGCAGCTACTTCCGGGTGATATATTTCCGGTTCACCAAGATTTTATTTACATTTACGACATTCAATTTGACCTTTCCTGAAATTAGTCGAATTTTGCTCAGAAAAAGTTCAAAAGTTCCAGAAAAGTTCTTATCTTTCCATTTATTGTTTTAATTAGCGGAGACAACTGTCTGGTGAGTATATCGTAAGTAAGACCTGTTGCAGCCTACAAACAGTAAACATGATACATTAGTAGCAATGGACAACGAATAGATGGCGCGTTTTCGCGGGAAATTTTATTCTCTAAAAAATTGACCCTGCTTTTATATGCAATTTTGGTCGCTCATTTTAACTATGTTAAAAATCGAATTGCTGTTATTTCTTTATAAAATCTGTTTAATAATTGAATGAAGTCTTCGCGCATTCTGAAGAATAGAAGAAAATCGTTTTTGGCGAGGACGAATTTCACGAGGTAAAGTTTAAATCATTTAATTATACCCTCAATAATTTTTGGTCGCTTTGATTAAGCAGTTATTTGTAAAGTTTAAAGTCTTGAGATCGTAAAAAATTAAAACTTACACTGATATATATATGCGCAAATGTTGAAATTCAACTTTTAAAGTGGCTGGTGTAATCTTCCGATTCTCATGCAAGATGGCGGCCATATTTATCTTCCGGGGTCGCGTGTCTTGCGCAAAAATAAAATCGTTAATTTTGGTTAATCTGTGTTCAATTATGGTTGTTACTTCAAATAAATGTATATTTATGAAATCAAATATGCTATTGAAAACTTCTTCATACGATGTCCGTTGAATTTGGACTTATTAGACACAGATTAAAAGATTGTTATTGTCACGTGATTAGTTTGTTGTTGTTCTCGCGATCAAGCACGTGGATCGATGTGAATAGGTTGGTATGATTATTTGACAATTACCATAATTCAGTAATTACAGGTGCCCCAATCTATTATCATCGGATAATCACTTTGACTACTTGCAGTCTCACCTCCCTTGATGCCCCATACTGTAAAAGTTTATCATTGATGACCCATACTAATGATCACTTGATGTCCCATACTATTGATCATTTGATACATGTATACCATACTATTGACCACTTGATGTCCCATACTATTGATCACTTGATGTCCCACACTGTTGATTCCTTTGATATACTATTGATCACTTGACGTCCCATACTGTTGATCACTTGATGTCCCATACTATTGATCATTTGATGTCCCATACTATTTAACACTTACTACCCCATACCATTGATCACTTGATTTCCCACACTGTTAATTATTTTATTCCCTAATACTTATTAATTACTATTGATTATTGATTGTCGTAGACTGTTGATTACTTGATATCCAGTACTGTTGATCACTTGATGTTCCATACTGTTGATCACTTGATATCCCATACCATTGATCACTTGATGCCCCATACTATTGGTTAGTTGATGTCCCATACCACTAATCACTTGATGTCTCATACCATTGATTTCTAAATGCAGCATGCTTGTTTTAACGACTTGGAAAGTTTTATTTTGGTCTCTCTCAAGACTTTTGAAAACTATAATACATGTACATATGGACATATGTATATTATATATTATGGTAAACAATTTAGTGATATACATGTAGTGTCAGCTTATAGATACACTATTTGTATACATGGAAAGAATATTACTCAAGTAATAAAAAAATATTTGTACTAATGTTCTCCATTGATCCAAATGAAAGAGACATAGGAAATTGTACATTGCAAATGTTTATTTTAAATAAAATACAAAAAACGCCCATGGGTGATACTCTGTGACTCTAATTTACGAAAATATGAACTTATATTAGACCTTCATTTTTTTTGTTTGGTTAAATAAAAGTTAGAGTTACAAGAAAATATAAGGTATGATAAGATAAACCTTATTGTTAATTTTTAATTAAATTTCAAAGTTGGGGTCAGTTTTTAGCAAAAACGATTTTTGGACCCCCTGAGGGTGACCTACTTTAAATGGGTGCCACGGCCAGTATGCATTTTCTAAAAATTTAGGTTATAGATTTTCTTTTTATTGAAACTCCAAGCTTTCAGAAAATATATAGTTTAATGGGGTTGGGTTAATTTAAAAAAATGGTTGTCCAATGCTAACATTAGGAGTTCAGGGGAAATGAAGATGGGGGGGGGGGGGTGGGGCTACTTTGCTCTGAGTAATTGAAAAAATGCAAATACAGTTGGGGACATAAATAAATGACAGGTGGATTTGCTGAAGTGAGGATTTCCCATGTTAAAAATAAGAGAATTTACAAGAGGCCATACATCAGTGGATGAGATTATACAAAATGTAAAATATACAAATTTTAAGGGATATATATCTAGACAATATTGGAAATTATGGGCTTTCAGACCACCATAATTAGGAAATGGTGATCGAAAATCGACCTGTCATTTATTTTTGTCCCCAACTGTAGTTGAAATTCGAGGACCAGAAAGAAATGAGTAGTTCTCATATATATTTGGTATTATTACTGGTTGGTTATTAGCGATGTGTCTATGTCAATAATCTGCAAAAGGCTAATAGTAATAAGCGTATAAGCCCATATAGAGTCAGTACGTCTATTTCCAAACACCCCCATCAAAAAAAGTAGTTAGCTTGGCTGTACTGCACATCTATGCTATGATTCTATATATATTATGTGTATCATCCACTGTAGAATGCATTTGCAGAAAAAATTACGAAAAATTGTAAAAAATATCTGGGTTATTCCATTTTTACTACAAGGTATTTTAGGGGGGTAATTCCGAACAGGAGTTTTTTTGGGGGGTAAATCCGAACACTTGCATGGGGGTAATTCCAAACACTTAACTTAAACTTAATTGTTTTAATTATTAGATTGATGGTATATCATTATATGATACCCTTAACTTATGATACTGGATCCTGTCACCCCTGCATATCAAGAAACCCAAATTTAAATCATTTATTACTGACATCTATTTATTTAAATGCACAGAGTTTGTGGGGGTAATTCCAAACACAAGCATGGGGGTAATTCCGAACATCTAAATCATCATAATTGATTATTTTATTGTAAGATTGTTGGTATACATCATTATATTGTATCTTTCAGGCTATAAATATTATGTAGAGGTAGTAGAGGTACTATTATTCAATTCAATGATCTGCTTGCCATTATTTGGAACCCGTTCGTGTTTACCCCCCTGTTTGGATTTGGACGTATTGACTCTAAAGCAGATGTGTGTTTGTCTCGCATTTGCTGAAGAAATTGAAGTTTGATTCTTATTATTCTGTCTGATTATTGTCGTGCAAAAATATTTTATGAAAACATCAAAAAAGGCTGCCGAAAAACAAATACCGAAAAAAAAACACAGTTCATTCAGAATTTTCAAACAAATTGAGGATATGTCACGCATTTGCTTCGAATTTTTCAAGGGTCACAGCAGCCAAAAACTTAGATAACCACTTTGACTTTGAGATGACCTTAACCCATAGACATTGACTTGTTGCCAAGCGTCACATCAGTCCCAAGGACCTTATCACCGAATACCTAGATATTGACCTTTGACCTAGGAATGAACTTGGACCTCAGGTCAACTAATCATGGTTTGTCAAGGATAACAACAGTCGCCAATTGCATTAAATTTCCAAATACCAAGATATTGACCTTTGAACTTGGAATGAACTTGACCCACAAAGTTGACCTTGATCTCAGGTCATCATCGTAGGTCAAGGTTCACAGCACAGACCAAGGGTCTCAAAGAGCCAAATACCTAGATATTGACCTTTTATCTTGGAATGACCTTTGCCTCTGACATTAGTCTGTTTGTAGAATGTCCACCGCGACCCACTTGTTGTTGACCAAGTATGAGGGCCCAAGGACAGACAGATAGAAGGACAGACAAACCACCTTGCATTATATCAACTAGCAATCTACCCATTCGTGGCTCACTACGGGTTACAGCAGCCCCTACATGGCAGCAGCCCCCTCAAAAACTTGTTCAAAGGCCTTGTCACGCCAAATACCTAAATATTCACTTCTGAGCTTGAGATGACATTGGCCCATAAGATTGTCTTTGGTCTGAGGTCTCCGAGGCTAATCGCTGCCCTGTCAAACCTCACGCATTATGTTGAATTATGTTGACTTGGTATATTTGAGTGCAGGACATATGGGCCATTTTCATTGACTTGATATATTGGAGTACAGGACATATGGGCCATTTTCATTGACTTGGTATATTGGAGTGCAGGACATTTGGGCCATTTTCATTGACTTGGTATATTGGAGTGCAGGACATATGGGCCATATTCATTGACTTGGTATATTGGAGTGCAGGACATATGGGCCATTTTCATTGACTTGATATATTGGAGTGCAGGACATATGGGCCATATTCATTGACTCGGTATATTGGAGTGCAGGACATATGGGCCATTTTCATTGACTCGGTATATTGGAGTGCAGGACATATGGGCCATTTTCATTAACTCGGTATATTGGAGTGCAGGACATATGAGCCATTTTCATTGACTTGGTATATTGGAGTGCAGGACATATGAGCCATTTTCATTGGCTTGGTATATTTGAGTGCAGGACATATGGGGCATTTTCATTGGCTTGGTATACTGGAGTGCAGGACATATGGGCCATTCTCATTGACTTGGTATATTGGAGTGCAGGACATATGGGCCATTATCATTGACTTGGTATATTGGAGTGCAGGACATATGGTCCATTTTCATTGACTTGGTATATTGGAGTGCAGGGCATATGGTCCATTTTCATTGACTTGGTATATTGGAGTGCAGGACATATGGGCCATTTTCATTAACTTGGTATATTGGGAGTGCACGACAAATGGGCCATTTTCATTGACTTGGTATATTGGAGTGTAGGACATATGGGCCATTTTCATTGACTTGGTATATTGGAGTGCAGGACATATGGGCCATTTTCATTGACTTGGTATATTGGAGTGCAGGACATATGGGCCATTTTCATTGACTTGATATATTGGAGTACAGGACATATGGGCCATTTTCATTGACTTGGTATATTGGAGTGCAGGACATTTGGGCCATTTTCATTGACTTGGTATATTGGAGTGCAGGACATATGGGCCATATTCATTGACTTGGTATATTGGAGTGCAGGACATATGGGCCATTTTCATTGACTTGATATATTGGAGTGTAGGACATATGGGCCATTTTCATTGACTTGGTATATTGGAGTGCAGGACATATGGGCCATTTTCATTGACTTGGTATATTGTAGTGCAGGACATATGGGCCATTTTCATTGACTTGATATATTGGAGTACAGGACATATGGGCCATTTTCATTGACTTGGTATATTGGAGTGCAGGACATTTGGGCCATTTTCATTGACTTGGTATATTGGAGTGCAGGACATATGGGCCATATTCATTGACTTGGTATATTGGAGTGCAGGACATATGAGCCATTTTCATTGGCTTGGTATATTTGAGTGCAGGACATATGGGGCATTTTCATTGGCTTGGTATACTGGAGTGCAGGACATATGGGCCATTCTCATTGACTTGGTATATTGGAGTGTAGGACATATGGGCCATTTTCATTGACTTGGTATATTGGAGTGCAGGACAAATGGGCCATTTTAATTGACTTGGTATATTGGAGTGCAGGAAATATGGGCCATTTTCATTGGCTTGGTATATTGGAGTGCAGGACTTATGGGCCATTTTCATTGACTTGGTATATTGGAGTGCAGGACATATGGGCCATTTTCATTGGCTTGGTATATTGGAGTGCAGGACATATGGGCCATTTTCATTGGCTTGGTATATTGGAGTGCAGGACATATGGGCCATTTTCATTGACTTGGTATATTGGAGTGCAGGACATATGGGCCATTTTAATTGACTTGGTATATTGGAGTGCAGGACATATGGGCCATTTTCATTGGCTTGGTATATTGGAGTGCAGGACTTATGGGCCATTTTCATTGACTTGGTATATTGGAGTGCAGGACATATGGGCCATTTTCATTGGCTTGGTATATTGGAGTGCAGGACTTATGGGCCATTTTCATTGACTTGGTATATTGGAGTGCAGGACATATGGGCCATTTTCATTGGCTTGGTATATTGGAGTGCAGGACATATGGGCCATTTTCATTGACTTGGTATATTGGAGTGCAGGACATATGGGCCATTTTCATTGACTTGGTATATTGGAGTGCAGGACATATGGGCCATTTTCATTGACTTGGTATATTGGAGTGCAGGACATATGGGCCATTTTCATTGACTTGGTATATTGGAGTGCAGGACATATGGGCCATTTTCATTGACTTGGTATATTGGACCAGAACCAGCTTCCAACAAAATTCCTGCAGAGGAATGAGTCATCTAGACAATGAATTTGGCGATTTATTATGTCAGATATTATAAAGCAGCTTTAATAGTTTAAAATTCTTGATATTTCTTCGTTAAATGCCATGCTCTGGTTCCAAGAAAAGTTGTTCCCGCCCCACAATGATTGATGCGTATATACCACAACATTCAAAAACAAGAAGAAGATGCACAAATGGCAACATCTTGAAAGCTATAATAAATATTTCATATGCACACAATGAAAGGCAACATTCAAAATCATTTAAAATAACAAGAAACACAAGGGGCAAGATCAATAAACTGGTTATATTCAAGAGCTTTTGATTCACCCCTCACTATATAAAAAGAATATCAAGTCTAAAAGGCTGTTCTATTTCAGTATGTCAACTGCAAGGAAGGTAATGAGTGCTGTAATGAAAGCAATTAGAGTATCAGAGTTTGGGGGTGAGGAAGTACTTAAGCTACAAACAGATGTTCCAATACCAAAGCCTCAGATAAACCAGGTGAGTTAGCAACTACACGAAGGTCAATAATTTGTCCCAGATAATACTGGAGAATGGGCCTATGAAGTTGATAATGTTATAAGTCCTTATGGAGAATGGAGACTGTAGAGCCTCAAAGTCCACTTTTTGGTGACTCTAAAGGACAAATTCTCACAAGGATGCCCAAAGCATTTTCACATTTCAGCTAATTTATTTAGTAAAATCTTGAAGGACTCACCCTTGTTATAGAGTAACCAAGTCATTCCAATTTTGAGTTTGTTCCAGGTCCTTATAAAGGTGTTTACTGCTGGGGTAAACCCTGTAGACACATACATCAGATCAGGGGCATATGCAAGACTACCTGAGTTACCATATACACCTGGTAATGACTGTGCTGGAATTATACATGCAGTAGGGGACAATGTCAAGCAGTTTACAGTGAGTACACAATAATGTCAAACATTTTACAGTGAGCACACAATTGTCAAACATTTTACAGTGAGTACACATTTATCAAACATTTTACAGTGAGTACACAATTGTCAAACATTTTACAGTGAGTACACCATTGTCAGACATCTTACAGTGAGTACACCATCGTCAAACATTTAACAGTGAGTACACAATTGTCAAACATTTCACAGTGAGTACACAATTGTCAAGCATTTTACAGTGAGTAGAAAATTGTCAAAGATTTTACAGTGAGTACACACAGTGGGGAACAATATCAGAGATTTTACAGTGAGTACACAATTGTCAAACATCCTCAGCGAGTACTCAGTGGGGAACAATGTCAGATATTCTCAGATCTCATTCTGTATAATAAAAGATACATAGCCCTATCAGTGAATTAAATGGCTTCTTTTCCTTGCACCAATACATGGCCAAGAAAGTTCCATATTGGGTAAGGGAAACATCAGGGAATTTTCATTTAAAGATAAATTGTTGCATCAATTTCATTTTTATAATTTCAAAAATCATATTTTTTTAGAAAGGGCAGAGAATATACTGTATGAGAGGCGAAGGAACATATGGAGAGTATACAGTGTCGGATGAGGAGTTTGTTCACCCTCTCCATGACAATCTCTCCTTCAGTCAGGGGGCAGCACTTGGAGTAGCCTACTTCACAGCCTACAGAGCACTATTAATAAGGTGAATGATCACCTAGCTTTCTGTTGGTCCTTGGGATTATATGAATATACTAAGTATTCTCTTTACTATCGTCATGTTTGTATTGTACCATACTACAATAACATTTAAGAAATTTAGTGTAAATTATTAAACAAAGTTATTCAAGATTTATGATCTAAATGTCTCAAAATTATATATTATTAAAGCAATATCAGTACTCGGGGGTTTCATCAGCAGTAGGCAACAGGTGATTTTCATGAGTTGTTTTCACAAAATCGCCTGTTGTTAACTTTTCAACTTTCCCATGTTGAATTTCATATAATATATTAAATCAGTAGTTTGCCATGGTGCCAAAAAATCATTGTGCTCATTTTTATAATATATTTAGAGCAGCAGCTAAGCCAGGGGAATCTGTCTTGGTACATGGTGCCAGCGGTGGGGTGAGTGCTTATTCTAAGATAAAATAGAGAGCATTTAAATTGCTTGTTAACAACTGAAATGGTCATGTATATATGACCTCAAAGATGAAGAACAGGGATGATGAGATGGTCATATTCCAGTGTAAAGTTGATCACATTTTTAATTTGACTATTAGAGTTTTCTGTCCTACCTTTGAACTCAACCAGTCCAGTTTTTAACCATATTATTATACGAAATATTAAGCATGATATGTGTTCACTCAAGGTTGGTCTAGCTGCTTGCCAGATTGGCCATGCAAGAGGTATGAAGGTCATTGGAACAGCAGGGTCAGCTGAAGGCATGTGCATTGTCAGTAGGAATGGAGCAAGCAAAACATTCAACCATAAAGAAGATGGCTATGCAGAAAAGATTAGTGTAAGGATTTGTTATGTTTGTGTATGGAATCAGTTTGGAAGTGGTTTAAATATGTTAATTGAACAACCAGGTGCAGGGGAGGTCAAATGTAATTGTACTCTTCAAATTTAGAGGTGGAGATTGAGCCAACCATGTAATACACAAGTTGAGCAATTTGATTCCTTGCTATGTTTCTTGAATATATCATTGTGTCTTTATGCTTGATACCATCTGACCCTGTGCATCAAAAGCACCATGTTTGTGTTAATGTGGCAGCGAGACTCACTGTTGAGAAATTCCCATATACTTTGTAGGAATACACCGATGGTGAAGGAGTGGATGTCATCATAGAAATGTTGGCCAATGTTAACCTAGCAACAGATCTCACATTGCTCAAAACAAATGGTAAAGTTGTGGTAAGTTGCTTTTAATGTAACCTTTACAAATAACAAAGCTATCTCCACAATCTCAAATACACTAGATCACACCTTGCAATATTTGGTAACTTATGGTAATGATTTTCAATGTCTGCATTATAGAAGAACACCTGACAAGTGGAACAGTGTTATTAAAGTCCCATGGCCTATCTACCCCATGCTAATGAACCTCTGTAATTGGAACCCTTTTTGTGGTCCCAAGGGTGTTCCACTTGCACAATTGTATTAAAAGAGCATGGAATGTTCCAAATGTGACAGAATCATCAATTCTAAAATTCACTTGAAAAATGTTGTGCTAAACTTACATTTCTATAGATTGTTTTATCATGGTTTAATTGTGCTGTTTACAGGTAGTTGGCAATAGGGGAAGCATAGAGATCAATCCAAGATTAACTATGGCCAAGGAGTCTTCCATTATGGGCTGCATGCTCTGGCAAATGTCAAAGGTACTGTATACAATTGTAGACTATTCTTTGCCAGATGGATTGATTTAGGAATGTTTCTAGGTATGAAAGTCAAGAATTTGCCATGCGTGATGTGATCATTTTAGACTTTCTGTCCTAAATTTTGGGATAGTTTTTGAGAAAAGGGTCCCATTGAAATAACAAAGAGCACTTGGAAAACTAAATCTAATGCACTTTTGCATATGTCTCACTTTCCCTTGTGTTGTTCTTTCAGTTGGAGAGTCAAGAGATAGCTGCTCAGCTGGAAGTTGGCGCAGAACAAGGTTGGGTGAAGCCAGTCATAGGAAAGGACTTTTCTCTCGATCAGGCGCAGGACGCACACCATCTAGTCATTAACAATAAAACGACCACTGGCAAAATAATAATCAGTATGCCATGAAATTGATCTACATGTAATATACTTTCATTATTTTAGATAAACTTATAGGCTTCATTCAAAGTTTCAAAATATAGTCTTATCATCCATCTACTTTCATGCCTTGGAAAACTATATAAGACGTTTTCTGAAAAACTGTGAAAAAAAAGTTTTTTTTCACATATAACTTTCAAATATTTGAATTTCCCACCATTTTAGAAACCAAAGATTTTGAGATGAGTGTTATCTGAGAGTTTTTTTCCCAATGACTTGAGAGAATTTCATTGATTTATTGGGATAACACAGACCCTTATCACAGACAATCCAGTGATTGCACTCACATTTTGGAAACACAAAGATATAGAAAGAATGGACTGACAAGGCTGGGAATAGCAGTTGCACTTTGTTTCGTAAAGTGTTCCTGGAAACGCAACGCCCATGTCAAAGTGTACAACTTATGTATTGCAGTTTTGCACTGCAAATTGCGCATGCAGTAACTCCATCAAATAATCAAAACAATCCTGATCGATGTTCAGATGATGAGTCAACGATGTCAGGATCATATTGCATGTATGAGTTTTCTGAGCACCTTAAAATACATAGCTTTTATTTTTATAGAGAACACATATTTTGTATTCCGTTTTAACTTTAGCTGCCTATTTGACTCACTATTCATATCTGTAATATTGAAAAACTCATGCTTTAAAGGCCTCCTTACATATGACTCGTCAGACTTCTTGTGAATTGGTTTCTGTTCTGGCGATTGGGAATATAAACATGCGAACCGAAGCACAACTTTGCGCATTCTTCTTAAGCAGTGTCTGTAGCTTCCCGGAAGTTTTTTTTACATATACAGCAACGTGGGGCGTAGGAAGGTGTAAATTCAACACTACTGATTGTTTTGATACTGCCCAAGTTGTGGATACTCCTGCACTACCACATAGCAGCCCTTGGACCAAGGATGATCCTACCTAACTTGGTACATTTCATGCACATACCTGGCTTCTAAATATATATAAACACCCCCCTCCATAAGTTTGGCAACCTTAGCTCCCCCATTGAACTACGTGTTAAAGTACCCTTTGTATTCGTTTGATTTCTCTTCTTAAAAGAGAGCTTCGTCTTGTAGTTTAACTAGACTCTGCACGCAGGGTAGTGTTAAAGCCTCTTTATGTTTGAATTTTTATTTGCATAATCTAAAACGAAAAATCTAATTTTAGGGTTGGAAATAAAAATTGACATCACTTCCAGTACCTCCAATTTTTCTAAATTTTTTTCAACAATTACAACAGATCGGAAATCGATGATAAATCTGTTGAATTTTTGAAAATCGACGTTCCCATGTAAACCAATTGTAGACCTATTGTTATGGAGGAAAAAATGGGAAAATTTGGAGGTATTGGAAATAAAGTCAAGTTACGTTTCCATCAATTTTATAAGTATTTTCCCCGCAGGTTATGTAAAAAAGAGGCTTTAACACGTGGTTCAATAGGGGAGCTATGGAGGGGAGTGTATATCTTTATCTGGCTTTCCGTTTGCATTATTTTGTTGTACTCGTAGAGTGGCATTAATGAAGATAGATGATGTAATGTGAACGAGTGGGCGCATGGAAAAGTGAATATATTAGCATGGGAACAAGGCTAATATCAGACTAATATAAGCAACCATTAAATGATAGATGTATACTATTATTGACATTTTATTTATGAAATCCAAATATTATATTTAAAATCGTATGTACCATAGAAAAAAACGTATACGGCACATGTTTTAAAGTCAGTGCAACAAAATTGGGTATACTACAAATCATATTACAGATTTTGAAATATGGTCTACTTAGAAAAATAGACAATTTTATATTATTATTACCATTAGCCTTTACACAGGTCGCAATATTCCATATTATCAGATAAGGTAAATATGAATTGAACGTGTAAAGATATTGTACAGGGTGTCCCATATGTTTCAAGAATGATGCTGTATTTTATTGGTTCTCTTTTCAATCTAATTAATTTTGTAATTATTTAATTAAATATGTATTCAAAATATGTAAATGAATCGTTAAATATTGATACTTTCATTTTTCGAATATGATATTATTATTATCTTATTACGAATTTAACCCCCTAACCCGGATTAAAGTTTTAATCCCGGCAAAATCATCAAAAATCACAATTTGTTTTTTGCATCCCGGAAAATGTCAAAACGTGGAAAAAATGACTGTGAATGTTCAATATTCGGATGCTACTGCTTTCAGGCTTTTGCAAAAGGCATCTCTCCTTTTTGCAAATATACTGATCGAAGCGCAACTTTGCGCATGTTTCCAAAGCTTTCCCAAAGTGTACTTCCACAAAGGAACACAACTACCAGCCATGTACAACGTACATATTCTAATGGGAACGATTACTCCCCGGGATTACTCAAGTCATATTATCGTTGTTGAATACCCCAATGGCTTCGTAAAACTCCAAAGGGTTTTGATTTATTTTGATTTTCTTTTGCTTTCTTTTCGATTTCTATACGGGGCATTGAATTTTAACATACTACCTTTCTGTCTGTATCTGGCTTGCTACAATACGGCTCCCCAGGGGGCAACCTGGGGTCGTTACAGAATTAAATCCATTCACAACTGTTGAAAAGTAAAAAAAATGTTTGCAAACCGATGACAAAATAAGAATACATCTACAAGTCATACAGGTATAATTTGTTTAGTTTGACATTAAGCTGATATTGTTACGCAGTAAACACGATACAAAAATATGTCATATTCCGCAACGAATATGGCATATTCACTTGCGGTGTATGACAGATTCACCTGCGGTATATGGCATACACACTGGAGAGGTTAAGCTAACGATGTTTTTCACAACGTAACCGTGAACGCAAAGTACAAAAATTAACAAAGGAATGTATCGAGCGCTCATAGTTTTATGCGCGCTTAGTCTACTTCAGATACTCTTTCAGCTTCATAGTTTCGGGTTTAGAACGGGAGATTTTGAAATTTGACGTTGGGTCAACGGGAACCATTTTACTCGTGTCTATTGAACACTATGCTGTCAATTTTGATTTCGATGCACAGTTGAATTCTTGCTGAACACGATGATGTATGTCATGCATGATTTAGCGCCAAAAATCTTACGAAACGAGCTCGTTTAAAATATGTATTAGAAAACCAGCTATAAAACCGCATCAATGACATACTATAGAATCATTACACGCTATGGTGTAGTCTAAACAAACACTGGATTTGAACGGCTATTTATATGAGAAGGCTACATGAATTTGTATATGGTCGAGTGATACGTACAGGTTCAGTTTCGATTATATATGCAAAGCTTAACCTCTCAACTAACCAATGAGAACGTGATACGGAAGTACGCAATTGTCAATTGCATAGGTTGAACGAAAAGTAAAACTTTATAAATTATTATATTGATTACTGAATCAGCAGTACGTACTACTGTGTATCGAATATATTAACTTAGCAGAAGTATCAGTCACCAGCAATCTCGCGTAATAAACTTACTCAATCAATCCAGGATTCATATATTAGTACTCGACGCACTAACTATGTTGGTAATCCAGCGTAGTTTTACATTTTGAGTCGATTCTCGCAACCAATCAAATCAAGGCTTTCTATATCACGTTTTCACCTGCGGTATATGTCATATTCACCTGCGGTATATGGCATATTCCGCAAGTGAGTATGACATATTCCGCAGGTGAGTATAGGGTATTCATTGAAATCAATGTATCGCATATTCAATGCGGAATATCGCATACTCACCTGCGGAATATGCCATATACCGCAGGTGAGTATGGCATGTTCACCCGTATCACAAATACCGCGCAACCATGAATGTATGCCATATACCGCGTAACAGATATGCTTAAATCGATAAGTCACCGAAAGAGCTAAGAATTTCTGTTAAGAGTTCGATCCAGATTGTATTTATTCAATGTTGGTATATCGGTGCACTGCCAGACGTTCGTTCAAGAGGCGAAAGTAAACAATAGTACCGCTTATTTGAAGAAAACACATATCATTCAGTACAGATTGACACAACTTAACCAACATAACACCTGATCTTCAAAATGGTAAAAGCAAAAAAGTTTATTCTAAAGGCGCCGTTTGACGGCTTTCCAAAACGAAGTGACTTCGAACTTCAGGAAGAGGATCTCCCAGCGTTGAAGGATGGAGGTACATGTATATTCATATTCTGATTTCTGTAATATTCTTTGAAAGTTAGAGTTTTCGCAAGCAACAGTGCAATTATCATGGCACCATTATCATCATAGCATGACTGACAAAAGTCGATTGAAATGTTGCTTCCTGGGAGTTTATTTTTGTGACACTTTTACGAATAGGTTATATAGCTTTTCGTCGAAATATATCTATTTCTTATTAATCGTGATTTCTGCTGTGTCATTTCGTGATTCTATGTTTATATTTGCTGTGTCATCTCGTGGTTCTATGTTTTTTGCCGTGTCATCTTTATTGATTTTTCTAATCAGTACTGTTTCCCACTTTTTTATTTTCATTTGGTTTTGCCGTATCAACTCCTTGTGACACTTGGTCTTCTTTGTTATTTCTATTCAAATAGTGCTGTTTTCCTACTTATATCATCATATCATCAATCTATACCTCAATAATTGTTATACTGCTTTTACTCATATTGCAGAATACCTTGCAGAGGCATTGTTTCTTAGCGTGGACCCCTATATGAGGTAAACTTAAGGAAAGCTATACCTAAATATTTTGATGCTGCTTTACATTCATACTAAGAACATATTTTCATCAAGAGGCAAAAGGATATATAGAAATTGATGATTTGTTATGGCTTTTCATATGTATATAAATATGTATGTATATATGTATGTCAATTAGTACAATCAATAGTATAGGGGTTTACTTAACAATACAGATAAAGAATTTGCGAAATTGTACTGACTCCTTTAATTTGGCAGTTATTGAAAAGGAAATCCCGAAACTTTTCACTCGTAATATCGACGATTGTAGTTTTGAACATATATCTATTGCTTTATTTTAGAGGATATATGGCCAGATTACCACCTCGTTCAGTAATGATAGGAATCCAGGTAGCAAAGTAAGCAATCTTCCCCGTGATACATTTCTCCTTAAAACATCTTACTTAAACTATCAATCTGATGTGATACCTTTCACCTACTCAACATTCATTCTCCCAGAATCTGAACCCGCAAATACAAATTAATTCCCTTATTTGTATAGCCAGGCTTTTCAATACATTAAGCAAAACATCTATAGATTATAAACATATCATCTGTCATTTTCTTCATGACCAACATGCAAAAAATGACCAAATTTCTTGTACACTTGACTTTTGTAATATGGTGTTAGACAGTGCCACACATTCTGAGTATGACAAAATATTGACGTAATATTCATCAATTTTGTTTTTACTGCATGTAGGGTGTTGGAAAGTAGAAACAAGGACTACACCCCTGGTGAACTTGTTGTACTGCAGTCAGGTTGGAGGACGCATACCATATCAGATGGGAAAACGAACGGTGACTACAAACTACCCCCAATGGGCGACCTGAGTCCTTCACTGGGATGTGGATCTGTTGGGATGCCAGGGTAAGACACGTCAAAGAAGCGCTCCCGGGGAAGCGCTTTGCATGTGATAACAAAGTTCTTCTTCTCTCTGTTATTTAAGTTTCATTGGTCTGTTTCAAATGGTCATTATTTTATGGCCATTTTACAAAACGTGCTCCAAATGACGAAACATACCAAAATCTGCAAATATGAACCCTCAGAATTATATCATTGGGGTTATTTTAAACTTTTACAGTGTATGTGTACGTTAACAACCGTAGAGGCATCAGAGTTGAAACAAGAGATTATAAGGAAAGTGAGAGGCATTACAGAAGATACAATTACAGTATCTGTGAGAGTGTAGTCAGGACCCGATACGTTGTTTACCTCCAAAGAAAAAGACCGGTATTTTGAGCTTGTATTGTACACTGGACATAAAACCGCGACCATCTAGAATAGACCGTTGATCATGAGACAATAAGCAAAACGATATTTGTTCTTTGGTTTTCTAGTATGACTGCCTATTTCGGGTTCCTAGAATTGTGCCAACCTAAGGCAGGTGAGACAGTAGTGGTATCTGGCGCGGCAGGAGCTGTAGGAAGCCTGGTTGGACAAATTGCAAAATTAAAGGTATACTAGTAGATGGTCCTTCTTAAGTCCAATTATCCAGGAGAATCGATATAATTAGTGCATTTCCATCCCAAGCAGTGTACGATGCCCCCTGTCTATGTTCTTCGAGCTATACCACTAAATGCAGAGGAACTGAAATTCAGGATTTGAATTTGAAACTCACTGCCTGACTACTATGTATAAACCATGAGTACTGGCCGTAAGGTGAAATGATGGCCTGAAGCCGTATGCCCGTATGTACGAATATCACTTAAATATCACTAAAACCCACATTGACTCTTGTGAAAGATAAATGACCCACGCCATTTTACTTTACACTCAACTCTTATGGAAAGTGATTTCTTTTGTATTGGCTATTCAACTGTGGCAATGTGTTTCAACAATGTTTATTAAACACGTCAATAGGCCTACATCTCTTTCGAATACATTTATGATTTCAGAAATGTAAAGTGATTGGGTATGCTGGAACTGATGCAAAGTGTAAATGGCTGAAAGAAGAACTCGGTTTCGATCATGCTTTCAACTATAAAACTAAGGACATAGGGCAGTCTCTAAAGGAAGCGGCTCCTGAAGGAGTTGACTGCTATTTTGATAATGTAAGAATTTGGTACACACTTATAATATATTTAAGATGCCGCTAGGATGGGGGTAGGGTGGTCTTTGTATTATTTCACATTTCCATTGTTTCATCATTTCGTAACATCACTTGTACTTCTGAGTTCATAAGTACTTGACGCGCATTAAGTTATGCGGAATAAGGACACCATACTTGGACAACCCAATCAGAGATCATTTCTTAAACACATTTTACATGCCTTCAGTAGTAAACCATACTATATAGAGAATAACTTTCACAGTCGAAAAAAAAGATTTTTTCATCTATTTGGAAATACCTTCATAAATTTTGTTATGATCTACCCAGGCGTAAATTTACGTCTAGACAGGCGTAAATTAACGTCTACTCAGGCGTTAATTATGCCTGTGTACTTTGGGTAGGTTGGCCAACCATGATATACACGGGCGTAAATTACGTCTACTTGGGCGTAATTTTACGTCTGCACGGGCGTAATTAACGCTGGCCATCTGGACCAATGTATCGTCATACTTTTAACGCCGTAAAATCTACTTTTAACGCCGTAAAAACGATTTTATACGCCGTAAAGAATTACTTTTACGCCGTTAAAAACGATTTTTTACGCCGTTAAAATTCATTTTGAACGGCGTCAAAAATAATTTTTACCGCCGTAAAAACAATTGTATACGCCATAAAGAATTACTTTTTACGCCGTTAAAAACGATTTTGTACGCCGTCAAAACCTATTTTTACGCCGTTAGAAATTATTTTTTACGCCGTTAGAAATTATTTTTTACGCCGTTAAAAATCTTTTTTACGCCGTTAAAAATTATTTTTTACGCCGTTAAAAATTACTTTTTACGCCATTAAAATTACTTTTTACGCCGTTAAAAATTATTTTTTACGCCGTCAAAACTGATTTTTTACGCCTTTTGAAATTGCGAACGTACAGAACATTGTTAATCATTTGCGAAAAAATGTTTAAACAATGAAAACTAGATGTTTATCAAATTCCCGAGATTTCCATACAACCAAATGCGTCTGGCAAATAAAAATTCCAATATAAATGATAAATGTGACATGTACAGTGACAGAAAAATAGGGTTTTGGATTTATATCAATCAGTGGGTAAGTCGAACATACACGTTCGTTTGTTCAATGAATACCAGATTGTAACGCTGGTTTTAATTGGCTGCCAGCTATACTTTTTAACGGCGTACAAAATCGTTTTTAACGGCGTAAAAAGTAATTCTTTACGGCGTATAAAATCGTTTTTACGGCGTTAAAAATTATTTTTGACGCCGTTCAAAATGACTTTTTACGCGTACATAATTATTTTTGACGCCGTAAAAAAATCAATTTTGACGGCGTACAAAATCGTTTTTAACGGCGTTAAAAGTAATTCTTTACGGCGTATAAAATCGTTTTTACGGCTTTAAAAGTATGACGATACATTGGTTCAGATGGCCAGCCATACCCCGTAAACAACGCGGGCATACATAGGGTAGGTAGGCAAACCATACTTTTCTGGGAACAGCAAAGAAAACGGCTAATCAAGGGTCTCAAAATAGTTGGAGGCATGACAGCAGTGACAGAGATGAATCATATGAATCTATTTGGCAGGATTCAGTTCTGTTTGTAATTTGTTTTGCTACATTGTTCTTCATAGGTTGGTGGCATGACTGCGGTGACAGTGATGAATCATATGAATCTATTTGGCAGGATTGCGAACTGTGGCTCCATCTCATCTTACAATGATACAGAAGTTGCAACGGGTAAACTGATTTTTATTTGAATTAAAGGTTTTACTGTCCCATTCTTTGAAATAAATGTATAGGCCATATAACGGATTGCCCCATGTCAATTGTCGGGGTCTCTCTTAGAACTGATCATCAAAGTTAAAGAGCCACATGAAGAAGAAGGAATGTAGACATATCATCTGTTCGACCAATGAGACCTTCTCAGGGTTGCACAACTTTTCATAAGCATCCATGTGTCCGTGACTTTCGTCATTATGTAGTTTCGTGGAGGGTGTTTCTCGTAAAAATGATCAAATCTGAAAGACGGTTTCTCATGTAAGGTGGACTATTATCTTGTTATTGTTTCACAATAGTATCATCGGATGTTATTCAGGTCCTTATATATTCGCGCTGATGGTCAGACAACAACTCCGCAGTGAAGGGTTTAATGTACTCCGATGGAGAGATAGTTGGCCTAAAGGATTGATGCAAATGATAGAGTGGATAAAAGAGGTGAGGTATTCCTTCAAAAGTGTTTGGGCAACATATGTTCGATCACTCGAGCTATACAAGATGGAACTCTAATTGCGAACTCTACCGAAACATGGTGACTAACATGCACTGATCGATGTTCAGTTTCTAATTCTGATACGTCATTACAATATAGGCCTAGACTTCTGTTTTGATTTCAACTAGCTCTCTGGAAAAAAATCTAGTAGAAGTCCAATGTTTATCATGATGCTTTGATTTTTTGTCTCCAACTGTGATTGAAGCCAACCTTGTGGAAAAATCGGAGCTGCCCTTTCTACGCGGCATTCTTGATAAATAGACTCGTTCTGTAATATTGTAGGGTAAGGTGAAAGTCAGGGAGCACGTGACATATGGCTTCGAGAAAATGCCAGAGGCTTTCATGGGAATGCTTCGCGGAGAAAACACTGGGAAGGCAGTAGTTGCTGCTAAGTAATCGTAGAAATACCAACAAAACTTGGACAAACCATGCCATGAACTACAAAAAATGAAGACACACATCAACCTTGGTCTAAAGCTACATCACTTCTAGCTGGTGGTTGCAATGTAGTCCAATGGCGGTGAAAGTGCCTCGTATTTTTGGAGATTATAAATGTTATTTCAAAAGGACATCAAACGCATGCATTTTTATGACAACTGTGATTTGGTACAAGCAATACTGTCATTTAAAAGTGTTAATTTCTATTTAAGTATACTATTAATTGAGGGTAGTTGGATTGACCAGCAGGGCATTTTAATATAGGCCTCTCGTATATACATAATCACTGTGATAATACATGTGGAATATGTATAGGCTAAAATCTGAAATATTTAATAAACAAAGAAATATGTAACTACCACTACCATCTGTTTATGAATATAGAGCAAGGCCTCTATCAGTCATCATCCACACTAGAGATGCTTGCAATTCAGATGCTTTCAGCATAAGACCAAGTTACCATTGCATTAAAAACAAAGAAAAAGAAAAAACGTATTCTTTTTTGGGGAATTTATTGTGTAACCATTTACTTTTACACCGCTATATTCATAGAAAAATTAATACATTTTACTCCATATTTGTTGTTAACTCATAAGTTTCACTGATAAGACAACAAATTTCTCTAATATTAATAGCATTTTTATCCCTAAAATCCCAACATCTTACAACTTTAACAAAATCCTCATCAAAGTCCATCATATTATGTACATTCGTTATTATTAAATAATACTGCAAAGGCTATACATTAACACCACTGGCCAAAAGTAATAATATACACACTTTTATAATTTCATTTCATGATATCAACATTTCATTTTATTTCATGATTAATAAAATATTTTTCGTTATTCAGCATTGGTGATATATGCACTTATTGAAAAATAGTTTTGGCATCCAATAAGTTTTTAAAATATGGAAATAAACAAAGTAAATTTATAACTACAAAACAGCAACTCTGTGAGGAGTAAACCCTGACAAACAAAATAAGTGACGTTTTTCAAATCAATATGATCCAAGTTATTCCTCATAATGAATATTTCATGCTGGACAAGCCATTCAGAGATCATTTCTTAAATACCTTTTACATGCCTTCAGTAGTAAACCATACTATATAGAGAATAACTTTCACAGTCGAAAAAATAACATTTTTTCATCTACTTGGAGTTGCCTTCATAAACTTCATTATGGTCAAATTAATAAATAAATGCATCAGTGCCCTCTATCTTTCAACCAAGAAAGGTCCAAATTGATCAGCTTTGCTCAGTATTGGGGGTCCATAGGCTTTTCCTATTATTAACCAATGACTTGACATAATTTCATTCATTCATTTAAGATAACATCTGACAATCCAGTAATACATTCCAAATTTTCAGTACATTTTTTGGTGTCTTCGATCATCTAAAAAAAATCTACTTTATACATGATTTATGACACTGAGAGAGTACACAGCACACAATATCATTAGAGTGCATAATTACAAGCAGTTGAAATAAATAAAGCATTAATAGCAGCATTGAACACTCAATGTTTATATCATTATCGAACTCTCGTTCTCAGAGCACAAAAAACAATTCTGAGAATATTTCTTAGAAAACACAATTAATAAGCGGCAAGTGCATCACCATGATCTTAATGTTTGTACAATTGTCTATGACAATCTGCTTCGTAAAATATGGCAGATGAAAATATCAAATGGTTTTAAATATTCTGTCACACTTTAGACCTGTTCAAAAACACACAATAACAACATATTCAATCCGTTAGCAGATGTGTAAGACATGAGGCCAGAGTAACAAATAGAAATGGTTCTTGTCACACTATTCATGCTCAAAAGGCAAATGACTTAATGGAGTAATGCTATCATTGCTCACTGATGACAAATCTATTGCAGTCTTTTTTCTGTTAAATTACTCCTTGTTTGAGTGCATTTACAAGCAATCAGAAAATGCTTTGTAATCACACTGACTTAACTTCTGTAGTATGTTTAAGTCATTTGTCCTACCAAGAACCATATATATTAGATAACGTTGGGTGCCTTAACAACCTCTACTTGGAAAAATAAGGTAGAATATTTACAATCGGAACATTGATTTGATATCAAGTCCAAAAATTAATAATAGATATTTGATCCTCTTGTCCAAGATGATAAGGTGGTTGGTCAAGTCTACATAAGCCATCTTTAAAAACACTCTCATAATTAAAAGTAATATGTTGTGGTTCGTAGGCCTGCATGGTGACAAGAGTAAGCTATGTAACCTTGTGTGGTTGCAAAATACCCTATGTCAATGTTAGGCTAAAGTGCCAAATGCCAAAAGTTTGTATGTAGAGTCTATACAACCCTCAATTTCCAGAGTATGAGTAGAGTTGCCTCGTAATGAGATATGGTACAAGATGCTGGATAGTATCCAGAGTTAATGAACACCGTTGGTGACAGCTTCGTCCCCATTGGCTGCTGGGGTGTCACCATTGGTCACCGAAGCATTCCCATTGGCCAACAGATCTGGCCCGTTTTTGTGCTTAGATGACCCATTGACAACTGAGATGTTTCCCTTCATGACTTCAATATCACGAGGTGAGTGTGATGTATGTCCATTGAGGCCATTACTATCAGAGCCCTCTTTTGGCAGGTAACTACACCATTCCTGCCCAGATTCATGTAAATACTCCATCTGATCCAAGAAAGCCTTTCCACTGAATCCACCAACAGCGAACAGCCTGTTGCCCATTACTGCACAGCCCACATTGGCACGACAGCTGACCATATCGGGTCCAAACCTCCAAGTTTGGGTGTTGGGGTCAAAGATCTCCACAGAGCTGAGAGACTGGCTGCCGTCATGCCCACCAATCACATACAATTGACCTGAAAGTGGGTAGCAATAAGACACATTATTATGTCATAATGCATGTAACAGTTAGAGCAGAATTTTTCAGTATGAGAAAAAGTTGAATTTGAAAAGGTTGAAAGGACAGGACTTATTGCAGTTATAACCAGATATAACCAGGGGATAGATACACGTCCAGTATTTTCGTCTGTGCAACTGGAAATACTGGATGCAGAACTCCATTTTGATCCAGAACGAGGTAGGTGACGAGCCTGTTTCTAGATTAGGACACACTGTAAAACGATCACAGGCTACCGAGTAAAATCACACCTACATCTCTCTGGATCATAAATGGAGGTCTGTGTCCAGTATCTCGGTTTGTACCAAACAAAAATACTGGACGCGTTTCTACCCTCTGATAATCAATAAAGTTCACTCAGTGGACAATATCAGACCTAAGAATGACCACAGGTGCTAGTATTTGCTTATTTTGCATATGTGAAGACAAGAAAAGCAATTTACATTTTTGCTATTACACAAATTGACTGCTTCCTCATCTCTTATACATTGAATTTACCTTTGAAAACAGCCACTCCAGCTCCACGACGATTCGTCTTCATAGGTGGCACCAGTGTCCACTCATTGCTTTCAGAATCATAGACTTCAACAGAATTATGACACGTCCAAGCATTGCAACCTCCCACGGCGTACAACAAACCATTCAGGGGGCAAAGACCTGTTTGGGATCTTGCTATAAAACAAATAAATTAACATGAATAAAGTGGCCTAAAAACTTAGTCAAGAAAATGGATATGACAAAGACTATTTCAACCCAAACGTATTACATATTATACAAAATAATGACAATCTTTTAAGTAAATTTCCACTCATCTCTTATCTTTGTTGCTCCTTTAATAAACTTAAATTTCACGTTTCCTTTAATGTCTGAATCTAGATTTAACCAAAGCATATTGAAAATGCCCAATGATATAAATATATAAACAAAGGTAATACATCAAAGTATTAAAAGATGCAATTTAGCACGTACCATGATTCATTGGGGCCATCTGTAGCCATGTATTAGTATCTAAACTGTAGACTTCACATTCCTTGATGGCATTTATACCATCCCAGCCCCCCACACAATAGACTTGGCCATTCAGCACACCAACACCTACAGATACGATGAAGTTATCAGATTATACCTTCATGTTTGCCAAAATGATGTGACAGTGAAGGATGACATATGTCAATGTTCTTCTTAATTCTTAGCAAGTTTATTTAAAATATTACAGTAATATCAGTGTTATTCAATGTTTTTTAACATGTGAGTCAATGGGAGATAACAAACTTGTAACTGAGAAAAAGTGTGTACTTGAGAGGTGTTTGGATTAGAGGTGTATGGATATACAAATTTTAGAGTAATTATATCCCTACCTGCACTGGACTTCTCCAAGCTTAGATCAGCAATGGGTTCCCATGCAGCAGATCCAAAGTCATACATCTCAGCAGATCTCAGTTCACTATGACCATTCGAGCCCCCAATCGCAAACAACTTGTTATCCAGTAGGCCAACATCGAACCTACCCCTAGGGTTCTTCATTGATTTCAATGGAGACCATATATTGGCCTGGATGTCATATTGCTCTACAGTAGCAAGGCACTCCCCTCTGTCGTACCCCCCTACAGCCACCAAGTGGCCATTATAGACACAGACCCCCACACTACAGCGGGGAGAACTCATTGGGGCAAGAGGGGTCAGAGATGTTTGCTTTTCAATGGAGCCATCTCTTGGTGTTCCTAAAAGGCACAATACATCAATAGAACAAGGCACAGGACGTGAACGAGATCACACCATCAAATAGGCAGACACTATGAACCAGGAAAACTGTTCTCCTATTATGTTTACAAATTTCAAGAACAAGAAAAAAATGTTGACTATGGTCATATTAATCAATAGCTCACATATTGAGCTAAAATTTAAGGCAATATGACAAAGTGGATTGTTTTAGATGAGAAGATTTATCGAAAAACCTTCAAAATGGCCGCCAGTAAACAAAATGGCCACCCAAAATTTAATAAGTTCTAGAACTTGATATCCCCTATCATGTACAGAAAATCCGATGAGCAGTTTTCCTGAAATGGCAATGACAAGATTTTTCGAAAAACCTTAAAAATGGCCACCAGAAAACAAGATGGCCGCCCAAAAGTTAATCAGCTGTAGTACTTGATATCCTCTATCATCTGTGCGAATTTGAAGGAAATCCGATGAGCGGTTTTTCTAAATTGGCGCTGACAAGATTTTCGAAAAAACTTCAAATGGCCACCAGAAAACAAGATGGCCACCCAAAAGTCAATCAGCTCTAGTACTTGATATCCTCTATCATTTGTGTAAATTTGAAGGAAATCCGATGAGCGGTTTTCCTGAAATGGCGATGACAAGATTTTTCGAAAAACCTTCAAAATGGCCACCAGAAAACAAGATGGCCGCCCAAAAGTTAATCAGCTCTAGTACTTGATATCCTCTATCATGTGTGTAAATTTGAAGGAAATCAGATGAGCGGATTTTCTGAAATGGCGATGACAAGATTTTTCGAAAAATCTTCAAAATGGCTGCCAGAAAACAAGATGGCCGCCCAAAAGTTAATCAGCTCTAGTACTTGATATCCTCTATCATTTGTGTAAATTTGAAGGAAATCCAATGAGCGGTTTTCCTGAAATGGCGATGACAAGATTTTTCGAAAAACCTTCAAAATGGCCGCCAGAAAACAAGATGGCCACCCAAAAGTTAATCAGCTCTAGTACTTCATATGCTCTATCATCTCTGCGAATTTGGAGAAAATCTGATGAGCAGTTTTCCTTAAACGGCGATGACAAAAAGCGGGACGATCACGACCACGACCAGTATGACGACTATATCCCACCGATGGTGTGATAAAAACAGATACAATACATTTATAATTGATAGGTTAACAGACACAATATATCAAAAGAGTAACAGTACATCAGTTGAGCAACATATACAATATATCATTGGAAAATGTTACCTAAAACAGGGGAATTGGCTCCACTACGGTCACTATTGGCACGAAGATGTATGGAGATAACAGTAAGGTTGTCTTCCAGCATAGCTATACACATAAGTGTCTTGTCTGAAATATAGAAATCAAGTATAAGTTATTATATTAAAGGGTCACATGTTATCAAATATTAGCCAATTATTAATCTGCCCTTGATGAGATTATTTTCAATGTTACAAGAATCGTCCTTAAAATAGAGAGATAAGAAATAAAACTTTAACCTCTCGTGATAATTATCACGTGCAGATGACACTGAAATGACCAATGCCATTGAACTTGAAAGGTCTTAAGTGTCATTTGGGTTCAGGCTCTATGTACTTTAGAATGTTTGATACAAAATACTACAAAATAAACCAAACACAGGTTGTCCTATAGTGCACTTACCGCTGATCTTCTGAGTGGCAACAACTGTAAATTCTTTTTCCTCGCTAACCTCTTTGTCTTTAGGCTCCACTCCCATGACATGTTTGATCTGTGAGGCTGACCCTGGACTGAGACGTCTCTTCCCTGTACCTTGTTTGTTTGGAGTATTACCCTACAGCATTAATTGAGATATGCCTTGTTTATTTGGAGTATTACCCTACAGCATTAATCAAGATATGCCTTGTTTATTTGGAGTATTACCCTACAGCATTAATTGAGATATGCCTTGTTTATTTGGAGTATTACCCTACAGCATTAATCAAGATATGCCTTGTTTATTTGGAGTATTACCCTACAGCATTAATTGAGATATGCCTTGTTTATTTGGAGTATTACCCTACAGCATTAATTGAGATATGCCTTGTTTATTTGGAGTATTACCCTACAGCATTAATTGAGATATGCCTTGTTTGTTTGGAGTATTACCCTACAGCATTAATTGAGATATGCCTTGTTTGTTTGGAGTATTACCCTAGAGCATTAATCAAGATATGCCTTGTTTATTTGGAGTATTACCCTACAGCATTAATTGAGATATGCCTTGTTTATTTGGAGTATTACCCTACAGCATTAATCAAGATATGCCTTGTTTATTTGGAGTATTACCCTACAGCATTAATTGAGATATGCCTTGTTTATTTGGAGTATTACCCTACAGCATTAATCAAGATATGCCTTGTTTATTTGGAGTATTACCCTACAGCATTAATTGAGATATGCCTTGTTTATTTGGAGTATTACCCTACAGCATTAATTGAGATATGCCTTGTTTATTTGGAGTATTACCCTACAGCATTAATTGAGATATGCCTTGTTTGTTTGGAGTATTACCCTACAGCATTAATTGAGATATGCCTTGTTTGTTTGGAGTATTACCCTAGAGCATTAATCAAGATATGCCTTGTTTATTTGGAGTATTACCCTACAGCATTAATTGAGATATGCCTTGTTTATTTGGAGTATTACCCTACAGCATTAATCAAGATATGCCTTGTTTATTTGGAGTATTACCCTACAGCATTAATCAAGATATGCCTTGTTTATTTTGAGTATTACCCTACAGCATTAATTGAGATATGCCTTGTTTATTTGGAGTATTACCCTAGAGCATTAATTGAGATATGCCTTGTTTATTTGGAGTATTACCCTACAGCATTAATTGAGATATGCCTTGTTTGTTTGGAGTATTACCCTACAGCATTAATTGAGATATGCCTTGTTTGTTTGGAGTATTACCCTAAAGCATTAATCAAGATATGCCTTGTTTATTTGGAGTATTACCCTACAGCATTAATTGAGATATGCCTTGTTTATTTGGAGTATTACCCTACATCATTAATCAAGATATGCCTTGTTTATTTGGAGTATTACCCTACAGCATTAATCAAGATATGCCTTGTTTATTTGGAGTATTACCCTACAGCATTAATTGAGATATGCCTTGTTTATTTGGAGAATTACCCTACAGCATTAATTGAGATATGCCTTGTTTATTTGGAGTATTACCCTAGAGCATTAATTGAGATATGCCTTGTTTATTTGGAGTATTACCCTACAGCATTAATTGAGATATGCCTTGTTTGTTTGGAGTATTACCCTACAGCATTAATTGAGATATGCCTTGTTTGTTTGGAGTATTACCCTAAAGCATTAATCAAGATATGCCTTGTTTATTTGGAGTATTACCCTACAGCATTAATTGAGATATGCCTTGTTTATTTGGAGTATTACCCTACATCATTAATCAAGATATGCCTTGTTTATTTGGAGTATTACCCTACAGCATTAATCAAGATATGCCTTGTTTATTTGGAGTATTACCCTACAGCATTAATTGAGATATGCCTTGTTTATTTGGAGAATTACCCTACAGCATTAATCGAGATATGCCTTGTTTATTTGGAGTATTACCCTACAGCATTAATTGAGATATGCCTTGTTTATTTGGAGTATTACCCTACAGCATTAATTGAGATATGCCTTGTTTATTTGGAGTATTACCCTACAGCATTAATTGAGATATGCCTTGTTTATTTGGAGTATTACCCTACAGCATTAATCGAGATATGCCTTGGTTATTTGGAGTATTACGTTACAACATTGATAAGATATTTTCGTTTGTTGTCTTTTGCACAGAATGTTTGATTCTCATTGATATGGATGATGTTTCACACATCTTACATTGAAAGTCAAATTATCTTAGTTAAGTTATCTCCTACATTATTTTTATGAACATGTTGCTAGCTTATGATTCTACCTGTCTTCGTCAATGTTTCTCAATATTTCATTATTTCGGAACAGATTTTCAATTTTTTGAATCTTGGCAATCATTTTCAAATAATGTGTGAATATTGTTTATAAAAAATGAAACCAAATAGCTTTAAAATATACTTTGAATATAAATTCAAAGGTTATGGCTTAAGAAACTGCTGGTCTGTTAGTCCGTTATAAAGAGACCTGCTGGGGAACATGTCACTAAATGTACCTGTCGTTTAGTTTTAAGCTTCTTATAATCTGTGATGATGTCAGCTCCGTTCAGATCTTCGTCGTCACAATCCACACAGTCTCTCAGAGTGAAGTCAGAGGTCATATAAAGCACATTAACCTACAACAGAGGGCATCAATTTCAAACATGAACTGATTGAGAGAATAGCATGTTCACTTGAACAGTCGTTAAATGTACCGTTTAATCGATAATTTGATATTTCATTTTATGTACTTTGTTAGTGTCGAAAAGTGAAATAAAAAATACATGAACAAGTTATTTGGGAAGTTCAAATAATGTACTATAAATTATATTCAAATCGTTAATTTAATGTAAGCATTAGGTTGAAATGTTTTCAAACATGAGAATTCTGTTTTGAATAAGTTTTGAACAAGGAATGGGTATGCTTGTATATATAAACATACTATAATGGATGTAGTACAGTGTACACAAGTGGAGGTTCATTCATAGGTGGGAATTTCAAATTTGGTGTTTCTGGGAACAATGTGGGAACAAGATGGCTGACAGATAGAGAAGGGTCTACCTACACTCTCCATCACTTACATGATCTGTTAACATATCGAGTGAAACGGCATCCAAGAGACTGCGCTGAGTCCAATCGACCACAAGTTTACAAATTTGCCTGTCGTTAGACCCATAATTCTGGTCTGTCTCATTGTCTACACCTGGTGAAAAAAAACACACTGCGAATTTACAAACAAGCGACCCTCCCCCCACCCATATTACACAACATTACCTTGGTCATTCAAGCATGTGGCGTTCAATGATGCATCCCTGTTTTTAAGTGTTTACATGTTTATGTATTTCAGACCTGCAGATAAAGTAAACTTACTTTTACACTGGTACGATCTCTTTAGATTGGAACAGACTCATATACAGTGATCTCCCTAGGATTTTCTAAAATGGGTGTAAAATGTCTCTCTAATTAAAAACTAATGGGAGCTTGCAATAATATCACTCATGAATGTGTATAAATATGTAATGTATATCACATGCACCCAGACTTAGGACCAAGCCTTAGTGCCTAGTCATGTGAGGGCCAAATGAAAATTGAATTCATATAAAGATGGTTTCCCATAATTTTTCTTTTCGGTCCTACCCACATAAATTCTGAAACTACCCCGACAGTCTTGGGTATTATAAATTTGTCACTGATATTTGGACTGAAATATGCAGTTCCCAAATCACTGTACTTGATTGGTATTTTATTTTCAAAAACAAGGAGTTGATTGCATGCAAATCTATTATCACCAAACAAATTTCTCCTAGGATTGGAAAATGCTGACATGATTTAAGGACTATATGATAGCAACAATTGGTGTTATGCCTTGAGGGAGTTAGGAGATCACTTTAATTGCTATTTAGAGATCCTGGTCTCTCATTGCACTGGTTTACTACGTTATATCACCAAATGGCACCTTGGTGTATCATTACATTTGGCAAACTGATATATCATTTAACAATGACAATGGCACCTTGATATATCATTCATATATAGCACCTTGTTACTTCATTTTATTAACAGCCCATGAGATAAATTAACATTGTGTGATTTCTCCAATGAGCTGGCCTAGTGGCATTTCACCCATATAGTAACATAGGTCTAGGCAGCACATTTAAGAAACTCAGCCAAGACTAATTGATAATCATCCCAAAGAAATATAAAATATATGTAAATAGTGGTGAAAAGAAATATGCATGCTAGCGTTGCCGTGGATGATGGTATGAGGCGTCCGTCAGTTCCTCATCTTCTCATAGTCATAGTTGGCGTGTGGCTCTCTTATAAGCTGGTGTCTTCGAATTATCAGATACTATTACAATATAACATAAAAGCTCGGACTGACATCCCATTCATTCATTCGCCAGGGTGGATGTCACGTTGGTTTGTTGTCACCTGAGGTTGCTGGGTAACCACCAGTTGCCAGGTAACCATTGTTTATTAGGTGTTAGTCCTTCAGTGAGCATAAATGAAAGCCTGGATTAGGCCACTGAAAGCTGTAACAGTCTAGAGGATAATTATATTTCCGAAAACATGCAATGAACTGCTATTAACTCCCTAAGGCCTAAGGAATGTCATTTTTGTTTTAACAACATTGATAGTGATGGCACACTCAGGACTGAGGGGGTTAACTGCATTACTAAAATGCCAAAAAGGGGCAAAATATCAAAACTTTATCTTAAATCACAACAGAAATAACAAAACACATAGAATCAATAGACCAGATGCTAACTAGCCAAGTAGATTGGTAGAACAATCTTGGCTTTTGTGACTTAATATTCAAAATTCAGTCAAAGTGATATTATAACTGAAACCTACTACATCAAAAAATACATGAAGAAACATTTTCCTGGCTAAAACATTCTAGGTTAGATTTGCAATAGACCATTAAACCTGTGTTAATTGAAGACACGTCGACACTCATATTGACAGTGCTGGATATCATGAAGGCACTTCACCCTTAAAGACACTCAAGGTGATTTATAATTAGAAGAGCTTTGTATATCAATCAGACGGGGAGATTTATCTCGCTACTTGACATAACATGACTCGTTACTTTTTATTGTGAACTACATATTCGAATGGAACTAAAAATACACAACTCTATCTTGAATGAAACTAAAAATATATGACTGAAGTTCACGGAAACCTTCTTTAAGATTTCATAAACAAGACTAGAGTAAACAATGTTGTTAAACACCAATGCACGAAAACAATGAGGTCTAGATTTTTTTATCAAGATATATTTTTCAATAATTTGCCTTGAAATGTTCAAAATGTATAGAGAAACAGAATCACTATACACGAATGACAAATAACAAATTCTTTAAATGGATTGCCTTAAAATGTGATAACTAAGACTTTGAGTTGAAAAATGCAAAATGCTTTTTTCAGGTCTAATTAGTTTATGATAAAAGTGTCTGAGTTGGGAGAAGTGTTATCTCTTATGACTTCAACGTGTTGTATCCATCACTATAATTATCAAACGGAGAGATTACTTATAATCTGTGCTTTAAGTATGGATACCACTGATATAATCAAAGATCAATGAAGTGAATATAGTAACTGTATATTTTAGTAAACTTACAATAACAACTGAAATTGTATATCACTAATAAACCACTAAAGAGTTTCTAACTAAAATGACGCATGTTTCGACATTTGATAATATTTTTTGATAAGAATTGATAAATTAATAGTTGAAACATAATAAATGACATGCACCACTAGACTATCCTGCATCCATGTGTAAATATGTGTATTGATAAGAAATTCAAATAAATGATTATAATAAAAAGCTTGAACTACGAGATAACCTGTATAGCAAGTTATGGCACTAAAATTTCCTCTAAAATAACACAAACACTATTGCATGTAATAATTTGCAAGTATTTTCATGGTTAAACCTCCTATATTTGCTGATCATAAGAAGCATCTGCAACACATTTAGTCCAGACAGAGCTGAATTTGAAAAACACCTACACAGTTCACACTCTTTCGAAAACAATTCCCCCGCTGAGCAGCTGATAATGGATGACGTAATCTTATGCTGAGTGAAAGCCAATATTATTTTTATACCAATGTTTATTCATTGCACAAAAAAAACTGACGAAGATATACTTTGTCCAATCTAAACCAAACAAATTTTCTTTTTTTGAGGCTGTGAATTTATACAATCTACATATTTTTCCAAATTATTTTTTTGTGGGAATGATGCATTGTGGTGCATTCTTCTGGATGTCATCCTAACCTCAATCCACGTCATACAGAGATTGGGATAAATCTCATCCAATCTTTAATATAAATTAAAAGGGATTGGCTGAATCATCTAATAAGATATATGGCTAAATGAGCCAAAAATTGATCTTTTAAGAATAAAATATATTCTTGAAAGAAAGAGCTACTGGGCATATTTTGTGGAAAACTTTGAATTCTACCTCTCATTCTGAATCATTTTGGTCAGAAACCATTTGAGTAAATAATTATAGTAGAAACCCCTGGATCACCAACCACATTAAGTGCTTTTTGAAGTCTAAAAACACCAATGAAAAATTTAATTTGACTTTCCAGTGTTTATGCATCAATAAAAGTATTTTTTAAAATAAAATATGAAAATGTTTTAGAATACTAAAGGATAATTTTTCATTTATGTTATTAATTTTGCAAAAAGCACTAAATATAGTTGAGAATCCAAGGATAATATAAAACTGATGCACTGCAGAAATCAATTAGAGGTGTGCAATAGCATCTCTTCTATCAAAGTTTTTCACAAAAGGGTCCAGCTCATTAATAGGATTGTACAAATTCATGGCCTCAGATTTTTGCAAGTTTACCAATGACTGTCCCTGGAGGGTAAAATAGTGACAATATTCAGGATGAATGTGGGTGATTCAACCTATGGTCCATATATAAGCCATTTTCTCTGAAATAAGGCAAGAAAATCCTGTATCAATAAGGTGAAATGTTGACTGCATTTAACTGTACCATAAATATAGACAGATAGACCATAAGTGAATCATCCACCTTCATTCAGGATATTTCTTGTATCCACACATTGCTCTTAAATTGCACACACAATGGACTCAGTTACTACACAATGAAGTAATAATGAGAATTGCTTACCTCCTTCCTTCAATGCACTGCCAATAGAAAGGATTTATTGCACACAATAGCAACATAAAAGCAGAAATGTACAGTATCAACCAAGGTGCCATTCCCTTGCAGCCACCCTCATTTTACAAATATATCAAACAATGATTCATATATTCAGTTCATAACCTAACGAGATGTAGTACCAGTGTAAAGTTTTTCATTCACCCCCAACCTCACCCTATGTGTCACTTGGATGCATCATTGGGAGTCCAACGCTTGTTGCCAAGCAGTTGCTATAGTAATGGGTGTCAAGGATACCTACCAATAAGTTCAATGCAGACTCGTGGCAACTTCTTGATGTCCTGGCTGTTCATTACTGCTTCCACATTGTTCTGGATGTACTCGTTGGTCTTATGGGTCAGCTTTGTGTCAGCATGGATATTAGCGAACGCTCGAATTCCTAAAAATTATTAAAGAAACTACTATTTGATACTTTGTCAATTTCCATTTACTAGTCAGTAAGATTCAATGTTTCATGCAAGTGTATACAGTTTTTGTTTAAGGATTTAATCATTGGACTCTGTGCATTGTGTGCTGAACCATTCCACGAAGGTCTTGTTTCCAAATCTTTGCATGACCCTGGAGGGGAATGCAAAGTTTAGGAAACAACATCTGAGTGGAATGAAGCAGGATTGGAAAACTCAATTTCAATCTCAATGTGTGAATCCATCATTTCAATCAGGTAAAACATATGGTTTACAGATTGGTGCATCAAAATTTTCAAAACATGTATCCAATTAATTAAGAAATACAGAATTAACTTTATAAATACACCACATTTAAAGAAGACTCATGATTTAAGTAAGGTACCTAAACAATTCTGTGCATTGAGACGGTCCCCTAGAAAGTCTGAGCAGCCCTCAGCTGCACGTTTCATCTTAAGCTGCATGGCTGTTTTATAGAGACCCTTCACCTCATCCTCCGGCACTGTCAGACTAAAAGAAATCAATGAAGGCTAAACATGTGAAATGAAAACAAAATACTATATAAGCCTAGTGCAATAAAACACTCATCCAAATTAGAAACCAATTTTGGCTATTATTTCCACAAATAGTAATATCTAGAGAATCAGATGTGTATAATATGTTTGTAAGGAAATGCAGCAATTTCTACAGATTTTTAAAAATATTTTTGATCATTTGACTTAATAAAATTATTGGCTACTTCCTGCAATGAAGGATTAAGAAAATTGATGTTTTTTTCACAATATCTTTAAACTAAAATAATGACTCACTTTGCAGTATAAGCATAATCCACCAGCTTCACAAAATGGTTGTAGTCAAAGCCATTGAGTTTATAATGTGAAACGTTAGTTTCTTCCTCCAGTGTGAATAGATCGAAGAGATACTTGCTGACGGAGGCCAATACAGCTTTATGCGCCCGAATCTCATGGGCCCCGATCTCAAGAGCTACATCACATAGCTGGTTATTTTTCCTGAATGTATTCAACCTGAGTAATGTCATATCTTTGTGCTTATCATCTGTGAACTCCAATATATCAACTGCTGCCTGTTCGTCCTGTTCTATGGCTACACCCATCATGTTGAAGCTGTCTTGTATCACCTCTGGAATACACAATAATCAGTGTGAATTGTACACACAATTTCTTGTATCACCTCTGGAATACACAATAATCAGTGTGAATTGTACACACAATTTCTTGTATCACCTCTGGAATACACAATAATCAGTGTGAATTGAACACACAATTTCTTGTATCACCTCTGGAATACACAATAATCAGTGTGAATTGTACACACAATTTCTTGTATCACCTCTGGAATACACAATAATCAGTGTGAATTGAACACACAATTTCTTGTATCACCTCTGGAATACACAATAATCAGTGTGAATTGAACACACAATTTCTTGTATCACCTCTGGAATACACAATAATCAGTGTGAATTGTACACACAATTTCTTGTATCACCTCTGGAATACACAATAATCAGTGTGAATTGTACACACAATTTCTTGTATCACCTCTGGAATACACAATAATCAGTGTGAATTGTACACACAATTTCTTGTATCACCTCTGGAATACACAATAATCAGTGTGAATTGTACACACAATTTCTTGTATCACCTCTGGAATACACAATAATCAGTGTGAATTGAACACACAATTTCTTGTATCACCTCTGGAATACACAATAATCAGTGTGAATTGAACACACAATTTCTTGTATCACCTCTGGAATACACAATAATCAGTGTGAATTGTACACACAATTTCTTGTATCACCTCTGGAATACACAATAATCAGTGTGAATTGTACACACAATTTCTTGTATCACCTCTGGAATACACAATAATCAGTGTGAATTGTACACACAATTTCTTGTATCACCTCTGGAATACACAATAATCAGTGTGAATTGAACACACAATTTCTTGTATCACCTCTGAAATACACAATAATCAGTGTGAATTGAACACACAATTTCTTGTATCACCTCTGGAATACACAATAATCAGTGTGAATTGTACACACAATTTCTTGTATCACCTCTGGAATACACAATAATCAGTGTGAATTGTACACACAATTTCTTGTATCACCTCTGGAATACACAATAATCAGTGTGAATTGTACACACAATTTCTTGTATCACCTCTGGAATACACAATAATCAGTGTGAATTGTACACACAATTTCTTGTATCACCTCTGGAATACACAATAATCAGTGTGAATTGTACACACAATTTCTTGTATCACCTCTGGAATACACAATAATCAGTGTGAATTGTACTGTGCTGTATGGATGGCATCAGACATCTAGTATACCTGTATACAATGTATTTACTTTCTATAGCATACAAATTCCTTTTATACGACATAAAGTATTTCAGAATAACCAAACCACATTACTCTTTTTTATGTTATTTCACACATCCATGTTAAATAAGCTTAACACTTGATGATTGCTCGGTATCACTTTTCTGCAACATCTGTATAGTATTTATTGAACATCATACTTTAAGTCTCGGGGAAACAGTCGATATGTTGATGATGCCCATATATGAAGCAACCAATAGAAAACGTATAAAGTATTGTATTTTGTTCAAATTGTGGGTCACATAGTACAAAGGACTCCTTGACATGTTATAACATTGAAGGAAATGCGATGAATTTTCCTTCTTGGTAAAATACAAGGTGGCTATTTCCTCATCAAAGATGAATCAAATGATGAATCAACTAAAATTATAAACTATTCGTGAATAAAACATAAATAATATAAATCTAAACCTGTTTTCATGTTTGATATATATTCAAGGATATTGTGTTGTTTTCATCAACAAAAATGTCCTCAGAATAACGGATTTCTTTCACAATACTCCTTAATAGGATATGCTAGTTCCTGTACTGAAAATCCTCATAAATTCAGCCATACAGTGATATAGCTTTGAATAAAACAAAAAAGGGAGCTAAAGTGAATTTTTGAAATGTGAATTTTAGGGTATGTGTATATACTTCCAAAGGGCATTGTTCAGTATTTACAACACTATTTGTTAAATAAAAAAGATTCCTTTGTACGATTCGTACAATGACCTGGGGATATTTATGATTTTTTTGAGAAACATTTGAAAAAAGTTTTGTCCTGGCTCTTGATGAAATTCAAATCTTATGACTCACACTGGAATAGCCTGACAACGGTAAAGTCAGATGCCGTTGTCACAAATGGCAGACATAACCGTCACTTCTATCTTGACTGTACTTAAAATTTATAACTTTAAATTTTCATTAAAATTGTTTGATATATGTTTAAATGTACACAACCCCTCTGTACTTGCAACGCAAGCAGCTGGAACATAACAAAATGGAATTCATTGATCAATAGTTTGTTATTCCATCAATGCGAACAACGAATATAAAACAGTGAATAATAAAACAAATATATAATTCTATTTTCGGTGAATACCTGTGACACTTTCACAAGACAATTTTTCGGGCTTCGTGGAATATCACTTGTGAAAGATGCACATGTATTCACATCAACAGAATTAAATATTTGTAATCCAATATAACTTACAGTGATAGTGTTGCTACGAGCAGTTCTCAATTCTCTTGACCGTCTTTGCGTCCTCTGCCTGACTGAACAACCTGTCAAACGTGGACTGCGGGAAGCTGTTGTCAAAGTACGGGTACAAGCTTCATTTGTTGATCTCTCTACAAATAGAAATTTCAATCAATATATTATAACTCAATATATGGATTATGTTTAACTCTGTGACAAAACATTTTCTGAATCAAATCTGAATGTATTTACACACAATGCATTTACTAATACAGGTCACAATGGTTCTCCACATTCTTTCAAAGAGTTTTGTGAAACTTGATGACAGGCTGCGGTACATGTCACCTACAACCACATAGGAGACTCCTTACTAAACAGCAAATGTGTGATTTTTTAAATAGAGTGCAGAGTGCAGAAATGATGATATTTCATTAAATCTGTTTTTTACCTTGTGACCTTTTGAAATCCATATATGAAAAAAATATGAATACATGTAGATCTTGTTCACTGAAAAACAGTCTACATACCAGCATACCTCATGCAGTCAGGTGAATAGATGAGGATAAAAAGCTCTAGAATTTATGCTGCCTGTTACAGAATGTCAAAAGTAATTGATAACCTTATTCAATATTAGGAGGATCTAAGTCAAAATGAAAAATAGTACACGACCGCAAAAGCATTCCAGCTGCTTCTAAGCATGCATAGGTTATGCTATGAAGACCAGACCTTTTGAATGAAACTGGGTCACTTAGAACAAATTTCACTTAAAAACTTAAGAACTACTACCTACATTGTATATTGCCTTTATTCAATAATCATTAACACTTTGGTGTTGAATAAGTTACAATAGGTAATTGAATAATGGATTAACTGAAGCATTACTTCACAGATTGATTAGGATTATTGTAAACATGTATTCATTTTAAACAAACGGTTAATCAGAAAAGTCTACTGAGATAAGCACACATGTTTGGCTTAAAGGTATTAGAACGAATGAAAGATATCAATTGTAGAAATCTTTTCAAAAATCATAGCCTACCTTTGTCTCTCTTACAATCTCAATTTCATATTGAATCTGATAACAAAATTGAGATACATGTTGCATACTTAGTACATTGTATGTTCAAATATATAATAGCAGTTATTGAAGATCCAAGATACAGAAACGTCAAAATTCATTGAAATTCAAAAGGTTGTTTTCAAGTTTTCCTTTTCCAGTTTCATATAACCTTACAAAGTAAGGATTATCCTCAAATAAAATCAGCATTACAGCCAAAGGCAATATGAAAGCAAAAATACTGTTCAATTTTGACAATTTATGTGAAACTTACCTTCAACCCCTCTATCTTTTCTACTTCCTTTAGGTTTGACACATAACAATAAATTTCCTATGTTTAATGAATTGATCAAACGAGCCAATAATCAAGCAATTACGACTGCAGTAAGATCTTGTAAATACCTGTAAGTCGCAGGCACGTATATTCAAATGTATGTATTGATTTTTTGACGAGTGTTAAGTTCATTGCCATCATACGATAAATGAGAAATACACTTTACTCAACTACAGACCAACAACACTGATAATGTCAAAGTCATCTATTCAATTTACTCGTACAGTACAATGTACGTGCTTAACAATTTGAAGGTCAGATATGAACCTATTTAAGGGAAGTATTGAGGTACCAGAATAATTGTTATCTTAAAGAGATAAGTGAACCAATTTCCCAAATGGAGAAATGTTAAGAAATTATTTTTGTATTAAGGTTACGATCATAACAACCTGGAAAGCTTCTTGTGCAACTAGACAAGTATATTTCAGCCAAACCTTAAAATATCTGGACATAAGTAACATCTGATAAGCTACTTGCTGACGTAAACGCTTAACCTAATGCAAAAAATGGGCAACAACATGGAGTTAAGAAAGTTCCAATGAAAAAATATGTTTAAACTTATCACTATTGGATATTTCAAAAAGATCTTCATTTCAATATTCTACTCTTAAATACCGTCGATTTCCAATAAACCCTACCACCTTTTGGTGCATCCTTATACAGGGTGGTCCAAAAAAAAGCGAACCCCTGCAACTGGCCATATTTCCCTTATTACTTGCAGGAATTATTTTTTATTTTCACATGTTGTAGAGGAAGGTCTAAAATTTATGTTGATACCATAGATTTTTCTTAGTCTTGAAATTTGCAGAAATTATAAGCCTTAACCAAACATTACTGAAAATGGACAAATTGTGATTTTCAATATCCGCTATTCTTCAACCCTTTAACACCTTTCCCCTGTGAATTGTTTAAGCTGCAGTCTTAAAGAACTAATACTGTACGCCCGGTATTATTCGCGAGCTTTAATTTCGCGAATTTTGCGAAAAGACGGTTTCGCGGCTATTAAATTTCGCGAATTTCAAAGTTTGAAATTCATTATTCATTATTCTCGGAATTCTCAAGCTAAATTACTAGTAGATGTACAGTAATTGCACTTACCTGATGTCATAGTTGGATCAGATTTACAATAACTGGGATCTTTATCATCGGCAAGCTGCATATCAACTTCTATTATCGCATCGTTAATTTCGGTCTTATTTTAAAACGAAAAAGCAGTTTGAATTCGTATTTTGTATTACTAGTAGTTATTCGAATTTTGTACTCCCAACATCAAGAATCGTGAGAGTATCAATGTTACATTCTGGGAGCCATTCTGGAGTTGCACAGTACTACTAGTATCAGACTTGCCAACCTAAATATTTAATTGGCAATTTCGCGACGATAATTTTTCGCGATTTTAACACCATCGCGAAAAGCGCGAAAGTTAATCGCACGCGAATAATACCGGGCGTACAGTATTTTCTGACTTTGTTCAATTTTAAATCTTGCACATTATGGCTTAAAACTAGCATCCTACATTTGTTAGTTGCAAAGTTATTGTGATCCAAAGAGATGTACTAAGCTTCCACAGAGGAAAACATTTTCCAGTGAAATCATGAACATACCCCTATATGATCTTGAAATGTCAATATCTTCATAAATCATGGACCAATTCTTATGATATATGGCTCAAAACATTGAATATTGGATTTTCTTTTGATTTTTTAAAGATATTTGATGAAGGGGTTATCAGATTCCTGGTCACAGGGGGCAACTTCCTTCCATAAGAGGCCCCTCTCTAACTGTTGGTATAGGTAACATACCCCTGAACTGTTGAACAGTTAAAAATGCTTCAAAATGATCAATGAAAGTGTGAAATGTGTTTTCTGCTTGAATAGTGTCCCTTTTGTCATATGGTAGGGTTTTAAACTTGTATCTCTAACTGAAAGCTGTTTAAGATCATCCAATGTGTTTCAACAATTTCCATGAATCACATTTGTAAAATTTTGTACAATATCTAATTTCCAGGCATGTTTGTTAAATGCTTGTAATTTTTTCAAAATTTAAGACTGAGAATAAATTATGGCATCAACCAAAATTTTAGACCTTTCTCTACAACATGTAATAATATGAGCCAATTCATGCATTTATTAAGAAAATTGTAGCCTGTTGCAAGGGTTCACTTTTTTTTGGACCACCCTGTATATTTTCTGGACTGGCGTTGTCATGGGTTCTGCTATTCCAAAATTTACAAGTTAATCCTATTTTTGCTTGGACAGACTGATACATCAAAGAAGCTATGTGATATATTAGGTAGATTGATGATGTCAGAGGTTGTACTTTTTCAAAATTAGCAATAGGCCTAAAAATTAATGAATATTTTCTTTGAGATCTTTCATGGTATGACGCTTAGGGTCAAGTTTTATGGTAAGATGTAAGCAGGTTTGGGGGGTTTGAGCGAAATCCCCTTGAAATATTCTTTCAAATTAATAAAAGTGATTTTTTCTCAAAATAGTCAAATTTGAACTCCCTTTTTTTAATCTTATCCCCTTGGAAAAAGTACCCTTTGCATTCGTTTGACTTCACTTCTTAAAAGAGAGCTTCGTCTTCACTCTTTCAAACTAAAATAAACCTGTGAACTCACCGCGCCAATCAGTGTTCGTTGGCCAAATTTGACCAACGTTCTATATATGGTCATTCCTTCTGACTTCATCATTGAGCCCGGAATTGACCAATAACATGCGCATATTTAATTAGAACACATTTGGCATATGTTTCTTCAAGCTCGCTGACTGGTGGAAGAAAGGTCAGCGCATAGGTCAGAAGTGATTTATTACCCAAACTGTCACCTACGGTACCCGTCGTAGGGGCGGGGCTACTAAACTGTAATAAGGTCTCTACTAGGCAGAGTGTAGTTTAACTAGACTCTGCACGCAGGGTATGGAAAAGCTAGCTACGGGCCTTGATGTAAATAAAGGGTTGATAGAGGTGTTCCATTACAGGAAGTGGTGACGTGTAAACTTCCATATAAATTCCTATGTTGCTTGCAACATATGCATCTGCTTGCCAAGCCAAAGGAAAATTCTATTTCGTATATAAGAATTATTTTGGCACTTTCACCTGTTGTTATATAAGATAACATGTAACACTAATGAGATATTATCAAGATCCCAGCAGGTATTAGAAGTAACATCAGACAAGTACATCAGCAACTTCTGAGAGTCGTGAATCACACAAAACTTAATATGTTTTCTCAAATCATTCTTCATTTCTGTTTATTTGACATTTTTTGTTTAGATGTCTGTTCTTTTTAAAATGACTACAAAGAATTGATAGGTTGAACGATTCTGATATATACTGTATCTAGGTTATTTACCAGGAGGATCCCAAGTGTTTATATAGAGGGCCAATATGATATTTCCTGAAGGAAGGGACCACAAGAACTAAGATGCTCATACAGTATTATGTTTTCAGGGATTTTTCAAAAATCAATTATATTTAGTGTCATGAAATATAAACATCTTTGATACTATTGAGAACTTTATATTACATTGTCCTTTTAAATAGCAATACCAGGGCAATCAATGGATTTGAAATATGTTTATTGTTTTAGTTAGAAGTCAGTATGAGTGTCGACAAGGAGCTCATTATTGATCAAGATATGGCTGTTGACTGATACAAGTATTTATTGTATGCACAAGACATGTATACTATTATCAACATCCAGGAGAATAACCACTTATGGCAGGACATCAGGGGACAATGAAACAGGAACTTTGGACAATGGACACATTTTATATTGATTTGTGTGGCAAAACTTTAAATATATGGTAGCGGTCGCGGATGCCTATAATGGACTCTTATTATTTCAATGGTTTTCAATGAATTTAAATGTCTTGTCATTCATACATCTTTTCGAATTAAACTTTAGGCCATATCAGACATGTCAGAACTCTTGATAAAAGATCAACTACTCAGACGAATATTAAAATCAAAAGTTGATGGGTAAGGCAAATTTCTTATAAATAACTAGCCCTTTGTCAACTTTAAGAAAGTTTCATTGAACATGGAACAATCAAACACAAAACCTTGAGATATCCCAACTGCTTTTACTCAAGCATGGAAAACAGGAAGTCCCTATGTTAATAAAAACTCTGGACTTCTCTGCTCATGCTCAACATATACATCCTGTATTGCATCAGTTAAACAAAGATTTTTTGTTTTGCAGTGCTCTGAATAACACAATTTCAGGATAATGAAACATAAGCCATGGCTTAGCAGATTACATTTCCCTATATATATTTAGTAATACCTTCATACTGTATGGTATTACAATCATTCTTTATCTGGATTTAATTGGCTTTCCTGATATTTGATGGCAATTGGCAGACTTTCAATTTTCAAGCAGACTGTCAGATAAGTCCTGGACCCTGGACGAAATGACTGGTCAGTAAAATTATCTTCATGTTTCAAAATGTGCAAAAATTCCAATTAAAGCCAAAATCAGACCTATAGGGGGTGATAAAAGTGCAAGAGAAATCAAAAAGGGGGTTTTGACATTAATTCATGAAGTTGGGGCAAGTTGTTAAAGCTCATTTTTGTCTCAAATGAAATCGTAAATTTAATTTAAAATCAATTTATGGAAAATTTTATGTTCAAACAAATTCTAATTTAATAGGATAGTTTCTAAATAGCAGAAAAATCAATGAAATCTCGTGCTGCCATCTTTTATTCAGCTTTTAACTCGGGCTAGAGCTCCATTCATTTACATGCTAAAATCTTGGAAAAGTGGCTTAATTTTATGATTTATCAAAGTGTGTTTGTTGAATCTGTATAAAACTTGAATGATATACCACATGATGACCCTGTTTATGTACATGTTGTGATTAAACATGCAAATGTTGATTGACATACAAATAATCCACAGATTTAAAGAATTTTAGCATTGCATCTATGGACATTTGGCCCAAGTTTTTTTCAATTGTTATAGAAAATTATTCAAATTACATAACTGTGTAAATCAAAGCTATAATAGGAGAAAACATTTCACTGAATTCAAATATGCCATTTAAAAGAAGGTAATGTAAGTCATTGGAGGTCTAATATGCAAGTCTCTTAAAATCTCACGAAAAACGAGATTTAGCGAGATTTCAAAAGCTATATGGAAACTATACTATTACAAGAGAACTTTCGAAAATTACTACGATGTGGATTTGTTCCCGATTTGTACCCATCAAACGCAACAATCCGCCCGTGCATTTCACAATAAATGATCGTTCATACACTACATTAAACATACAGGTATGTTCTCCACTTTTGTTGAACAGATACCAACCAATAGTAAAACCATGTCCCTCACGGCTCATTTTTGTCAAAACTTTCAGGCAATTTGCGAAAACATCATAAAATGGAGTGAATTATCATTGGCTTTAAATTTTGTGGGTAAATGGGTCATTTCAAAAGCTGTTTCTCTGTTGGATATATGTTAATCATAAGTGAACTTTTCATTCATAAATTAATTGTAGCGTGTAGTGGACTTTCCGCGAAGAATCTTATGACCATTTAATAAATATGCTACAGGTGCATGTGTGCACCTAACCCAAACTACCAAAGTATACTTAAGGCGACGCTATATTAAATAAAAAGTACAAAAAATGACTGCCATATTTTTTTGATAAAGACTCATGTTTTTAAAATCTGTTTACCTTGTATATGAATTGTGTATCTTGACTAATGAAACATGTCAAAGTTAACATCACACATAAACGCATTTTTCCAAACTATGAATTGGAGGTGCATGGATCCCCAAAGCTAGCATGAAGAGTGCGAAGTGAGAAGTAGTTCCGGCAAACAAAATGTGGACATGAAATATTTGGAATTTACAATGGTTTGAGGTTTATTATACTCTAACAATGCAAGAAGTGCACATTTTCATGCTCCTTCGTTGTTCCTGGGAAAGGTAAGATGATTTGTGGAAATTTTAGACTCTTGCAAATGTGTGACTGTTGCAAGGCTACTCCTTGAAACTTTCAAAAATTAGCCTCACTTCGCACTCTTCATGCTAGCTTTGGGGATCCATGCACCTCCAATTCATAGTTTGGAAAAATGCGTTTAAGTGTGATGTTAACTTTGACATGTTTCATTAGTCAAGATACACAATTCATATACAAGGTAAACAGATTTTAAAAACATGTGTCTTTATCAAAAAAATATGGCAGTCATTTTTTGTACTTATTATTTAATATAGCGTCGCCTTAAGAAGACGGATAACCCTCCTTCTGCCAAGAAATCCTGATTTGCTGGGCACCTATCAAGTTTTTATTAACTGGATAATCTTTGCCAACATCAACCACGTGTATTATACTCATATATTGCTCACATGTTGAATCATAGATTATAAATGTGAAAGTACAGTTGGGGACAAAAATAAATGACAGGTCGATTTTCGATCACCATTTCCTAATTATGGTGGTCTGAAAGCCCATAATTTCCAATATTGTCTAGATATATATCCCTTAAAATTTGTATATTTTACATTTTGTATAATCTCATCCACTGATGTATGGCCTCTTGTAAATTCTCTTATTTTTAACATGGGAAATCCTCACTTCAGCAAATCCACCTGTCATTTATTTATGTCCCCAACTGTATGGTGATTAGTCTATACTCAATAGGACACCAATAGATCTAAGATAGTTGAAACCCTAATACAGTTGGGGACATAAATAAATGACAGGTGGATTTGCTGAAGTGAGGATTTTCCATGTTAAAAATAAGAGAATTTACAAGAGGCCATACATCAGTGGATGAGATTATACAAAATGTAAAATATACAAATTTTAAGGGATATATATCTAGACAATATTGGAAATTATGGGCTTTCAGACCACCATAATTAGGAAATGGTGATCGAAAATCGACCTGTCATTTATTTTTGTCCCCAACTGTATGTGAAAGTGCAGTATCGCAGAGTTGCAATATTGCTGCAAAATCTGTAATTCATGTGAAATTATGGCAAACTAGGCCTACTAGACTCTACTACATCATCAGAGTCTGAGCTTCATCTGTTTATTTGTTGTTGTTCAGTCATTCTCTGACTCACTTTTCATGTTGTAGTCAAATTCTTCAGTTTTACTAGAGACTTAGTACTGATCAATCAATGTCTTTACATCTAGAATTTTCCCGTTTTTCTAAGGTAAAGATCTGGCAGACTGCCACAAACAGGAACCTTGTTCAAGGCTAAATCAGGAGCCATTTTGTCTCTCCTATTTTTTGTGGTCAATGGCATGGCGGTTCAATTTTACGCTTTTATCAGAGTTAAATACACAATTAATGAAATTTCTATACTCGACAATATTACTTTCAAATTAATATTTCTAATTCTATGAAGTAATGACAATACATACCCTAAACAGTGAAGAACGTGTTATTTTAAGATACATCTCCTACAGGATCTGATTTCTGGCGGATTTCTGTTGTTGAGTGCGGCAAATCAGTGACGTCAGAGTCTGAATTTCCAACCAATCACTGTTCAACATTTCAGGTCCATTATTCTAGGGAGGGTTTAGAGACAGGTAGGCCTGTTACCCGCGCGGTGCATACACAATGTTTTTTGTGATCTGTCCACGACGCATACAACAATGTCGTCCAGGGGTAGTATAGCTATTATCCAGGGGCGGATCTGGGAACCAACAAGGGGGGGGGGGGGCAAATTTCAGGTCAGAGAAAAAAATTTTGGTCCCCCAAAACCGAAACGTGGGCCCAAATTTCAAAATTTTGAAGCCCATTTTCTTCATAATTTGGCCTGAGATTAAAAATAATGCCTTACAAAGCCCACTAATGACCAAAGGAGCCCACATTTTGGGGCCTTAAGGCCTTTTTTTGCCCAAATTTTTTTTTCTTGGCCCCCCCCCACATCCGCCAGTGTTATCTATCGGAAAATTTTGGGCCCCTAAAACCCATAAGTTGGCCCAAATTTTGAAATTTTGAGGCCCATTTCCTTCAAAATTTGACCTGATTCTTAAAAATAAGGCCTTTGAAGGCCCAATAATGACATAAAATGCCCACTTTATTGGGCCTAAAGGCTATTTATGGCCGAATTTTTGCTGGGCCCACCCAGGCGAGGGGGGGGGGCAGCCCAGCCCCCCCCCCATCCCCCCTCCCCCCAGATCCGCCAGTTATTGTTATAATGGTAGCATAGCTTTTATCTAGGCCTCGTGATTTATGATCACTAGTATCACTGTGGTGAGGAGCCCATCTAGCAAAGTTTCCAGTTGCTTCAACTTCGTTTTAAAACCATGGAAGCGAACATTGTAAAAGTGGTCAACAAAAATATTGACCTAGACAACTCTTACCATGGACTTTAATTCTAATCATGATTATCGCTACTCTTACCTATGGCAGATAGTACTTTAATCTTACACTAAGGCACGCGAGTCAAATGGCACGTGTGCGGCCAGAGTCGGACATATAAGCTAATAAAACAAGTGCGACCGGTGCTCACCTCTAGCTGGGGCTAACCTTAATGAAGGTGATAACGAAAATCTTTTAGAGCCGAAAATTTTTTTGGGGAAACAATTTTGTAGAGCCACAATTAAACTAGTTGGCCATTATGGGCATTACTTGAATTTTTTGGGCATTATTTTTTACTCGAGGCCAAATAATCAAAAATGGACCTTCAATTTTCAAAAGTTGGGCCAATCTTTGGTTTAAGTTGCCCAACATTTTTACGCGCAAACGCTGAACTCTTAATTCGGAGTTGAAATTTGCCTCCCCATTGATAGCTTCTGGATCCCCCAGTGCCAGTACTGATGACCTTGATAGGACATCGTGGTATAGAGAAATCGCGGAGAGGGACACGCAGTCCTGTCGCTATGCAATTGGAATCTGACATAACCCACATCTTCTCGCGTGAGAATCTCAAGCAAAAGCAAACATTAAAATACTACATCAATCATCTAAAATTTATTCATAGACACCATATAGGTACTGACTTGACTGCCCTCTATAAATCGTCCTAAAACCCACGTCAAACCGGCTACAGTTGAAATCAAATGAACGTTACTGTTGGGCGGCTTAGGCCCCAAGGGACAAATGAAATGAGGTCATACTTTCGTTAGACCATAGGCTGTAGCTATAAACATTGTTCTCGTATCAGAATGTTCTCGTATCTTATTTTAATATGTGTTAGACGCTCCCGGTAGGGGGTTACGGCAACGGCCGAATTCGCAACTAAGATGGCGGACGGTACTACCATAGTATAGTAATTGTCTCGGATTTCGATATTTTTAGTTTTCATCTAACTAAAACTACTTCATAGTTGACGTTATGCTTTGGCATTTGAACCAAATTAGGCTTAAACTGTTAAATATGACATGGTAACTCTGGAGTATGATCATGGGCGCCACATCGGTTAAAGGGTTCCGATTAGCATCCCGTATAAAAACAATATGGCGGCTCCAGGCGAATCAACTGGATCAGTCCATTTTTAAGAAATTAGGGGAGTTCTGTAAAATCCAGTTTATTGAAATTGTCTTTGAGATAAAGTAATCCGTTTATAATGATTTTGAAAACGTTATCCAAAGAGTGATTGCGTTCAAAGAATACATGTACAACAGCCAATATAAATCCTTGTATTAGAAACCGGGTTGTCTTGCTTTGTTTCATTTGTAGGATATTTCATATGTCAAGCTGTGTGCTATTACGTTATGGGGAAATTTAGATGCCAATTTTTCCTTATTATACACAAATAGAAGATCCTGAAACTTCACCCATAAATGTGGAATTGATTTGTCAAAATAAAAATCACCCTTTTATAAATGTGTGACGATCTATAATATACTTATGCTATATAACAGTTAGAGGTCTTGACACAACGACCCCGAACCTGTGAACCCTTGAGTATTATTCCGGGATCGGGCCTTTCATACTAAACGGTGAGCAACACCAGAAACGAGCGTTCGATTTGCTAAACGATATGCGTCACCCTTTAAACGATATCGTTCATCGCCTAAAGGGAACACGTAACTGGAAATGTATGATACGGTAACGGTTTTGTTAGTTTTCAATATGAAGTAGCGGTATAACTGGACATCTTAGCTTTCCATTATAAAGTCTCATCCAGGGTCTCATAACGTTACGGCATATCAGTTATCTCAGTCATATGTTCTAGTTACCTTCCCATATCGTTCAATTATACCGGCAACTGTGGCGCCCGCACATGGTATATGAACAAATTATCATCTCTGGAGTTTTCAGTATATACATGTATAAGCCTGATGTAGTTCAAATATCAAAGCTCACTTACCGTCCGCGGATCCGCCATCTTAGATGCGTTACAGCCGTTACCTTAGTGAATATTATTTGATAGCTGGTATTTTAAGTTGTGTAATGACCCGAGGACGTACCCTCAGGGGAATGACTAACTATAACGAGCAAGGTGTAACAAACCAGATACAGACATGAAAGGGAGTGTGCCCCGTGTGGGAATCGAACCTAGGACCCTTGCTCTATCGGTCAAATGATTTATATGCAGATTGCAGTGGGTCATGGGATAACTAATTTTTGAAAACTGACACTAGACAATGCGAGTTGTGTCCTCTTCCATTTTTACAACTGAAAATAAAAATGATTATGTTGTCCGATGGGACGCCGCCAGGATCTAAACAGATAAGTTGGGAAAAGTGCAAGGAGAATATTATATCTGGTATACATTTCTGTAAAATCTTGGTGAACTATATGGCCTCGCCTCTTTCACGTCTATGAATGCCGTTTACACCTAAATAGTTGGAGACATCAATGTGCATCCAGTCAAAAATTCCATCAGAGCCATGATGGTACCTTACCCTTTGCATTCGTTTGACTTCACTTCTTAAAAGAGGGCGGGGCTACTAAACTGTAATATGGTCTCTACTAGGCAGAGTGTAGTTTGAACTAGACTCTGCACGCAGGGTAATGGTACCTGTACATGCTGCATAGTTGTTTTCCTTCTGCAAGACGTTAGTTTTGTCTTCTTTGATTTTGAGTGACTTAAACATTGCACTGTAGGCATGAGGCAGGCGAGGCCAAAATTTGCCTCGCCAAATTTTAGGTTCTGCAGCATGGCTACCCTTGGATTTGGCTTTTTATGGCCTTTTTAATATGTTTCAAGCAGGAATTTAAAGTTATCAATTTTGAGTAACCAAAATTAAGCTGAAAACAATGGATCACATGAGTTTCCCCTATGGGAAAATAACATGGGAAATATTGTTTTCCACTTTATTCCACTTGAAACATATTTTCATTTTTAAGGTTAACTGTGTTTACAAATGCAACATTGATTCATAATACATTGGAAAAACACGAGTGGAAAGGGATCAAAATCAGGAAAACATTTTTGAAAAAATTAAAAATGTTGGCCAGGGGTCTTTGCACCTTCCCTGTCTCGAAATCCAAATCATTTGATCGTCTTTATTTATCGCATCCTACGACCCCTTTAGATTGTGACAATCTAAAGTGGTCGGTAGGATACGATAACGTCTTTATAAGTAATTTTCCTTTAGATAATGCATCGGCAATGCGATCCATTGTTTTCAGCTTAATTTTGATCACTCAGAATTGATATCTTAAATTCCTCCTTGAAACATATTGAAAAGGCCCTAAAAGCCAAATTAAGCCCAAAGAGGACCATTTTTGAGGCCTTGGTTACTTCACTTTGGGGTCCAAAAAAATTGAGGGCCCAGAAAAAGGGTACATGCCCCCCCCCTGGATCCGCCAGTGAACTGGGCTCTCTATTTTGAAAAAGGACCTATCCAAAAAGTTCCATCAGTAAACCACACGCACTAATAATTCAATGAAAACGGTAAATTGAAACAACCACATAACCATGGTTGACCGGGGAAATCAATCCAGAGTTGATTGATTGATTGATTGATTCTTGATTGAATTGGGAGCAGGTGCCCTGGATGACCTACTTTGACGAACTGCCATTTATCCATATAAGGAAATTGCTATGACGACAAGTAAAGATAACCAATAGAAATTAGTCGGCTTTTTAACACGTGGTTTGTATCGGCCAATCAAAAGTCGACAATTTGAACGTATTGGATTTCTTTGTCCAAGAAGAGGCTCAACTGAATTTTACTACACGAAAATTTTTTTTTACTATGCTGAATTTCTTCGATATTTAACTAAATTTACACTTCAAAACTGCTTGTATCACAACCTGGAAAATGTAACCAATACAATAGTGTAAAATGATTTTGGATTGATACTTGGAATTGAGTGAAATATCGAGAAAAGTTGCAGCAAAATTCAAAATTCCAAGACGGAAGTTGTGGTTTTAACAAATCAGGTCAAGCCATTTAAATTTGAATTTTACAAAATAAACATGGATTACTTTGCGAATGGAGGGACCAACGAAGGATTTTCGTTACAGGACATGATTGAGAGGGATATAGGAAATAGTATGAGCGATCCGAGTGACCAGCACACCTTGAACAGCATTGATTTGAATGGATTTGATACAAACAGCCAAAATCAGATGCAAAACAGTGAAGCAATGACTTTCAAAATTGAAGATGAAAGTTACGATACAACTCTCGATAATGATCAAAATATGTCTTCATTAAACAACCTTAGTTGGCTGTGTGATTCAAATGTCACAGTCGATGCGCAAAATTCGTCCAGACAGAATAGATCTAGTAATGTTACTGTTGAAAATAACAATCCAAATTTATTAGTTGATCCATCAACTGGAATGCCAATTCAGCAGCAGCAGCAGCAGGTGATTCAGATACCTTTATCACAGCCAGTTCAGATTATAAATTCTGATGGGAGTCGGCAGACAGTTGCATACACACTTCCATCAAATGCAGGTTTGCAACAGACGTTACTGAGTTCGAACAACCAACGGCAAAATGCCACACCCGTATTGCATTGCAACGCAGTGAACATGCAGCAACAGTACCCAAATAATATAACCCAACATGTTACCCATGTGTCCAAGCCTTCACCCCCAATTACAACTGTGACGAGAGAGGAGAAGCAGTACCCTAAGCCCGTTTATTCATATAGTTGTCTTATAGCCTTGGCCTTGAAGAACAGCTCTACAGGGTATCTACCTGTAGCAGATATATCATTTTATGATGTAAGTATCATCATCAAGTCATCATCAGTCAAAAAGCATAATGCAATATTCATGTATTTTTAATCGTAAGGGCAACAGCCAATGAGCAATGAGCTCTCTCTTGAAAATTACAAAAACGTAAGGGTAGTCATATTTAAGGTTAGTCTGCATGTTCGGAATTTTGCTGAATCCTTCATCCACTGGTCACACATTATTTTTCAAAGAGGAATCCCTGCTTCTTTACATTTTCTACATCTTTCAGTTTTGCACAAAGAGTGCACTTATTATGCCTATAGAAAAAGACAGTAAAAATGATTTTTTTGTAAAATGTATAAAAACAAGAAAATCCAAATTCTCTGTCGTCTCACCAGTCTTTTCTAGGTTCATTACTTGAACTCTCTTTGTGCAAAACTGAAAGATGTAGACAATGTGGGGAAGGAGGGATTCCTAACTTAAAAATAACATGTGGCTCAATTGAGGAATGCAGCAAAATTCTGAACATGCTGACTTACCTTAAGACAGTCAGTGAGGTATATTTCGCTGTAAAATCATGCAAAAACAATGTTTTTTATTTATAATTACAAAATACTCAGATACAAAACAGAATAAACTTTGTTTGGACACAGCTTGTGAACTTGGATTCAAAATCAAAAAAAAAGGTAATTTGTTACTGTGACACTCATTCTCTTTTTTTCAGCTTCCACTTCCCATACTTCAAAACTGCCCCTGATGGTTGGAAGGTAGGCCTGTGTTTTTTTCAAAAATAACAAAAATAATCAGATGATTAATTGATGTTGATTAGCAGTTATGAATTTGGCATTAAAATGAATATTTTACCCTTCCTGATAATTGCTTTTACAGATTATCGACATAGACATGAAATTATTATATTATATATAGTTTTTCCAAAATGTCAGCCAACATGACATGTGGTAAAAAGCAGTCAAGAGTTATGGGCCAGTTGTGACTAGTGAAGTATTTTGGCTCTGCTAGCTTTTGAAATACAATTATTTACACTTTTCAGAATTCTGTCAGACATAATTTGTCTCTAAACAAAAGTTTTGCAAAGATAGAAAATCCTAAGAACAATGGGAACACAAAGAAAGGCTGTCTCTGGGGACTGAATCCTGTGAAAATCGACCGCATGGATGAGGAGATTGCCAAATGGAACAAAAAGGAACCTCTTGCCATTAAACGCAGTATGTCTAAACCAGGTAAAGGACCACTTATAAAAGAAGGGGCGCTAATAGCAAAGACCACTGATAAGTTGGGCAAGGATATTATTATTAGGCATTATCTGCCAGGAACTGGACATTTTGCTTTGGTTCTACTGGTATTTACAATAATTCCCAAAATCATATAATGATTGTTGTGATTAAAGAATGTGTGAAACAGTTAACTTGAGGGAAGTGTAATTGTTAAAATAGAAATTTAAAAAAATACGGTTTACTGTACTTTGATCGATGAATTAGAATTTTTTATTTGGTCAAAAAAGTCGAGTGACATTCTACATTTCCCCCAAGCTTATTGTCATACCAACAAATAGTTAATGGAACAACATTTCTAGATTTCTAATTTGCAAAAGACCAAAGTAAATGTTACATTTGATAATTGAATAATATAGTTTTTTTATAATCAAATTGTTTCCAGAGGTTTTTGGAATGCTAGAGACTGGAAAAATTGGTCTTCCAAGGAAAGAATCTACAAGTGGTTATCGACATAGTTCAACGTCATCTGACCCAGGTGCTCAAAGCAGTGCTAATTCCATAAGCAACCCTACAGTCAGCGTAACTGTGAGTGATGATCCAGTAATGAACAAACTCGCCAATGACCTTCTTAATGGCGAGGACCTCACAGATCTCGACCCAGCATTATCTGAACTTGCAATGCAGGTAAAGACTTTGTGCAATTACAATTGATCTATTTGTACAAACACTAAAATTTCTTATGAACACTCATGTTTATCCATTTATCTGTCCAGGTCGTTATTGAGGGAATAAAAAATTAAAAAATTAAATTATTATAAAAAAATTATAAATGAGAACTTACTTTTATGTGAAAGAAAAAGTGAGAGAGAAGTGGAAATATGATTCATTAGACTATCACTGAGTCATGCATTGACTCGATGAAGGTCAGCTCAGGAAAGATGTCCGGCTCAAAAAGGATATAATGTGTCTAGTAAAACCTATATTGGAAAACCTCTCTAATCTGAACAATATTTTCAATGTTCTCCATTTAAATGTGATTTCAGAGTGGAATCTGGGATGACCTGAACACAGATGATCTTAACTTGGATGGAATCCCCATCTCAAATTCCCCGCTGCCGAATCTGAACATCTCATCATCCAGTCTCACATTCACCTCTCCCTCCATCGCATTCAACCACACAACACCACAAAAAGGTTAGTTTCACTGAAAACCCCACTGTCACCTAGAGTTAAGGTCATTCTGACCTATGTCAACTTGATATAGGCAAGGTCATTCTGACCACTTTCAACTTACTCCAGTTAGGGCAGCTAGAGCCAAAAACATTCTAACAGAGTTCCAACTTCATTGGGATGTGAGGGTATGATTGAATAATGGTTCAACCCACCAAACTATTCAATCCATAGAACTACAACTTGAATATGTGACAAATATTGATAACAGTTTTTTAGTCAACCACCTAAATTAACATTAACGTCGCATTATAACAATGCGACATGCGACTCCAAGCTGACATGATAGTTATCATATATATTGTTATATGTTTTTCAATCAAAGTGGGGTTTCTCCTTTATTCCCAATGATGTAAGATTGTTTAATAAACAAGCAAACATTAAAATCTCATTTTATTTTATTGACAATGTATGAAACACTCAAAGTCAAAACAAAATAAAAACATTTTTGAGAACAAATTTTCAAAAGTCAGCTGAATGATACTTGAAAATACCTTGTTAACATCTTTCCTTGCTGACTAGCTTGATGAAAATGTCTCATTATTTTTTTAAAGATTGCCTGGCAATAATTTAGGTGTATAGTATCACTGTATGTACAGTGATCGTCTACTATTAAAAGTGCGTGATCAAAGACTCGACAAGATGCGCAAAATTCAAATATTTTGTAACGGTTATTTTTAAAAGATTTATTTGTGTTTATATTACAGGCTACTGGTGATTCAATTAGGTTTTGTAGGAACAAGAACATCCATATGCTTTGAGAAATATATATCAGTTTGACCATTTTTTCGTAAATGTTATTGATTTTACGATGTAAAGATATAAATGCGATGTAACATGTGTTATTTTATTCAAAAAGCTTAAAAATATCAAAAACAATAGAACATTTTTACTCTCTTTTATTTTTAATACTTAGGTAGGGTCTTGGGCTTCCGTTTTACCATGATGAAATTCACGTTTCCGCTCTTAAATAACATGGAATAAATATTCTAACACAGAAACGAATGGATCAGCCTATAGCGTGAGTTTCAGCAAACCATATGCCCTTTTCATACATGCTTTTCACGAGAAGAAAAATGGGATTTCTTTCAAAAAGTATGTCTAAAAACATGTACATCACCGTTCACCGATTCAGTAAATTAAATGGTCACTGTGTGTGCGTACATTTTGTTTCTGCCTAGGTTTGAATACATTACCATTTAATGAAATGTACAGTAAACCTGCTAAGTGAAACACATCTTGAAGCGTAACACCTTATAAGTGGAACAGTTTTAAAGTCCCATTCCAGTCCATTTATTTTACCCTCTGATTCCAAGGAACGAGAAGTTAACACCTTGGCATCCAAGATGATTGTCGAATTGTAATGCAAGAATTGAATAAATTATGAATGAAAATGCATGTCACAGTATCGCCCATTGTCATGGTTGTGCCTGTTTTGGACATGGGGCCTAATAATAAACTTATAAAATATAAAATCTGAATTGTACATTATCTATTTCATTGGGGAGTTAAATCATTCTTTTGCAGCAAGGTATCAAGTTATAAGTTATACTAAAATGTAATGACGTAATTATCTCCGGTAGATGCCAGTAGTCAGTTCCCAGTTTCACCACGAGGTGGCTAACTTGGGTCATATATAAATGACGGGTATAAGGGAAAGCTCCTTAAAGTTCAATATTCAGTAGATTTATTGATCAATTTTCAAATAAAAGTCTATCGGTGATTAGCTTGAGAATTTTAGAATTGTATGTAATCGAATGCAAAATAAACGCCAAGTGGGACTTTTTAGGGAAACTCTACAAAGTGTGAAATAAAGACCATGCTATTATCTCTAATTATGGTAATTTTGTTTTATTTTGTATCAGTTGAATCAGAGATTTTGGATGATTTCATTTGATTATTGTCAATCACCTAAATTGTAATAAATTCATCACTTTTTACAAGTATGTGTTTATTTATTGATTTTACTTCATTTGGTATTATTCCAGAAAAATTTCTTGTTATCACTCTAAATTTGCCTCTATTTTCAGAAATCTTTCTCATCTTCATCTCTTTATTTCATGATGTTCTACAAGGTGGTTTATAATGATTTGAAATTTAGGAGTTCGAAATGAAGGACAGTCAAATTATGTAAACCAAACCACTCTGAAATGCAAAAGACATATCATTAGAATCCACATGGTAAAATCACTCACTTGGCTGATCATAAATTGTTTTCATAACATCCTTCTTACTCGATACTGAAGGGGAGTTGGAACGACTGATATGCATGTAATGTTAAGTATTACGTACATTAACCATAGACATGCCAATGTTGTGGTTTGGGTAATCTAAAAACAGAAAATTTGGTGAAATATACATTTTCGTTCGGCAGTTTTCTGATTTTGCTTCATTTATCAACTCAGTTCAGGTATTTCGGTTGAGCCAATTACTGAATCCTGTTGCCAAATGAATCTTGAGTCTCTTATACAGCATATGGAATACCATATGTAGGTAAAATGACGTTAAGGTGGTAAGGAGAAGTGAAACAAACATACCTTTCCTCCGACATTTCGAATTTTGCGCATCTTGTCGAGTCTTTGATCACCCACTTTTAATAGTAGGCGATCACTGTACATACAGTGAGTATGTTTATTACTCTTCACCTACCTTTCATTTTTAAAGAAAATAACTTGAACTTTGCTGCATTCACACCGGAATAGCCTGACAACGGTAAAGTCTGATACCGTTGTCACAAATGGCAGACATAACTGTCGCATCAACTCTTCAATCACTTGGTTCTCATTTCATGGGATTTTATCGTCGCTAATTCTGTGCATGCATTAAGCTCTTGTGATGATGTATCATATGAAATCCCAATTTCAATCAAATTGGGTCGTGAATCGCTATAATATAGCGTCTTTGAAATCGTCAATGACAACGGAATCTAAATTTGAAGTAATTTACAAAGACAACGACATATGGTAATACTGTGTCCGTTGTCCCGTGTCTCATTTTGATTGGTTAAATTAAAGACTTTATTTAGATGGTAGAACATTGTTAACTGTACAATGAGTAAAGACATTTTGATTGATTGTTGTTCTAAAAGAATGTAGTCTGGGTGCTCTATTAACATACAGTTCATGAAAATCTAATTGAAGCGACGGTTATGTCCGCCATTTGTGACAACGGTATCTGACTTTACTGTTATCAGACTATTCTGGTGTGGCGTTGGAGATTTTCAAATAATTTCATACTTGCAAATTGATAAGGTGCAAGGATAAATGATGAGTTATCATGATTTTAACTTTGTTTTGCCATGATTGTCAACATTAACATCCCTATTATATGACTTTTACAAAGGGAATGTAAATCAAAATAAATGCTGCTCAAGAGAAAGACTTTATGAAGACTGCAAACCAAAATAAACGAAATTAACTACTGTAGATACACTTAATTTGGCTACCGTTTTAATTTGACGGATCGGCAGATTGAAAATATCCACCAAATTAAAAATCCACCGATTTTCAGATCTATTTTGGAAAATCCCTAGAGAATTTGTAATTTGTAATTATTTGACTTATGTTAAGTATTCCTATTTGAATGTCAGTGCCATACCAAGACTTACTGAAAGCAGAACACAAGAATCTGGAATGATCTATGATAAAACTTGAGCTCAGCCCCGACTCCACCAAATTAAATAGCCGCCACAGGCCCGCCAATATTTGAAATTGAGCAAATCCGCCAAATTAAGTAGCGTCAAATTAAGTGTATCTACAGTATTCCAATACAGAAGGCCAATGTCACTCTGATTCTTGTCAAATTGACACCAGGTCAGATTGACCTTTATTACATCAAACAATATTTCCATGTTCTATTTCTATGTTGTCATTCTTGCAGATACTATAGAAAGAGTGACCAATATACAGGGTAGCTATGTGTATTCGCCAGCAAAGACTGAATCACCAAATCTATGGTACAGTCCCACCCGTCGCACCGTGTCATCGCAGACGTGACATACATCATCTTGTAGGCAATGTAAGGGCAACTCTTGTTCATGTACACGGACACTAATCGACTCAACCAGAGGAGGCGTTCATATATACAGACTAACAGACAAATCAAAAGCTATCAATCAGAAGGCTAAAGTAAAACAAAAGAGCTGCACCGTGACTAGGACGCATCCGGCTCAGAGTCTCCTATCAGAGTTAAAGTCACATTCCCAGTTTAAAGATCATTCTCAGATTAACATTCAACCCCAACAGGTTAAAGTTCATTCCCAAGGTCAAGAAGAGGTCAAAGTTAAAGTTGAACTTGAAGATGTTGATGATGATATGTATTCCTTCAAAGATCCTCAAATTGATCTAGATTTCGATGATGTTGATGGAGATATTGATTCTCAAAACACAGACCCTGTCGAGCAAAATAAAAATCGCAGAAAACAAACACTTCCTAGCACAAAAATTAAAGTTGAGCCAAATGACTCGAGGGTTTCTTCAGTATCTACGCCAGTTGATGATAAACCTATGAAAGTAAAACAAGAAACAGTTATAGATGTCAGAATCACAAATGGCGATACAGTGAATGGGAAAAAGTTTGATGCAAAATTTCCTTGTATACTTGCACTGTTAAAATCTGAACCTCAAGAATAGATGTTTAAGTTTTCAAACATTTTGGGTAAATAAACAAATTGAGTTTGTATTGGACAAAGTTTAGTCCTCATACATCTATCCCACCAATAACTCAAATCTCAGTGGAAACTTTAGAACCATGTATTTTTATATTTTGTGTGTTTGACTGAAATGTACTTCTTTAATCATCCTGTTAGTGTGCATTTATGTTGATTTATTTGTGCCAATTTTACAATTGGAGAAAATTTCAATATCAATTAAAAAGAATTTGAGCAATATTGCATAATTGTTCATGCAAGTATTACAGGAAACAAATGTTAAATGCTTTGGTCAGAAAACTATCCAAGTTTAGACATAATCCTATTTAACAGCTAGTTCCAAAATTTCAAATTGGTCATTATTTTCTGAATAACACGACATGTCACTTAGTACTGAAAATGAATTATGATTGAGAACCAACATTTAGAGTTTTTGGTAATCTGCATGCACATGTGAGAATCAAACAATCAATGAAACATCAAATAATTAATGAAACATGTCAAACAATCAATGAAACATGTCAAACAATCAACAAACACATGTCAAACAATCAATGAACACATGTCAAACAATCAATGAAACATGTCAAACAATCAATGAAACATGTCAAACAATCAATAAACACATGTCAAACAATCAATGAAACATGTCAAACAATCAATAAACACATGTCAAACATGTGCTTTATTATCTGAAAAACTTGTGGCCTGAAAGATTGTGGCCTAAAAGTTGTTTAACCTTAAATCCACATTTACTTTGACATTCAAATTACAAAAATATGCAATTAGCAAGAATCATGAAAAAAGCTGATAACTTACCATCAATTAACATATTCAATTAAGAGGAGTGCATTTATTTGGTGTTTTTCTGACCAATGCATTTAAATATACATGTAGTTTTACAAGTTATTGTGAATGTTCACAATTTAAGTCTCTGTGCTAGTCCAAAGAATTGGCCATTTACTATATTAATTAAATACTGGGTGCTTTCAACATGTATTATTAGTGAGAACGTCATTGATTTGTATTGTGGTAGACAATACATTTGTTGTTGTATGTATTTATTAATGTTGAGTCGAGAGTGAGAGTTTCAGCCCTTTGAAAAATGGCGATTGACATTGCCTACAAGTTTTATATAGTGTCTCGTAGAACTTATCTGTGATAAGGCGCCATCATGGCCTAACATAGGTGGCTGATATTTCAATATTGCCTTTGTTATTTTATGATAGTGGCTTATTTATTGAAAAATGCTATGTATATTTTGTACAGTGTAGTTTTTTACAGAAGAAACTAGATTTAGTATTTTTTCATTTTAATTGTATATATATGTTTAGAGCATCATGTGACAAGGCATCAGTCAACTTACACTGGCCTAGAAAGCTGTCCCACATAACATGTTGTTTGTTAATGTCAATTTTTTGAAGAACGTTGTGTTTTGGGATATTCATTTATGTCTACATTCTTAATAATGCTTGTTTGATCGCTAATTCTACTGTTTCCATATTTTTCAAGAAAGAATATATTTCTGTTAAAAATTCTATATGTTAACCGAAGATGAAAATAATGAATACGACTGATGAGGGAACATATCAATATAGCTATTTAGGATAAAAAATGTAAGTAATATTCTAAAGGAAGGGGGTTGCTTGAACGAAATAGTTTCAAAGATCTCAGTAGTAAGGTGTATGAGTCGCCATGAGCCAGGCTGGTAACCAAGAATAGTGCATGAACTACAATGCGAATCAATTTTTCGACACATGTTTAGAGGGGTTAACACAAAACTTACATTTTTATGCTAAACTGTTAGTTTGATATGTTCCCTTAGCCAAAAAAGATTTTGAAGAAAGCCATGCAAAAGTCAAAGAAAAATTGACCTTTGTGTTAGCAAGAATTATTGTCATTTTTATCAGAATTTATTTTGTGAATTCTAATTCTCAATATAGCATCAAAATAATTAATTGTGCCCTTATATAGAAAGCGTCAAAGTAAGAATTTATTGTTTGCGATAATTATCACTGGATCAAAATAATTGGTCGTAATTGCAAAATTCAGGTGCCATATGAGCCAAAAATGCACGCTACAGCATTATCACATTTTTGATGCATTTATTTTTGCAGATCACCAAGTTGATCCGCTATTAGATCCTGATTGACATCGCTTTGAAAATCTTTATGTTACGTAGTATTGTGCATTTGAAATTCAAGTAGGAATTAGTCATTAATTGTCATAAAACCAGTTGTTCCCTGGCTTACTAAGGGTTTCATTAACAGCAGTAATTTGCTCCATTTGTTTTTACCCAAATCTCCTGTTTTTGTAAATTCTAATGTCAAATTATTATGTATGTTGTTATCATTTGTTTTGCAAGTTCTCAGATATTCTAAACTAATCCTGCTCACAGAGTAATATAAAATTCATTGAGTAATAAATGTATGCATCATGTCCAATATTATTGCAGTAGTGCAAAGCTCAAACAAATCAAATCAATGAATTTGTTAATGGAAGTAACTTCCTGTTAAATAAGAAATAATGAAGAAGAAATTCAGAGAAAACAGGGACCAATAAACAGCACATGCTACAAACGAGCTCATACAAGTATTGGATCAAGACTTGTATATCCAACACAGCATGTCATAAAGAGGAATTATGAGAAATAGGATGACTTTTAGAGCAGTGATGCTTATAAAGTCTTCTCAAAGCACTCTAAAAATCATCACATTTCTGCAAAGTACGTATTTCATGAGGTGATTTTAGTAAACAAGTTTATAACAGTTGGTCTTCACCCAATGTCTCGAATAAATGATAAATTACAATTTTAAAATTGTACATAGCACAATATACTAATTGAATAAAATCAAGGAATATACATACAAGCTAATATTTATTATTTTGTTTTTTGTTATGTCGCCACCACACGTGGTGGCATATTGTTGTATTGTCCAACTTTTTGTGGATGGTGTTCAGCTGTCAGCATCTGTAACAAATGGCAGGTGGCAGGATTTTTCATGTTGATGCTTTGTTTATTGCATTTTGCCATCATTTGGATTACCTAGAACTCTTTGACAAAATTTTATTGAAATTGATGCGAGTTATATTGAAATAAAAGAAATGGACATTTTTTACCCACCCTGTACATGAACTGCGGGATGAATGGATATTCTAAAGTCTTTTGTGAATATTTCTCCACCCACTGATGTCAATTTATGCAGTTTTTCATTCATTCTGTTTGTTGATTCATACACTCACGCAAAATAATAAGAATTGGCTAAACTAGAAATAAAAACTGAAGACTATTTTCATGACAAAATATTTATTTGTTTTATAGTTAAAGCTAGAAAATATCAGAAATCAGTAACATTCATGATGTCACAACCGACAGATAGTACAGAGATTTTTTTCATCAAAACACTAACAATTAAATTCTGAAGAATCATATTTGCATAATGTTAACAGTTCCATTGTTTCATTAAATTGTCTTTGTACTGAGATTTGGGGAGTGTCTCAATACAACACTGCATGTGATAGTTAATATTGTTCCTAGCCTTATACTGCAAATAATTACTCAATAAGTCCATGAGTAGTAGATATACATGTTCCTGGGCCAGCTCGGGTAGTAATGGTACAGCGGAACATGTATGACAGAACATTTGATGTTCCATGTAGCCGGTTCTCTTGGTTACCGTACAGTTGGACAGCACATTCTGAAAATATACAGTAAATCAGCAACAAAGTCAGTGAGGGGTTAATGGTTAAGAATGCATACTACATTATGCCTAGAATATTGTCACAAGGGTATCTCCAATGAAATCATTTGCAACCTTGAGAATCAAGATGATTGTATGAGGGTCTCAAAAAACAACACTGTTTCATTAAAAACTAGAAAATGGCAACTCCACGGAGTAGCGAATCCCAACCAACACTATATAAATCATCAATTTGTACAGTCACAATGCAATATCTACTCTTACCATCTACTCTTACCTTCAATGAATATTTTAAATCATTGTAGTATCAGTAATGGCGAAATTTCTGCTCTAGTCAGCCATTTTGAATTTTCAGAGGCGCAAATCAAAAAAACAATGCCATAATTGTGATCTACTCTGAAATTCCTTCAATTTGAGTATAATATAGCCATACTTTTAAGAGATCAGAAAATAATTGTGAAATCCCGCATTAGGCGGCCATTTTGAATTTTTTGAGGCCCGAATCAGAAAAACGCTACAATATTTGCAATCTACTCTAAATTGCCTTTCATTTGAGTATAATAAAGCTATACTTCAAAAACATCTCAAAATTAACGCAAATTCCAGTTTTTCCAATCCCCCATTTACGGCCCCTGGGGGTCAGGGTGAAAAACCCATGATATATGTGAAATAGATAGATGTTGTTAATATACTACCAAAATTTCAAATAAAAATATTTATTATTTTGGTTTAAAATGAAAAACGTAAGAGTTTTGCGAAAAATTCCCGCCATTTTTAAACTGGCGTAAAACTATTCACCAATATACATCTTTCCTCAAAATATGAAGAAAATCTGTCGACTAGTATTCGAGTTATCTTCCGGACAGACGGACGGACGGACGGACTGACTGACTGACTGACTGACGGACAGACGGACGGTACTACGCCCCTTTGGGGGTTTGTGTGGTATTCACGTTATGTGGTATATATTCTCTGTGGTATATTTACATTGTGTGGTAAATTGTCATATTGTGTGGTTGTCCAAGAATTGTTACGCCCAAATTGGGGTTTGTGTGGCATTAACTTTATGTGGTATTATGTTCTGTGGTATCATTTCATTGTATGGTACATTTTTCTCTTGCGTGGTACCAATGAAATGATACAACAAATCTTAATACCACATAAGGTTAATGCCACACAAAGCACCCTGCTTAGCATAGGATCAATTATATAGTTGTTTACCACATAAGATGAATTCCACATAGACATAAGGGTATGCTTGAACCACACAAGAGAAAAATGCACTATTCAGTGAAATGATACCACAGAACATAACACCACATAAAGGTAAATGCTACACAAACCCACTTTGCTTAGCATAGAATCAACAATTATATAGTTGTTTTACCACATAAAATGAATTCCACATAGACATAAAGGTATGTTTTAACCACACAAAGAGAAAAATGTAAATAAGGAAATAAAAATATATACCATAGGCCTATGTATTACATATTATTTTATATTATATACAATTGAATTATATGTAATTGAATTGAATTGTCTCTTGTCTTTTCTAGAATTTATTGCAATTTTCTAATATATATATATACAGGGTGTTCCAAAAGTAACAGGACTGGTGCTGGCATTTAGTTAAATATGCACCAATCATCTTCAAAATTCTACATAATGTACTTTCATGTATCGTTACTTAGACTGCAAAGTTTCTACAAAATATATGAAACTCGGGTTGAGTTATGGTTGCTATAGTAACATGACATCACAATACCCGGGGCAACATTCCACGCAAAAAGTTACAGAGACATTAAGCATTTTGTACATGCCATATCATTTTGTACATGCTATATCAAAGTTGAAATGCAACAACTGGTGGGCATTACATTTGTTTTACGTCATTTAATATTTCTATGTATCCTCTACTTTGAAAAATAGGCTCCTCTTTGGTCAGTACAAGAGTAGTACTCTGTATCCATGACCCAAACACATGAGTGAACCCATTTGAGAGCATGTCACGCAGGGTCGATTGGACAATTTGGAGAAGGTCATTCTCATCTTTAAAGGTCGTACAGCACTTATTAGCATTCCGTTCTCAATATAAGTAAAAATCAGATATTGCATGATCAGAGGAGTATGGTGCATGGTTTTAGACCCTCAAGACCTATAAGTTCCTCTATAGCTGCATGGTCTTTAATGCCGACCTGCGGGCAGGCGCGCTATCAAGGTAGATGACTGGCTTCAAATTGGGTCTTTATTTAGACTGTACTGTGATATTCCAGGAAATTGAATAAATGTTATTATCATTATGAAATTATACTTGAATCTGAGTTGTATAGCAACAACTTTACAACAAAGGACTTAATAAAATAAACAAGAACTTTTGGATTATAATAGGTGAATTAGATACTTTATTCAGTAATACAAAAATGTTAGATATCACATTTTCAGGACAAAAGTTGCCCCGGGTATTGGAATGGCATGTTACTATAGTAACCATAACTCTAACCGCATTTCATCATTTTTTCTGAAACTTTATAATTTAAGTTGCAATACTTCAAAGTACAATTTGTGAAAATTTGAAGATACTCAGTGCATAATTGACAAAATGCCAGCACCAGTCCTATTACTTTTGGAACACCCTGTATATATAACTGATGTTCTGTGGTATTTCACTGTGTGTATTAAATTCCAAAATCCCCTTATATCTATGTGGAGCTCATCTTATGTGGTAAAACACCTATATAATTGATGTTCTGTGGTATTAAATTCAAAGATGCCCTTAAGTCTATGTGGAACTCATCTTATGTGGTAAAACACCTTTTTAATTGATCCTATGCAAAGCAATTAAACTGGTGGTTTATATTATTTAGCTTTGGCATTAGTTACCCAGAGTATCAGCTTCTTTTTAAGTAAGCTTTGACGATCTTCAGCAAAATTATGGTTTAATGACTCTACCGCGATGGCGTTTGTTCCTCCAATCAGAGAGCAGAGATAAAACACGCTTGTACATATGATAGTCATTGAAAAATCAACAATCGATCCTAATTGGCTCGGAAAATTCAAAGGATCGTTGCTCATCCTAGTAGATGAACTCTCTCTGGAGAGCAAAGCAAGCGAATGTAAAGGGTAGGCATTAGTATTTCATTGAGGTGAATAAACGACGCATTGAATATATTGTTTAAGAAAATATAATGTATATCCAAAATTTGCTACCACGGGTTGTTTACACACCAACTGTTGTAAATACGTACAATCAAAAACGAGACTGTAAATTGAGATAATTATGTGTGGATATGCTCTTGTTAATTGGCATTGGCTCATGGGCAATGAGCAACACAAATTAAAAATCCATGCTTAGCTGCCTTATATTATCATCATTCACTCATTATTCATTCATCAGGCTATTAGCATGGGATCCAAGCAGGGCACGCCTTAAGCGTCTGACAGCCGGACTTGTCCGATTAAATAATGACAAGACCGGCTCAAAATCACAATTAGCCGGTCATTGTGACCGAGACCTTGTCCAATCTATAAGCCTTAGCGTAGATATCGTGTCCGAGGCCTAAACATTTTGAGATGACCCTTAAACTGTTGGCTGTTCATTTGTTTTTTATCTCCCCTTTCCATGAAAATCAATCTACACGTATAACGACATGATAAATTATAATCGATAGGGAGTTAAGTTTTAAATAGAACAGCCTCATTTATAATGCTAATTTAATTCTTGTCTCGGAGAAAAAGCCGAACATCTCCAAATATAGTAATCGGAAAGTACCGAATCACAAATAGATACCTCCGGTGATCTCCAAATAAGGAGTTCTTGACCCGAGTTCATCTAAAGATGGCGAAACCACTCGAAAAGTATGGATTCATATTCATATTTAGTTTTAAAACTGATTGTGCCAAGCGTAATTCTTAAGGTACGTAAAAAACTAATCGATTATAGTACTTCAAGTACTACTTATGGATCAAATAGACGTAGCGATTTCGGCCATTTTCAGTGATATATTGCACAATAGTACGACTTTTCACAGATCAATTTTTGAAAATAGTGCATTGAAAATTTTGACCAGGAAGATTTGCTCATGACGGCAGATTTTGGAGAGGTGTTGGTCATCTTGACCAGCAGGTTTTGTATTTGACCACTTAAAAATTGGATCTTGCCGGACATCTTGACCAGCAAGGAAAATTTGCTTAAGGCATGCCCTGGATCCAAGTCATTTCAACCAATCATATTTTACAATTTGGGCAACATGTTTTTACTTTTATTCGAAGCATTGGATGAATATCTTCAACTTCCATGTGGGAATTGTGTTTTCCATGATGCAATATTTTTTATAAAGCAATAATGAAGACGTTGTCAAAATAAGGAGTTGCGTCTATGTTAAAAAGTCGCAATCACTCCACTGCATAATGATCAAAGTCTCATTGCTACGGCAATGAATTTCATTCATGGACAAATTGTTTTGGTATATTTTATTGAATAAAATTATATTTACCGTATTGTTGAAATTCAATACAACATTTTGAATATTTCATCAAAGAACGGGCCCGATCGCGAGCTCTCCCATGAATGCATCTGACTAAAATTAGAGCCCATTTGAGAATTAACGAAATATCACAATGAGAATAAAAAATAACAATATGTTTTTCAAATTTATGATGACAAGAACGTCTTTTACCCGTGTCCTTGAACAATTTTATTAATTTTCTTACATTTAATGCGAAATATAAATTTTAAATTAGTAATTGCTGAATAAAACAATGCAAGTCGGATCTAATTCATAATTTATGATAGTTGTTACCACTCACTTTTTGACATTAATTAGTCAATTAATTAATTTATAATATCATTTAATATCATTGATATTTATTTTGATATCATTGATATTTATACCAATATTGTAAAGAATCTAATAGTAATTGTTACTATTTTGTATTATGTTGGTTCAACCAGGTAGCAGTCGATGGAGTTAATATTTGATTGACACCTGAGATTG